GCGTACGCCCTATATACGCCCACATGCACTTTTTTTGCAGAGACAAGTGCCTGTGTATACGCCTCTTGAATGGATCCGTCAGTTTGAAAGTGACTCAGGTTCTAACCAACATGCAGTATCGATTATCAATTTTAATAGTGCCTTTTGTTTTAATCTCAATTTAATAAAAAGTCTACTTTTCAGTGAGTTGTGGTTAACTTAATATAAAAAAAGGGAGATGTGGTATGATTGCCATTGAGACAACTATCCACCAAAGTTAAATGAAGTGGATGTAAAATGTAAAGGCGACCGTACGACCTTCAACATTGAGAAAAAAACAATACCGTATAGTCGGCTATAAAAGGCCCCGACATGAAAAATATAAAACAATTCAATTGAGAAAACTAGCTAACGGCCTAATCTATAAAAAAAAAAGAAAGAAAAACAAATATGACAGACATGAACCAACGACAACTTCTTAACTACATGCTCCTGACTTGGGACAGACACATAAAGAATGTGGCGGGGTTAAACATGTCTGTGAGCGCTCACCCCCTAACCTGCGACAGTGGTGTTACAGCACAACATAAGAACAAACTATTAAAATCAGTTGAAAATTAAGGGCTTAACTCGTCAGATCGATACAAAGGAGAAAACATCTAACAAAAACACAGAACGGACGTGGCAGTGTATTTATACATCCCTAACAATAAAAAGACACTGTTACTGACAGCTAGTTCTAATAAAAAATCATGTATCTAAGACTAATATATCAATCGATCAGTACATATCCAACATCCAATGAATTTAGTGTAAAGACGTCATTAACAGTGAGAAAACATGACCTTTTGCAATGCCAAAATATAGGTATCGACAGATTGTAGTACCAATGTGTATACCAAAAATATTCATCATGGTTTTAATTTACTGATAACAAAATCAATATTTATACCAATTTTGACAATATTCAAAGATATAATATCAGTGTTGAAATAGCAACCTTTCCGAATAAGTTTATTTAAAGGGTTGATAAGTAGTTTCCGGGCTTGGTAAACAACATCACAGTAAAATGTAGAATGCGCTATTCTGTTTGAAATAAGTTTTCTACGGGTACAGCTAAACTTGCAAACCAGATCTTTGTATCTATGGAAGAATAAGTAAAGGTTTTAAGTAATATGTGGTAACGATCGAAATCCCTGACTTAATAATTTACCAGTAACACATAAAATACGCTCATTGAAATCCAATACGCCACTACAGACACGGGCATAGCGAACGAACGGAAAATTGATATGCATATTCAGGACGAGAACATGTTAAGGTTATGTGAATATCAACTCTGTTTTGTACTAGACCGACACGCTAAGCTGGATTTTTAACGTGCTATTTTACAAGGTAACAGTCCGCAGGAAGCCATGTCACCTTACACGGACACATTATTCTAACTCCGAGCCGACCAGTCTTTGTTGTGTAGAGTTTCTGGTGTAAAACCGAAATATTCAAATCTAGGAAAGGACAGATAATATTTGATTTATTTAAAGTAAGTTCCTTTGGGTAAATTTCGGTAGTATATTTAGAGAATAAACTTGATTATTTAACGAAAAAATATCATCAAGATAACGGTAAGTGTGGTTGAATTTATCAATTAAATGGAATTTAGACGCGTCTTTACTGAGTTTGGTCATAAAGTGTGATTCATAACAGTACAAGAACAAGTCTGCTATTAAAGGGGCGCAATTGGTGCCCATAGGAATACCTACAACCTGTCGATAAACTGAATTGCCGAAACGTACATAAATATTATCAAGGAAAAATTAACAGCTTCAATCATCTCATCACAACTCCAGTAAGTATATCTAGCACATTTACCTTTCTCATTAGAGAAAAGGCTTTAAATGAGTTGCAGCAGATATATTTGCATTCAAATTATACCAAACTACCATTGATTAAATAGAAAAACTTTTGTTTGATAAGATTGTGTTGAAGTGTAGTGTAAAGAGTTGAAAAGTCAAAACTGTCAACAGAATCAAGCACGTAATTTATCTAAAACATCCAAAGAATGTTTTACACTCCAAAAATAGTTAATTCCACTATTTTCATATGTTCTATTACAAAAGTTAATGATAAGTTCTTTCATAGTAGTTACGGAACAAGTTAAAAGCACTGAAAGATTAGTTGTAGAACACTTACTAGAGGCCGAGATGAAACGATATGTTACTGTTTTTTGTGTAGTTTCGGTATCCAATACATAGTAGGGACCATCAAATGTTCAGAAGAGGCCTTAAGCTGTGATGTGGTTATGATATGTTTGTTTACTATATGACTCTCTGTGGAGCGCACATACTTGAATGTAGAAGAATTTAAAATTTCATTCTTAAGAACGTCCGTGTAATATTTACGGCATACTACCACCACATTGTTGGCTGCTTTGTCGGCCGGTACAAACACAAACCGCTTCAAAGTACTTGAAGTTTGTTTCTTATTCTAGAAATAGGCGTATTATGTACTCTTTTATTCATTTCTGAGTTATTTGCAAAATGTGATATTCGAATATCCACAACATTCAAACATTTATTCAAAAAAGAATCAAGAGATTTTTTATCAGATTTTCCCCGTTTACATCAATTTTTACAATACGATGAAAGAGCGTCTTTTGTGACCTGACGACACTGTTTCTAATCTATTTAAGATGGAGGACAACATTTTGGTCCTTTTTTCAAAAAGTTTTTAACCTCTCGGTCTTGAACGATATTGAGGTCCCCCGTAATAACATGGCCATAGTGATCATATCTAAAATTCGACGATTCACAGTCTCAAGTTAGAGGAGTATTATTTTCTACATTGACGTCTGATGGTACTGACGTATAATTAAAAAATTAACTTCTGCTGGGTTTTTTGTATATATGTATACGAAATAATAGGTCACCGTGGTTCTGAGTTATCAAAATAGGGAGGTGTATAAAGTTTTGAATGGTAGAGTCATTAAATATACTCGATAAGTTGATGAAATCAATACCTCTGTTAATATATTTAATTTTCGCAAAGTGCCTTTTATGATCTTCAGGTTTATCAATACGCGGGAACAGCCTATGCATGGTGGCAAAATGCTGTAATTATACGCGAATATTCATAGAGTGGGCTGAAGAACGCGATTGTGTCACATTCCTTGGAAATATCATGTAATTTGCTAATTGGTATTTGACCCAGTTTACATAATAATTGATTCCTACCATTGTTTTAAAATATATATAGGAGATCATCAAGTTTATAATTTATACGATGTTAAATTCGTTGATTTCGATTGATACGTTTGCCATGAGATCTATTATTACGTTGTATTTTATCAACAATATTCATGATATCAATAGAAGAAGTTTTAGATATGTTCCCTTGTCCCAGTATATTGTCATTTAGACCCAGGGGATATGCTATCTGCAGTCGTGTAATCAAAGACAGTTCGATAATTTTACGGGAATCTTCAAATTGTTTATGCGATTGCCCTTGTTGTTTCTTGATCGTTTCGAGTGGTTGGAATCTTATAAAATTAATATTGTGATTATGTTTGTGTTTGTGTTTACCTTAACGTTGGTAAATTATACTTTTGAATTTCTTATAGGTTTTCGGATGCGGTATAGATGTTCCTGTGTTCGTCTAAAAAATTCCCGTCCTGTTTGTCCTACATATTGTATACCGCACTTTGGCTTTGTTCTAGTAACCAGATTAATGAGGTTTTGAGTTTTTCATGTAATGTCACAGGAAAAGGAGAGCGAAAAAGCTCTCCCGTTCACTGTTAACCTAACAGTATTATTTGTGGATATCCACGTGCATTTTTATTTAATAATCTGGCTGCAGCAGCATTGCCACCTTTGACACAATTGTAAAAAAGTGCTAAACTTTTTAGAAGGGGAATTTCGATTGACGGCGGTTGAATTTATATTTGGAATGAGGTTTTTTGAGCACGTGAATATTCTTGAAGGATAGGTGTATTTTGTTTTCTTGCCATTTCGTAAGTTTAAAAAAAATCGCACCTGCTGTATCCAAAAAATATTTTTACAGTGTAGTGTATTAAAATTGGGACAAATTGTATCAAAATTATACAAAAGTGTGACAGACTGTCACTCAAATTAAGGACAATTATATGTATAATAGTTTGACAGCTTCAGATTTAGACATACTAATTATGACCTTTTCAAACTAAACCAGATCACTATACTTTACCTACATGTAACAGTTACCCCAAACTGTTTATACATGTAATTTCGCCTTCAGCCTAAATTTTCGAATGGATGATTTCAACTTGTAATCACCACTTGGAACTCTTGGTTTAAAAGCTTCCTTGTAAGCAGCAACCCTCTATCAAAAACTATGATAAGAATTGCAAGCTATGGAATACCGTATCAACCAGGACTCTGAGATATGATACTCCATTTGCAGGTGGAATGTTGCTACATAGACTGAATTGAAAGTTCAAAATTGGGAAGCCGAAATCGTCTATTTTGTCGTAAAGTTTTGTTTTCAACCGACCTTTATTGTCAATTCTTATATTTAAGTCAAAATATGAGGCAGACTTAACTGTATCTGTGTTGTATCCTTTATTTAAAGTTCGATTGGACAGACAATGTTCAAAAAACGGTCATCAAACTTTGAACTTATTCACGGTGAGAGGACTGGCATAGCGGAACGTGAGGTTGAAGGACAATGCTAGCTTTTTCATTCGTCCTAAGAACGTCATGTAAGCATATGAATAAAGGAACAAGTCGACAAGAAATGGAGCACAGTTGGTTCCCATATATGGGAATGCCGACTGTTTGTTGAAAACACGTCCTCCAAACGGAACAAATATTTTGTCGGAAAAATAATCAAGCTTGGCAATGTCGGTTTCAGGTAATTTTTTGTTTGAATCAGGTTTTTTTATTACATAATACGACTCATTGCTATTCGGAATTGCTATTCGTATCCGATTATTTTTCTCATTTACTGTAATAACATCCGGGCTAATTTTTGAACGCGGGGAATAACAAACATGGCCACCCCCAGAAAAAGCGTGGGGGTTGCATCTGCACAGCTAGAAGATGATGATGCATTCGTTTTCATATTTGATCGCAGAGACAAGGACGTCCCGGAGGTCAAAATACCTACTGGAGGACTTTGGAATTATGATGACTTTGTGAAACGGGTCCGAGAGGTGGGTTTTTCGCTAGGTGTCTGTCATGTCTGTTTCAGACTCAGTGTTTGTTTACAAACAAAGTCATAATCTGAAACGACAAGAAGCATAGTAATCGAGGAACAAATTGCATAACGTTGGAAGAATAGCAGATGTTAGAGATCGAGCTGAGATTCACATAATCTAGCTCTCCTGGATGTGTTACAAAGTTTCTAGACCAACTTCAATGGGAATCACTGCAGCACAGGCTATGGAAACAGAGTCTTGTGCTATGTTACAAGACCCAACACCATTTGATTGCCATTGATCCAGTCAAATATTACACATCAGGTAACAGTAGGACCAGAGTCAACTACAAATTTAGACAAACTAGAGTGAAGAGGGATGTCTACTATCACTCATTCTTCCCAAGAACAACTAGTGAGTGGAATAAACTTCCTGAATCTGTAGTGGAGTCCAGATCACTAGAGGACTTCAAGACCAGAGTGAATGCCATCTCCTAGACCCAGCCACATCTGAAATAGACAACAGGATAACCAGTGTATATAGTTGTAATAATCTAAGCTTATTAATTTATTGTAAATACCATCCAGATTTCCCTGGACTTTTACTTTTGGCCAGAGGATTGGCCTCCTGTCTGTTTGAGATGCGCCCAAGTCAATTACACTTTACGACAGAGTTCGACTTGTATTCGGGAAGAAGAAGAATCCATACGCCAAATCAAACACAGTACCACTTAAATACAAAACATTTAAGATCCAGTATTCATCAACCAATCAATATAAAAAGTCATCAGAACTGTTGTCGACTGGAACAAGCTTGAAGACAGGATAGTGGTAGCAACCGAAGGCTTCAAAGCAACACTATATAGCCGCACTCAGAAATAATTGCGTTATCTATACCCATTGTAATAAAGTCCAGTACCCATACAGATACAGATATAAAATCTGTGATACAAGTGATTTCTGCATGTTTATACATGAACACTAACTTGACACAGATACTCCTTGTAAACAATGAATTGAAATTAAAGTAGAATGACCCATTCGCTATTCATATGCCCCAAGGTAGGCAACGGGGCATTAAGTGTTACCCTTGACAGTCTGTCCGTCCTTCTGTCCATCCCATTTTTGTTTCCACACTTAAGTTTTCCTCAACTAAGTTTTCTGAAACTCATACACAATGCTAAGAACCAAAACTCGCAGACAAAGTTGGAATTTAGGTAGTGAGTTGCTTACAATACTAGAGTTGTGCCCTTTATTACTTGGAAAATTTCAGAATTTTTTTCATTTCCACCTTCCTAAGTTTATAGTATCATCCAAATTTTGGGAAACTCATACACAATGCTAAGAACCACAACAGGCAGACAGAGTTTGAATTATCATTCCAGAGTTATGTCTCTTTAAACTTGGAAAATTGCAAAGCTTGAGCAGGGGCATTTGTGTCTTTAGACACATTCTTCTTTTATTATTTATTTTTATCAAATATGGAAAAAAAGTGATATGGTGTGAAGGGATTTAAAAAGGGGCTGTTCAGAAACCAGAACTAAACACATATTTTTAGTTGGCCTTATTGATACAGTTGAATCTCGTTGTGTCGAAAAACTCGGATGAGTCGAAGTAATTGCTCGGTCCTGGTAAAATTCCTGTTTGATCAACGCATATTTACCTCTGATGAGTCAAATTTGTTTGATTTGAATACTCGGTTAAGTGGAGTCTTTATAGCCCTGTGGATATAAAATAAATGTAAATTGACCCCAATGTCTCGAAGTTAGACTAAGAATTTTCTACAGATGCAGACTTTATGATAACAATTCTCATCGGATGCATTTCTTATGCAACCTAATCATTTTCAAAAAAGAGAATTAAAGCTGTGTAAACATATTTGTTTGTATAACACTTAAAATGACATGTTTATGGTAACCAGGTAATAAACACCTTTGTTGATTGTCCAAGCGAAACTTTAGAGTGTTGAACATATTTCACCTGGCATAAAAACGAAACGAATTTAAATGACCCAAGCCGAGATTAAATGAATCTTAAAAATAAAAATCACCGAAATACAATAAATAAAAGGATATAAGACAACTATGATCAATTTAAAATAAATGAATGAAAACAGACCACTCTCTTCATGCTCTTATCATCAGAGATCTTTCTGAACTTATTTTGTTTCCACAAGTGATTTCGTAATTTATGGTGACTGACCTTTGTATATATTTGTGTATTGATTTTATTTGTGAATGTTTTGTATCTGTCCTTGTGTGTTAAATTAATATGAGGGACCAAAAAATATTAAATACACAATCATAAAGTGTCATATAAAAAAGGCACACTGTTTAAAATATCTAGTTTACACAAATCTCATACTGTATTTCATGGATCAGTGTTCTAGGATTTTTATACTATCAAAAATTCACTTTCCCACAAGTTAAAATGAACTTTCCCTGAATTTTATACTATTTTAAAAATGTTTTTTATATTTTTGTTATTCCTTTTATAACATATTTATACATGTAGCATGTGTAGTTCAATTTGAAATTATGAACTCTGTTATTTCCTTTGAAATTAATTAGCTTGTCTAACTACACAATGTAGCTTGTGATTGTGTTGACAATTCAATGTCATGTTCATCTAGATATACAAACCATTTGATGGAATATATATAAATGTTAAATTACATCAGTAATACAAATGTATTGGCACAAAAAAGGGATAATATCGTCAAACATTACACGCAAAAAATCACGAATTTGAGAACCGGATATTAAATCTTTTACTGTTTGCGTTCCAGTTATTAGATTATTGCGTCTAGATCGGATGGATACTTGACATCGAGGATTTGCCTTGCTTAGCTGGCAAGCGTATTTACAATGTATGACAGTGATCGTGAAACACATTCGCACGTTTTTCTCCCCCAAACTTTAGAACCCCTGCATCATGGCTGCATGATTTACACCAACAACAACGATGTCGCTTTGAGACTTTGATTGAAATAAAAGAATACAAACGGTTACATCGATCGTTTGATCTGTATGAATAGGAAGTTTCTGTAATTTAATTTTTCTTGCCCACGGACAACAAATGTTTGAATTTCCACTTTCCCATGACCTAAATCAACTTGCCACGGGTGACGGGAAAGGGGAATTCTAGAACACTGTAGATTCCAAATTTATGACGACACACTTGACCTAAGATGAGTAGAACCTTGGATACATGTTTATTGTAAGTCGAATACTTTTGTCTGGGCCCTTTGACTTTGACATAACGAGGTTCGACTATTTGTTAATGATATAAAGTTGTACTTAAAAAATCTTTGTTTTTCTAGCCTACCAGTACAAGCATCCAAGAAATACTATAAACCAGGATGGGTACTCCATTACACAGCCCAGGACCAGTCCCTACCTCACCTCGCTGTGTATTTAGACCATTTCCTGTTACATAATATTTTTCATTTGAATTGTTTCACATTTTGTCATTTAAGGTCCATTTTAAGATGTGTATAAGGTATGGGTTTTGCTTATTGTTGAAAGCTGTTAATTGATCTACAATTGCTAAGATCCATGTTATTTGGACTCTGTTTGAAAGTTGTCTCATTAAGTTTACCATACTACATCCCCTTATTTTATGTTAAATACTTTTTTGGTATCTGTATCCGGAGCAATTTTTTGATTTGGCAGCACACTGAACTTTGTAAGACATAGCATGAGCAAAATTGTATTAATGCCAAGTTCTCTTCTAAATTAAGTTTGAAGATCTATTAGCATTGAAAATATCCTTTCAACCTCTGCATTACTGACTGGTAGCACAAGGCAAGTTAAGATAAGTTTGACATTTGTTGTATGAAATTGAAAGCGTTTGTCCATTCTTGCCAAAATTTACATGAGTATTTTTTTCTCTTTTTGTGTCCCCTCACTTCCTTTTAAGCTATGAGCTTCATTTGAGATTATAAAGAATGACAGAAAAGTACAAGATGCACTCACCAGAAAGTGAACAGCCGGTGAACAAGAAATCATGACTAACTAACAATTGTGTAAACCACCATACATTCAGAGTGAGCAGGTGGCAATTTCCAAATATCAAAAGATTCTAACTTGACAGAAAACATTTGGATGCTCCTATAAGAGTACACACCTATGGTACTGTAAAACAATTAGCATTTCCACGAGTCTATTTATTACATGAAAGTATAGAAGAAAAGTACTAGTGGTTATTTTGGTGAGTTGAATGAATAAGCCACTCAGGAGGATGAAAAAAAAAAGGTTTCTCACTGGACCAGTGTTCTCCCCAGGCCCTTAAAGGACCGCGGGCCGGCGATGTATAATTATTTATTACCGTGGTGGTATCGGTCTTACCGTGATGTTTAATTTTTGTCCTTGGTGCTAAAATTTTCAGTAAAAAAATCGTAAATCAGTAAAGTTTTAAACGATTTGTTACATCTTTTCCGTGTGGTATAAAATTCCAGATGAAATTTGACGAGTTCAAACCAGTTAAACCTAGATTGTTTACACCATGTGATTGATTTACCTTATGAGGTTAACCTTGTTGATTGGATTTAATTGATGTAATTAACACTTGTTACATAATTCTTTTGTGTTTTAATTAAGAGATCATAACTTTATGATCACAGATAACTATTTTATGGCTTCCCTCACCACCCAAGCGCTGACCAGTGACAAGTCGGCAAATATACTTTGTACACAAACAGTGTGGACCCGATAGTTTTACACACGCCGGTACATTTTTTGTAGATCTTTACGCATAAATGACAATTATACATTTCTCAATTCTTATATTATAGTATTATATGTCTCTGATTAAACCATGGCCAAAATTATCTTTAGTTATGACATAGTTATTGCATGATCATGATGATAGTCAGGTTACAAGCTATCATAGTATCTGTCAACAGAAGGACATTGTACATATTACATGACCCAGTTAGTTCACGTAGAATGTTCAAGTTGATCTACAAGTGATTGCAATACATTTTGTATATTCTATTTCATAAATAAAAATTCATGACTGAACATTCAAACTGGATAACTTTATCAAAAATTAATGAATCGCAGAAGTAATCTAGCAAATTTTATTCATAATATAAAAAAGAAGATGTGGTATGATTGCCAATGAGACAACTCTCCACAAGAGACCAAATGACACAGAAATTAACAACTATAGGTCACTGTACGACAGCACATGTTAAATCTATTTATATCTACTTCCTGTCATTTAGGCGGGAAAATAGGGAGACTTTGTTGTTGACATTGAATATGGTTACTTGTAGATCTATAGACCCAGAGTATATGTCTCGGATAGACCTAAGATAAATTTATAGATTTAGGAATTCTTTTTAAATGGATCATGACAAATAAAGATTTAGATTTCAGTGCAGTATGAAGTCTGTATTAATGTTTACATGAAATTCATGGTAAAATGTTTAAAAATTGATGAAAAACTTCTTTTTATTAAATTTAAGATAGAAACTGGTTCAAATAATGAAATTATATTTGCGCATGTTAATTTTATATCTCCTTATCATGCTTATGACAAGAATCATTTCACATACAACAACTTTCTTTTTAGAAACTAGAAAGTTTTTTAAATTGAACATTTTTAGTCTCCTTTGAATGATATCTTATTTTTATTGATCATGGATTTTATAAAAGATTTAATTACTTTAAATTTAGATGAATATTGTGTAATGAATCCTGTTTTATTTATTTAAAAATAAATATTAAAGTATACAAACTGTTTATTGATTTACTTCTTTTTTACCAATAATTTTCTGACTCAATGTCTACATAACACAGTACCACAGTATTAAAACAAAACAAGAGACATAAAAACTGCAGTAACTAGAAATAAAGCTAAGCTACGAGGCAAGACTGATTGTATGAATCATTTCACTAAGCTGTTGACACACGTTACCCTGGTGCTATCGAAAAATCCTGGGGAGAACACTGCACTGGACATCACAGTGCATTTTGATTTGTTCCTTACAAGCAAAGCATTTCGTTGTGTCCACACTTGTTGATAAATTATATTTGTCAGATTTGTATACAAAGTCTATGTAACAAGTATTTATATTTTTCAGACTATTGGAATAAAGAAGAATGAAAAATTTGTCATTGCTACAACAAACAGAGAAGAAATTAAAGATGATCCATCATGGGGTAAAAGTTTTATCAGCTAAGACTTCAAAAAGACAATAAATGTCAAAAATATTTGTTTGATTATGAACTCAGTACCTACCATGAGCAACATGATGGGTTCCAGTAGTTGAGCTAGATTTTTTTTACCATACCTGATCAGCTGAGATCACCCCAAGTTTGAGGTTGCGTACATATTGCTCAGACTTTAGTTTTCTATGTGATGTTTTGTGGACTTGTTTGAACTAATGTTACTGTAAATTCAGAAATATTTGCATGAATTTATTATTGTGATTGTTGAAATTTCTTTAAATAACTGAGATGATTTATTGCAATTTCATTAGATTGTGGCATACAATATGTTAATTTAATTTAAAATGGTAGTTTTTATTTAGAAACACCTATCCTGTTGCAATACCCAGTGTGTATATGAAAGAAGATGTTGGGTATCTATCAAAGACAGTCAGGGGTACTACTTGTACAAGTAATCTTTATTTACTTGAAGAAGTAAAATAAAATATACTTATATAAGTTAATTATAATGTTTGAATAATCTCCCCTTAATTTTCTCAAAAATTCACTTGTATAAGTAAATTTTTTTTACAATCCCACAAAAATTCTCAAGTTTTGAGATGTAAAAACATGCCTTTAATGATTTTTCCCAGGTTAGCTCATACTTTTTGATTAGAGTTCAATGTTTCATCTCATTAATTCAACAATGAAACTGATTGCACAAAGATCTTAAGTATTTACGCAAGGCCTTCAAAAATTGCTCCTTGGGGGCTTGTAAATGAGCAGTGTTCTGAAGATAGCAGACAAATGATATTTTCATTGTCCATGAAATTACACTTTAATGATTAGTTAAGACATCTGCAAAGGACAGACAATTTAAAATTCTATTAGAACAAAGAAGTTCTTAGAATTCAAGAAAAGAAGATAGGATGATTTTTTCACTTATACATTATAAGTAAAAAAATCTGAATGTCTAAGGGACATAACTAAGCCAATTATTTTTTTACCTATACAAGTAAATAAAATACACTTGTATAAGTATCCTACAAATTTACTTATATAAGTATATTAATATTACTTCTTCAAGTAAATAAGAATTACTTGTACAAGTAGTACCCCTGACTGAAAGAGATAGCAACTAAACAAAAACATCAATAGTCAAAGTAGAGGTCAACATATAGTCTTTAACAACAGACAGGTGTATTTACAATATGTCGGGCTCGAAATTATCCATTGTCTAAATGGTATTTTATGATATGATAGTTGTTGTTTTGGCTTTTCCATTAAAATGTATGTGGGAGGGAAGGAAGGGACTTTCAAAATATCCCTACAAAAAAGAACCATTTTTTAGATAATTTTGCATAATGGTAATGGACGCATACTGAAAAAAGACCCATGACCCACATTCAATAATTAAACTTCCCTTCCGACCCTCCCACATACATTTTAATGGAATAGCCCTTAGGATTCTATTTAAATTTTAATGATGTATCATAATTACATTTAATATTTCAGACATTATTGATAAAGGTGACACATTGTATGTATTGAAATCCATTAACCAAGAGTTATGTGCCCCTGCTAAAGAGAGAGTCAACTTCCTGCCTCATTATGATACCATTGTTAAGGGAGGCATGTACGAGTATTATGCATCTGAGGGACAGAATCCATTACGTAAGTACACATTGTTAAGGGAGGCATGTATGAGTACTATGCAGGGGTTCAAATTTACTTTAGGCAATGGAAGGTCTAGGACCTTTGACCAAAAGTACTTAAAGGTCCTCCTTTATACCTTGAAGGTCCAATTTTTATTGGAAATTCAATTTATAAAAAATCGAAAATGCTTACCATTCCAAAGCACTCACCATATCTTACTACATTAACCTAATTTTTTTCTGAATTTCTTTAATAAATTCAGTCAGAAAAAGGCTGCCCCTTTCCCCAACACTATACACTGTGTTAAATAACACTTTGTACCTTTTAAAATGTTTTGGTTTCAATTGCTGCTTTAGAACACACTGGCTTAACTTTGTGTCAAATAACAGTTTCGTTTTCAAACTTGGGGTCAGTTTCTTTTAACCACATTTTTGGCAAGATATATAGATGCTGGGAGGAAATTTTTCATCATGATTTTTTATGGGGTAAAGTTTTAAAATTTTGTCTAACGAACCAGGGCACTTTCCCTTTCATTATGTTCTCTTTTTTCCTGTCATATATTTGGTCTTTAGTCAGATCCTGTCTTTGGGCTGCGTTAAGCCCTTTCATCAATCACACCCGCTGTATCACCCGTTTCATCAGGGTTTCTTTTGGAAGAAGTCACCCCAAAACCAAACAGACTCATACCATTTACTAGTTATGTTCTAATACTATATTCTCCAGTTTCCCGGTATCTTGTATGAAGACCTGTCATGTGACTTCACATCAAATTCATTGTGAAGAATTTAAGCAATCACATAAGTTTCCTTTCAGTAAAGTTGCATATTTTAAGATTATTTTTATACTACATTTTTATATTTTTGTTCAAAATGCTTTTGTAATTGTTTTAATCTGCAAAAATACAAAATTCCGTCGGTTGTAACTAACTACCGGTGGGAAGGTCCGAATCTGTAAATGGAAGGTCTCGGACCTCAGATCACCACTAATTTGAACCCCTGCTATGCTTCTGAGAGACAGAATTCATTCCGCCGTGGCGGTGGGGGTATTAAGTTTTACCCTTGTCCGTCTGTACGTACGTACGCACGTCCCAAAATTGGTTTCCGTTCTCTAACTTGAGTTTGCCTCAACCAAATGTTATACACAATGCTTATTACCACAAAACACAGATCAAGTTTGAATTTTGGTGGCGTCACTTTAACCGTTCTAGAGTTATGCCCCTTTATAAATGGAAAAATTGCAAAATTTTTATTTTCTTCTAAATATCAAGTAATTTTTATACGACCGCAAAAAAATTTTTGTGGTCGTATATTGGTATGACGTTGGCGTCGGCATCGTCGTCGTCCAGCATCGTCGTCCGAATACGCATTAGTTTTCGCACTCTAACTTTAGTTTAAGTGAATGGATCTCTATGAAATTTTACCATAAGGTTCAATACCACAAAAGGAAGGTGGGGATTGATTTTGGGGGTTATGGTACCAACAGTTAAGGAATTAGGGGCCAAAAAGGGGCCAAAAATAAGCATTTTCTAGTTTCCAGACAATATCTGTGGAATGGTGTATGGATCTCTCTGAAATTATACTACAAGTTTCCATACCACAAAGGGATGGTTAGGATTTGCTTTGGGGGGTTATTGCTCAAACCGTTTAAGAATTAGGGGCAAAAAAGGGGGAAAAACAAGGTTGTCCTCATTAATGGACAAATACTTTAGTACAAAACATAATTTAAAGCAGTGTAAGGGAGATAAATCAAATACATCATTGAAATTATCTCCCTTACACTGCTTTTAAATTATGTATAAAGTAATGGTTAATGAACAATTAAGATAATTTAAAACTGTAAGGGAGGTAATCCAAATGCAACGTTTTGGTTACTTCCCTTACACTGCTTTTAAATTATGTTTAAAGAAATGCATATTTGTAAAGGAAGACCAGTATGACGCATTAGATTTGTAAAATCTTTGACCACATTTATTTATTTGTTATGCCGAATCTAACCGTGTATTTAGATTTTTAATTTCGGGTCCGGTTTTCAAATTGGTCTACATTAAGGTCCAAAGGGTCCAAAATTAAACTTTGTTTGATTTTAACAAAAATTGAATATATGGGGTTCTTTGATATGCTGAATCTAAACATGTATTTAGATTTTTGATTTCTGGCCCAGTTTTCAAGTTGGTCCAAATTGGGGTCCAAAATTAAACTTTGTTTGATTTCAACAAAAATTGAATATATGGGGTTCTTTGATATGCTGAATCTAAACATGTATTTAGATTTTTGATTTCTGGCCCAGTTTTCAAGTTGGTCAAAATTGGGGTCCAAAATTAAACTTTGTTTGATTTCAACAAAAATTGAATATGTGGGGTTCTTTGATATGCTGAATCTAACCATGTATTTAGATTTTTTATTTGTGGACCCCGCTATCAAATTGGTTCATATTGAGGTCAAAAGGGTCCAAAATTAAACTTTGTTTGATTTCATCAAAAATTGAATTATTGGGGTTCTTTGATATGCCAAATCTAACCGTGTATTTAGATTTTTAATTTTGGGTCCCGTTTTTTAAATTGGTCTACATTAAGGTCCAAAGGGTCCAAAATTAAACTTAGTTTGATTTTAACAAAAATTGAATTCTTGGGGTTCTTTGATATGCTGAATCTAAACATGTGTTTAGATTTTTGATTATGGGCCCAGTTTTCAAGTTGGTCCAAGTTGGGGTCCAAAATTAAACTTTGTTTGATTTCAACAAAAATTGAATATATGGGGTTCTTTGATATGCTGAATCTAAACATGTATTTAGATTTTAGTTTTTGGCCCAGTTTTCAAGTTGGTCCAAATTGGGGTCCAGATTAAACTTTGTTTGATTTCAACAAAAATTGAATATATGGGGTTCTTTGATATGCTGAATCTTACCATGTATTTAGATTTTTTATTTGTGGGCCTGCTATCAAATTGGTTCATATTGAGGTCAAAAGGGTCCAAAATTAAACTTTGTTTGATTTCATCAAAAATTGAATTATTGGGGTTCTTTAATATGCCAAATCTAACTGTGTTTTTCGATTTTTAATTTTGGGTCCCGTTTTTTAAATTGGTCTACATTAAGGTCCAAAGGGTCCAAAATTAAACTTAGTTTGATTTTAACAAAAATTGAATTCTTGGGGTACTTTGATATGCTGAATCTAAACATGTGTTTAGATTTTTGATTATGGGACCAGTTTTCAAGTTTGTCCAAGTTGGGGTCCAAAATTAAACTTTGTTTGATTTCAACAAAAATTGAATATATGGGGTTCTTTGATATGCTGAATCTAAACATGTATTTAGATTTTTGATTTCTGGCCCAGTTTTCAAGTTGGTCAAAATTGGGGTCCAAAATTAAACTTTGTTTGATTTCAACAAAAATTGAATATGTGGGGTTCTTTGATATGTTGAATCTAACCATGTATTTAGATTTTTTATTTGTGGACCCCGCTATCAAATTGGTTCATATTGAGGTCAAAAGGGTCCAAAATTAAACTTTGTTTGATTTCATCAAAAATTGAATTATTGGGGTTCTTTGATATGCCAAATCTAACCGTGTATTTAGATTTTTAATTTTGGGTCCCGTTTTTTAAATTGGTCTACATTAAGGTCCAAAGGGTCCAAAATTAAACTTAGTTTGATTTTAACAAAAATTGAATTCTTGGGGTTCTTTGATATGCTGAATCTAAACATGTGTTTAGATTTTTGATTATGGGCCCAGTTTTCAAGTTGGTCAAAATTGGGGTCCAAAATTAAACTTTGTTTGATTTCAACAAAAATTGAATATGTGGGGTTCTTTGATATGTTGAATCTAACCATGTATTTAGATTTTTTATTTGTGGACCCCGCTATCAAATTGGTTCATATTGAGGTCAAAAGGGTCCAAAATTAAACTTTGTTTGATTTCATCAAAAATTGAATTATTGGGGTTCTTTGATATGCCAAATCTAACCGTGTATTTAGATTTTTAATTTTGGGTCCCGTTTTTTAAATTGGTCTACATTAAGGTCCAAAGGGTCCAAAATTAAACTTAGTTTGATTTTAACAAAAATTGAATTCTTGGGGTTCTTTGATATGCTGAATCTAAACATGTGTTTAGATTTTTGATTATGGGCCCAGTTTTCAAGTTGGTCCAAGTTGGGGTCCAAAATTAAACTTTGTTTGATTTCAACAAAAATTGAATATATGGGGTTCTTTGATATGCTGAATCTAAACATGTATTTAGATTTTAGTTTTTGGCCCAGTTTTCAAGTTGGTCCAAATTGGGGTCCAGATTAAACTTTGTTTGATTTCAACAAAAATTGAATATATGGGGTTCTTTGATATGCTGAATCTTACCATGTATTTAGATTTTTTATTTGTGGGCCTGCTATCAAATTGGTTCATATTGAGGTCAAAAGGGTCCAAAATTAAACTTTGTTTGATTTCATCAAAAATTGAATTATTGGGGTTCTTTAATATGCCAAATCTAACTGTGTTTTTCGATTTTTAATTTTGGGTCCCGTTTTTTAAATTGGTCTACATTAAGGTCCAAAGGGTCCAAAATTAAACTTAGTTTGATTTTAACAAAAATTGAATTCTTGGGGTACTTTGATATGCTGAATCTAAACATGTGTTTAGATTTTTGATTATGGGACCAGTTTTCAAGTTTGTCCAAGTTGGGGTCCAAAATTAAACTTTGTTTGATTTCAACAAAAATTGAATATATGGGGTTCTTTGATATGCTGAATCTAAACATGTATTTAGATTTTTGATTTCTGGCCCAGTTTTCAAGTTGGTCAAAATTGGGGTCCAAAATTAAACTTTGTTTGATTTCAACAAAAATTGAATATGTGGGGTTCTTTGATATGTTGAATCTAACCATGTATTTAGATTTTTTATTTGTGGACCCCGCTATCAAATTGGTTCATATTGAGGTCAAAAGGGTCCAAAATTAAACTTTGTTTGATTTCATCAAAAATTGAATTATTGGGGTTCTTTGATATGCCAAATCTAACCGTGTATTTAGATTTTTAATTTTGGGTCCCGTTTTTTAAATTGGTCTACATTAAGGTCCAAAGGGTCCAAAATTAAACTTAGTTTGATTTTAACAAAAATTGAATTCTTGGGGTTCTTTGATATGCTGAATCTAAACATGTGTTTAGATTTTTGATTATGGGCCCAGTTTTCAAGTTGGTCCAAGTTGGGGTCCAAAATTAAACTTTGTTTGATTTCAACAAAAATTGAATATATGGGGTTCTTTGATATGCTGAATCTAAACATGTATTTAGATTTTAGTTTTTGGCCCAGTTTTCAAGTTGGTCCAAATTGGGGTCCAGATTAAACTTTGTTTGATTTCAACAAAAATTGAATATATGGGGTTCTTTGATATGCTGAATCTTACCATGTATTTAGATTTTTTATTTGTGGGCCTGCTATCAAATTGGTTCATATTGAGGTCAAAAGGGTCCAAAATTAAACTTTGTTTGATTTCATCAAAAATTGAATTATTGGGGTTCTTTAATATGCCAAATCTAACTGTGTTTTTCGATTTTTAATTTTGGGTCCCGTTTTTTAAATTGGTCTACATTAAGGTCCAAAGGGTCCAAAATTAAACTTAGTTTGATTTTAACAAAAATTGAATTCTTGGGGTACTTTGATATGCTGAATCTAAACATGTGTTTAGATTTTTGATTATGGGACCAGTTTTCAAGTTTGTCCAAGTTGGGGTCCAAAATTAAACTTTGTTTGATTTCAACAAAAATTGAATATATGGGGTTCTTTGATATGCTGAATCTAACCATGTATTTTGATTTTGGACATTGGACCACAATAGGTAAATTAAAAAAATTCAAGTTCTTAGACCACATTCTTTCTGTGTCAGAAACCTATATGCTGTGTCAAATATTTAATCACAATCCAAATTCAGAGCTGTATCAAGCTTGAATGTTGTGTCCATACTTGCCCCAACTGTTCAGGGTTCGACCTCTGCGGTCGTATCAAGCTGCGCCCAGCGAAGCATTTTATTAAAATTGGAGTTATCTTTCTTTGTCCATGATTAAACTTAAATCAACTACAATCAATGCTTTATACAATGCAATGTTTAATTTTGACTTCCACTGATAAAACACAGATCAAGTTGAATTTGGGTAGTGTCACTTTAACCATTATTGAGTTATGCCCCTTTATAAATTGAAAGATTGAAATATTTTTAGTTTCCATTCTGTAACTTAAGTTTGCCCCAAACAAACATTATGAAACCTATACACAATATTCATTACCACAAAACTAAGATCAAGTACAAATTTTTTGTTTCCGTTTTCTAACTTTAGTTTGCCTCAACCAAATGTTATGAAACTTATACACAATGCTTATTACTACATAATACAGATTAAGTATGAAATTTGGTGGCAACACTTTTACCATTCTTGAGTTAAGTCCATTTATAAACATAAAAAATGCTGAATTTTTCGTTTCCGTTCTCTAACTTTAGTTTATTTTTAGCTCACCTGGCCCAAAGGGCCAAGTGAGCTTTTCTCATCACTTGGTGTCCGTTGTCTGTAGTCGTCGTCCGTCGTCGTTAACTTTTACAAAAATCTTCTCCTCTGAAACTACTGGGCCAAATTTGACCAAACTTGGCCACAATCATCATTGGGGTATCTAGTTTAAAAAATGTGTCCGGTGACCCGGCCAACCAACCAAGATGGCCACCATGGCTAAAAATAGAACATAGGGGTAAAATGTAGATTTTGGCTTATATCTCTGAAACCAAAGCATTTAGAGCAAATCTGACATGGGGTAAAATTGTTTATCAGGTCAAGATCTATCTGCCCTGAAATTTTCAGATGAATCGGACAACCCGTTGTTGGGTTGCTGCCCCTGAATTTGTAATTTTAAGGAAATTTTGCCGTTTTTGGTTATTATCTTGAATATTATTATAGATAGAGATAAACTGTAAACAGCAATAATGTTCAGCAAAGTAAGATCTACAAATAAGTCAACTTGACCAAAATGGTCAGTTGACCCCTTAAGGAGTTATTGCTCTTTATAGTCAATTTTTAACCATTTTTCGTAAATTTTTGTAATCTTTTACAAAAATCTTCTCCTCTGAAACTACTAAGACAAATTTAACCAAACTTGTCCACAATCATCATTAGGGTATTTAGTTTAAAAAATGTGTCCGATGACCCCGCCCGCAAACCAAGATGGCCGACATGGCTAAAAAATAGTACATAGGGTAAAATGCAGTTTTTGGCTCATATCTCTGAAACCAAAGCATTTAGAGCAAATCTGACAGGACAAAATTGTTCATTAGGTCAAGATCTATCTGTCTACAAATTTTCAGACCAATCAGGCAACACGTTGTTGGGTTGCTGCCCCTGAATTTGTAATTTTAAGAAAATTTTGCAGCTTTTGGTTATTATCTTGAATATTATTATAGATAGAGATAAACTGTAAACAGCAATAATGTACAGCAAAGTTAGATCTTCAAATAAGTCAACATGACCAAAATTGTCAATTGACCACTTAAGGAGTTATTGCCCTTTATAGTCAATTTTTTACAATTTTTATAAATTTTGTAAATTTTTGTAAATTTTTACAAAATATTTTCCACTGTAACTACCGGGCCAAGTTCATTATAGATAGAGATTATAGTAAGGAGCAAGAATGTTCAGTAAAGTAAGATCTACAAACATATCACCATCACCAAAACACAATTTTGTCATGAATCCATCTGTGTCCTTTGTTTAATATGCACTTAGACCAAGGTGAGCGACACAGGCTCTTTAGAGCCTCCAGTTTTTATACGACCGCAAAAACTACAAGTTTCCATACCACAAAGGGATGGTTAGGATTTGCTTTGGGGGGTTATGGCTCAAACCGTTTAGGAATTAGGGGCAAAAAAGGGGGAAAAACAAGGTTGTCCTGGTTAATGGACAAATACTTTAGTACAAAACATAATTTAAAGCAGTGTAAGGGAGATAAATCAAATACATCATTGAAATTATCTCCCTTACACTGCTTTTAAATTATGTATAAAGTAATGGTTAATGAACAATAAAGATAATTTAAAACAGTGTTAGGGAGGTAATCCAAATACAACGTTTTAGTTACTTCCCTTACACTGTCCAAAATTAAACTTTGTTTGATTTCATCAAAAATTGAATTATTGGGGTTCTTTGATATTCCAAATCTAACCGTGTATTTAGATTTTTAATTTTAAGTCCCGTTTTTTAAATTGGTCTACATTAAGGTCCAAAGGGTCCAAAATTAAACTTAGTTTGATTTTAGCAAAAATTGAATTCTTGGGGTTCTTTGATATGCTGAATCTAAACATGTGTTTAGATTTTTGATTATGGGCCCAGTTTTCAAGTTTGTCCAAGTTGGGGTCCAAAATTAAACTTTGTTTGATTTTAACAAAAATTGAATATATGGGGTTCTTTGATATGCTGAATCTAACCATGTATTTTGATTTTGGACATTGGACCATAATAGGTAAATTAAAAAAATTCAAGTTCTTAGACCACATTCTTTCTGTGTCAGAAACCTATGCTGTGTCAAATATTTAATAACAATCCAAATTCAGAGCTGTATCAAGCTTGAATGTTGTGTCCATACTTGCCCCAACTGTTCAGGGTTCGACCTCTGCGGTCGTATCAAGCTGCGCCCCAGCGAAGCATTTTATTAATTCTGTTAAGATTGTAAATCAGAGTGTCCAAAACTTTTTGACTGTCTACATCATGTACTTTATGTACATTGTAGTACAAATTCGTTTTAAAATAAATCCTCACTTACCATGCTTACTGTGATTTCTTTAATGTTTGTGGGATACCAATTTAATGTTTGTGGGATACCAATTTAATGTTTGTGGGATACCAATTTAATGGATTTCCTAGGTATAGGTAAGCAACCAATGTTAACATACAAAGAAGTATAAATTTTCTTTTAGGCTTGAAAATAGACTTTGGCAAGACCACAAAATCAAATATCAATGAAAAAATCTATTTTTCCTCAATCTACGAAAATTGGTACTCACGAAAATAGCTGATTCTACAGTTTAATGCATGTTATCCTCTGGGAATATGCTTGAATTATTTGCATCAGGACACTACATTAATCAAGCAAGGATCCATCCTCATTTATTGGGATGGGGATGGTAAACACACATTCCTCCAATTGGACAGATAAGTCCTTAAAAAAAAAACCATATTAACAGGCATGGAATTAGACAGTTCACACGTGCCACTGCCACCCCCCCCCCCTCTAAAAATAAAAAAAGTAAGATTACAGCCAAATTTTGTGTCAAATAAGGTCCACTCCTACCTAATTCTCAGGCAGCATGTCTGGCCTAATCAAGAAACCTGTTATAGATATTTTAAGTACTAATGTAATTTTAGCTGTTTAAAGATATTTATAAATTTATTTGCCTTTTTTGTGTTTTAGCCTATGCTTTTGCTGAATTGATAGATAATGCCCTGTCTGCAACAGCTAACAATGATGGACCCAGAAAAATAGAACTCAGATTGGTAAGGCAATCAGAATCATTACTCATTTGAAATAGAGATTATTATTATACATGTTATAACTTATAGTGCTGTTAAAAATGTTTTGTGGAAAGTTTATCATTGGTACAAGCATGAATTAAGGCTAATGAATTGTATATACATTTATATATGTACAATGCCATTGAAAATGATTGATTTTTTGTGTTTACACCACTTTCAGCCCTCTTGGTTATACCATGGCAGCATGATCGAGATGATTAGTGTCCTTATCTTATGTTCTTTGGTCAGCTAGGTTAAACATTATATCCTGCTTTCATAAAAAAGAAGGGGTCTCAATGGCCATGCAGTCGTCGGTCTACAGTGGTCACTAACCTGTTAACACTAAGGTTGTGATTTGGAACCCTGTCCTTGGCAAGGTGTGTTTGACTGGATTTGGAACCCTGTCCTTGGCCAGGTTGTGTTTGACTGGATTTGGAACCCTGTCCTTGGCAAGGTGTGTTTGACTGGATTTGGAACCCTGTCCTTGGCAAGGTGTGTTTGACTGGATTCGGAACCCTGTCCTTGGCAAGGTGTGTTTGACTGGATTTTGGACCCTGTCCTTGGCCAGGTTGTGTTTGACTGGATTTGGAACCCTGTCCTTGCAGGCCTCTACAATAACTTTTTTTTCAACTTGCCCAATAGGACAAGTACATACCAAAACTTACTTGTCCGATTGCAATTGTAACTTTTCCAAAAAAAAAACCCTTGGTATTAACCTTTTTGCATTTAGGTTGATTCAATGAACAAAATGAATTTAAACAATATAACAGAATTTGATTTATATCTCTTGATATCCTTTTCAAAAATATGAGTCGAGAACAACTGCATCTAGTCATGTCTAGTCACAGGACTTAGGTTTTAGTTTTCATCAATGCCAAAGTCTCATCAGACTGCACATCAGGCACAGTCTGGTAGGCCTGTCAGTCTACACTAATTTGGATTGTATTCTGGTCTTTTATGATGATAATATATTGATTATTATTACAGTCAGCTTTGTTTTTAATATGTTACATTTTGTAAAATGTTTATTCAAACACAATAAAATATTGTTTGTCTAAATATGATCAAATATGATTTTCTGAAATTTATGGTCAATTATTTCTTCATTTTTATATTTTAAATATTTTTGCCAAATAAAATTTATCATATATTTATTAAAAGCAACAGAATAATGTAGGGAAACAATGTACTGGTTTGTCTTGGTCCCGAAATATCTCCAACAGTGCCATACTGTCTATTAAACATGGAGACGATTTGTTTCCTCGCCGGTGCCAAACTGTCTTGTTACCTTATATACAAAGCCGTAAGACTGGTTTACGAGAATAGTATGCCTTTTATCTGTTATACAGTAAACATGTCAAATTAAAATTTGTTTTTATCTTCTTTTCTGGTTTTTTGTTTATTACTTTGATCATCAAAGTTGGATATCGATGTTATTTATTTTCTACAGAATAATTTTACTTGTCCCGTCGGACATGCTTGGTATGGCTTTTACTTGTCTGACCTTTTTTTCCTCTGGTACTGGACAATCGGACAAGCGTTATTGTCGAGCCCTGCCTTGGCAAGGTGTGTTTGACTGGATTTGGAACCATGTCCTTGGCAAGGTGTGTCTGACTGGAACCCTGTCCTTGGCAAGGTGTGTTTGACTGGAACCCTGTCCTTGGCAAGGTGTGTTTGACTGATCTTCCCTGACGAGGATTGCCAGTTTTCATGTTGAAGGTCAAGGGTTTTCTCAACAAATAAAAACTTGCCTTAGTGATATAGCCATGAGTGCTGAAAGTGGCCTTAGAGATATAGCCATGAGTGCTGAAACTGGCCTTAGAGATATAGCCATGACTGATGACAGTGGCCTTAGAGATATAGCCATGAGTGCTGAAAGTGGCCGTAAACACCAAGAGTTAATCATATATAGCTTTGGTTGCTGAAGAGGCATAAAAGAAACCAACATAAAAATTTTAAAACAATATACGATAAACCATCTTATTTTTGCAGATTTTTTATTTCACGTTTACCCTTTCTAGCTGATTTCACAATGATTTATTTTCGTGATTTCATTGTTTTTTTAGGTGTTTCAGAGAAGATCAAAGTTTTCAACGATTTTTAGTGTCATTTTCTACTTGCTAAAGAAGCTGTAATAAATCACTTGTGAAAAATTAGTTGGTTGAGAGTATACCAGCAGGGTGACAAAAAAGACAACCAACTTTCAAGTCCAAAGAAAAAAAGATTAAGTGGCATCAGTCCACAACACAGCAGTAAAGAAAAGACTATGCAATACAAACCTAACAATAAAAGAGATTTGGAGGGGGATTTCAGGATCCCGTTATTGAGAGTAAACTTTTTTTTTATTGTAGCATTTTGATGAGAAGAATCCAAAAGATAATTGTATATTTGTGATAGATAACGGGAAAGGTATGACCCCTCGTCAGCTCAATAACTGGGCGATCTACAGACTGTCAAAGTTTATACGTAAAGACAAACGAGATAAAGTGTGAGTAGCTAGACTCTGTGTCTTTATACCTTAAACTTGACAGTTTTATATGTGCTATCTGTTGTAAACTCATTGTCTAGCCAATCTGTTAACTGTCAGTATATATTATTGTCTCATTGGAGACTTTGGCGTACTGCGTCAAGTTAGAATTGTATTGTAAATTTTTGAGCCATATCCATTCAGAACACTTCACTCAGTACTTTCCATTTAATCATTAGAGAAACCAATTCTACAACTTGTCCACTGTTGACTGCAATATTTATCATTAAGTGCCAGTCTTTGTAAGAATCAGGCAATTTAGAAAAATTTCAAAGCATGGCCGAAAAAAACCCACCGACCTAACCATCTTATTTTGAAGTTACCCTCATCCTGAATTAGAAATGGTAGGCCTTTGGTTTCTGCTTGTCTGGTAATTCAAGAAATCTCTAGATAACTTTTGGTTAGAATGATAGCAAATTATGTAGTTAGCTCCCCTTAACTGTTAATTTCTAGTGCATTTCAACCAAATAATATCTTGAATTACAAGAACAGGAAAAGGAAATGAATGCTATATTCGTGCACCATTATATATTTTGAACATGAACTAATGTCAACTTGAGTGGGTTTTTGTTTGTCATGTTTTCACCACTGCCTAATTCTTGGGCAGATTGGCACTTAAATTTTAAAAATTTATATGCTTGGTAAAACTTACATTTTTAAGTTAGAAAGTTAAATACCTTCAATAGATAAATATTGTAATGAATAGGGGAGGTGTGATATAGAACCTAAAAGGTTATGTAGAAAAAAGAGATTAACTGAATAACTAGACCTCTATAAAAAATAAGGAGATGTGGTCTGATTGCTAATCAAACAACTATCCACCAAAGTTAAAATGAAGTGGAATTATAGGCAACTGTACAATGAGAAAAACTCATACTGTATAGTCAACTTTGAAAGGCCCGGACACGAAAAATATGAAACAATTTGCATGTTTGGAGTAAACATCACTGAAATAGCAATCGAAAAACAAATTTAATCTAGAAGTCATCATAAGATCTAAGTAATAGACCAGAACATTCTGTTTATGACAAGCTCTGAATCTTTGGTATAAGGTGTCATACATAAAAAGACATTTGCTAGACAAGAAAGAATATTTTGTATGGTGATCATTTCATTTTACATGAATTTGTACAGAGATGTTTTTCATAGTCAAAATTTTATATTTAAAAAAAATCAACAATTTTACCAAACTTTCAAGGGATGTAGTTTTAAAAGATGTATTTTATTTGTATGAAAAGAAAAATGGGGGGATCTGGGCAGATAATACTATTACTTTTAAAGAAAAAGAGTTCAAAATAATAATAAAAAAATCAGAAATTTTACTTCATCTTGCACTTTTTTTTATCTCTCATACCATATTTCATTTTGAAGTGGTTTGATAAAATACTTCAATAGTAATGGTTAGTGATGAAAATATGTTCAAAAATAGGTTTTTTTTGTTTTTTTTTAATAGATTTATTTATGTGAATTGTCATATTGAACTTCCCACATTTCACTATGTATTTTAGGAGTTTAATTGATTATGTATTTTAGGAGTTTATTGACTTTTGACTATGTATTTTAGGAGTTTTATTGACTTTGTATTTTAGGAGTTTTATTGACTATGTATTTTAGGAGTTTTATTGACTATGTATTTAAGGAGTTTTATTGACTATGTATTTTAGGAGTTTTATTGACTATGTATTTTAGGAGTTTTATTGACTATGTATTTTAGGAGTTTTATTGACTTTGACTATGTTTTTTAGGAGTTTTATTGACTTTGACTATGTATTTTAGGAGTTTTATTGACTTTGACTATGTATTTTAGGAGTTTTATTGAAACAGAGGACGAAGATTCTAACAGTTCCCTGATACAGCCAAATGTTCCCCTATCACTTAACAGTGATATATCCTACTTTGGTGTCGGTGGGAAGCAGGCTGTCTTCTTTATTGGTACTTCAACCAGGGTATGTAATATCTAACATCTGGGCTATTCCATTAAATGGATGTTGGAGGCTATATAGGAACTTTCTTTCCTCCTCTCTTACTTTTATTTTAATGGAAAAGCCCTCATCAATATTTGAAGAGGTAGGAATTTTGTATTATTGATCTCAATAGAGTTCCTATTTTTAGCTAAAAGTAAGTTTTTCTTTTTGTAATGCATTAGAATCAGAATAACTGGACTGAAGTTAAAGAGTTGCCCGTTCAACAAATTCTCCGCTACGCGTGGTTAGAAAAACTGCATTTGCAACTGTCAAATTTACCGCAGCAGTTCAACTACATTATTGTTATTGTTTCAGGGCTGTTCCATAAAAAGCATACATAGCATCCAGGGAAGACTCTTCGATATCTCAACTATGGATGAGTGTTTTTGTACCGTGTAAATTTAAGAAGAAGTCTTAAATTGCTTTTGTAGATGGTCACTCCATTTTGGAAGTGCCTTCCGAGGGTACTATGTAAATTTTGATGTACCTGCCCTCAGTCAATATTCAGCCTTTACTGTACAAACAAATATTGCTCCTACAGTTATACTATTCTAATATTTTTCATTTTAAGTCTATTGAATAAATTTTCACTGGACCTACAGATTTTTTGGAAAATATCTTTTTGACTGTTAAATTACACTAGTATTAAACACATTTTCCCCAGAGTTTATCAATGAGTATTATTTTCATCTTTATTTTACAGATGATTTCTAAAGCTAGAGAATCTAAGGATGTTCATGAGCTAACCATATCTAAGGAGGAGTTTCAACAGAAAGAAATTAACCAAGAGGCAATCTACAGTGGCTTTATACATAATAGAAAGGTATATATATATATATATATATATATTATGGTGTTAGCCCTGTATAACCACGTGTTATCCGATGTCTGTCATAAAGTTGTTACATGTTTAGACGTGTATAATAAAATTAAAATTTGATGTGGTAATTTACATTATCATCCGTTACGACAGACAAATAAGCTGATCTGAAAGGTACACCATCTACTTGCCACTATACATCATGTACTGTGTTACAACCCTAGATAAAGCCGACGAGAAAAGGCATTACATTGACCACCAAAAGCTATATTTTTATGTAGCCTAGGTGGTCGAGTGGTCTAGGGCACTGGACACGGTGCAGGTGGTGTTGCCACGATGTCACAGAAGCCAGGGTTGGAATCCTTCTGAGGGAATAACAAAAATTTGCTAACGCAAATTTGAAGATCTAACATTGTTGGGCTGAATTTGAGACGAGTTATATATATATATATATTACTGCTTATATGAATGCAATGTAGATTTTAATATAAATGTAAAAGTATGAGAGGTTACATATTAGCATTTACAGTGCATATTTTATGTATATACAATGTAATAATTGATATAATATGAATCATTTTACCGTAGATACAAGCTTCAATATTTAACAAAACACTTTGTGGAATATACATGTATGTTCAGCGGAATAGACACACACCAGACAATGATATACACAATAATACAACATCAGTATAACACAATAGTACTACATGAATCTGTTGACACAACTACCTATATAAGCTTCCTGTTAACAAAATACTTAACGGTCTGTCCAATGTAATTTTTGTCTCATACGTCTCAGGAACTACAAATTAAAGCTTCCTGAAATGCATGCATATTATTTAGGGGCCAGCTGAAGCCCACCTCCAAGTGCGGGATTTTCTTGGTGTGTAGAAGACCCATAGGTGGCCTTAGGCTGTTTTCTGCTCTTTGGTCGAGTTGTTGTTTCTTTGACACATTCCCTGTTTCCATTCTCTATTCTATATTATTATTGTAAGTTGTAATAATATTGTCTTTCTTAAACAGCCAGGAGATGCAAGCCATATTTCTACTGACGATGAAATTGTGAGAAATGTTATTAACGAAGAAAAGAAAAGAGAAAATTTTACAGTGGTTCAAATTAAAAATATAAATCCTGACCATCTTGGTTATCTCAAGTGTAGAATAAAAGATTGGACACGACAATTAGCGTAAGTAATCATTGAATAAATGAAATCTTTGGGGTCAAAAATTGATCTTGGTCTGGCCTGTAACTTATGTCACAGAAGATGACACGTGTAAAAACTCATCTTGGTTGGCCTGTAATATATGTCACAGGAGATGACACGTGCGAAAACTTATCTTGGTCTGATCTGTAACATATGTCATAGAAGATGACATGTGTGAAAACTTATCTTGGTCTGGTCTGTAACATGTGTTGCTAAAAAAGATGACAAGTTGTGAAAACTTATCATGTACTCTCCTGTATAAACGTGTAGCTGAAGAAAATGAGATATATGAATGCTAATCTGTATGAAGAACATTTACACAAAGCTTGTCTTTTAGGATTTCATATCTTTTAAACAGATGCCTTATAATCTGAAGATCATACAGCATGTATGTGTTTTCTTCAACATGATTTTCAAGGTTCAGTGACTAAAAAATTCACTGCAAAATTTTCTTGAAATGAAATTTTTTTTCAGTTACTATCAATAATTGCTCACCTCAATTTGATATAAAGAATTTTTGTAAGATCTGATGGAGGACCTTTGACTTCATATATATTAAAATTGAGAATGAAAATGGGGAATGTGTCAAAGAGACAACAACGCGACCACAGAACAGACAACAGCAGAAGGCCACCAACAGGTCTTCAATGCAGCAAGAAATTCCCGCACCCGGAGGCGTCCTTCAGCTGGCCCCTAAACAAATATATATACTAGTTCAGTGATAATGAACGGCATACTAAACTCCAAATTGTACACAAGAAACTAAAATTAAAAATAATACAAGACTAACAAAGGCTAGAGGCTCCTGACTTGGGCCAGGCGCAAAAATGCGGCGGGGTTAAACATGTTTATGAGATCTCAACCCTCCCCCTATACCTCTAGCCAATGTAGAAAAGTAAACGCATAACAATACGCACATTAAAATTCAGTTCAAGAGAAGTCTGAGTCTGATGTCAGAAGATGTAACCAAAGAAAATAAACAAAATGACAATAATACATAAATAACAACAGACTACTAGCAGTTAACTGACATGCCAGCTCCAGACTTCAATTAAACTGATTGAAAGATTATGTCTTCATCATATGAATATCAGGCACAATCCTTCCCGTTAGGGGTTTAGTATCATACCATCATATTGTTCATTTATCATCTTGATATTTTGATCTTTTAGTCATTATTATGAAGGCAACACATCTTAGTGTGTCCACTCTAAATAAATTAAAACCATAATGTAATAAATATTTATTTTGTAGACATATTTACCATTATTACATACATGGACCGCAAGGAAACATCGACGAGTCTTCAGTAAAAAATAATCGAGCTCCAAGTCCCTTCCAGAATATTGATATAGAGGTTAGTAAAGGAACTCTATAAACTTAAGGTGGACTAAGTATTGGTCAGATATATCCAGGCACTATTTCTAAATGTAAATATACTGTAAACTTTTGAAAATATTGTGTGCATTTATTATTGTGATTTTTTTTTTGAAAAATGGACAAAAATGCGAGATAAATTGTTGCCATTTCAGTAAAAACTGCATATGAATATATATATCAAATATCAGAATGCAAGTTCTTATTATTGCGATACTCACACAGTCGCATTATTCACATTTATAAAAACCTCTCAATAATTTCTGAATTTACACTATAAGTTTAAGGGTGTAGTTAGGTGAAATTAAAAAAAATCTAGAATTTAAAATTGATACAATAAGTCAGAAGAGCATTAAGGAACAAAATAAGCTAAAAATATTGATAGATTATGGAACTCCTTTTTGAGATATTTGATTTTTTAAAAATGGCGGGAAAAGGCTGACCTTAACTTTTTACCTTAAATTTAGCATTGGCATTATTTGGGTCTCAATTCGTAAAAAAAAAAATCTAGAATCTAGAATCTGCTTAAATTTTGGTAATGACCTTTTAATAAGCTATTGAAATGTATGAAAAGAAAAGTGGGTGATATGGGGCAAAATATTTTACCCTGTATCATAGGAAAAACCCAAGGAGTCCAAACATCTAACAAAAATTCATAAACCTGGATACATCCTTAATACATTCCAGATCATTAAAGATTACATTGGTTTGTGCTTTCAGTTTTGAATATTAAAATGTTATATTTAATTGAATGATAATTTCAAATTTTGTACAGGGGAAACAAACACAGGTGTGAAATTGTAAATTTAGAGAAGGCATATTTTGCGCTTCTGGTGAGTCATTATTATACCCCTTCCTCAAAGAAGTTTATGTCTGTCTGTCAATTCATCCATCCCATACAATCTAGTGGCATATTTCTCAGGAACTTTCAATCAAGGCTTTTCTGAAATTTTGAATCAGAATACATTTAAGCATGCTATACTGTGTTATGCATCTAACACTTATCAACTTCCTGTTTACTGAATACTTATAGCAGGGGTATTATTAGTTTTGGAACTCTTTGTGTTAACATATGTTTTATATTCAAAATAGTTGTGGTAAATATGTTTAATTTTCATTGACAAGGCAATTCATAGCTTGATGTATTGCAAGGAAATTTGTCTATTGTTGAAGATCATGTTGACTTTTGGTGATTTGTGTTGTTGGTTTGCTGTCCCATTTCTTTTCATTCCTACATGCATTTGTTTTACAGGTGAAATTATTTATGCCGAAGCAGACGGTGCCACAAGTAATAAATCTGCGAGACATCGAGGACGACATGCAGACATTATATGTCAGATCTGGTGCCAGTGTATTTGACTTCAAAGCTACTGTGGAAGGATCTGGAGTGGTGGAGGGAATTATCAGATATCATCCGTTCTTGTATGACAAGGAAACATTTCCATCAGATATGAATGACCCCAGAAGTAAGTGGTGACCTTTGGCTCTTCTTATATGAATAACCCCTGCTTTGCTTTGAGGAATCATTTTTATCAAAAATTTAAAAAAAATATTGTAAGGATTTTTACATTTATAATAATTTTAAAGTAACATTGATGTTTTAAAAAATTGTTCAATTTAAGAAGGTAAAATGTCAAGAATTGTTGTAAAAACCTGTTGAATGTCCATGTGAAGTGGTAAAAGAAGTTCCATCACATAGAACACTACTGGTGATCCATACTGGTGATCCATACTGGTGATCCATACTGGAGAAGGGTTGAAAGTAAAGATAAGAATTTCACATGTTTGAAATCAGCCATTTATATTATGTTGGATTCTGAGGGGATGTTCCAGATTATGGTGCCCTTTACTTTTTATGCCCCACCTAGGGGCATTATGTTTTTCGGTCTGTGCGTCCGTTCGTCAGTCCGTCTGTCTGTCCCGATTCAGGTTAAAGTTTTTGGTCAAGGTAGTTTTTGATGAAGTTGAAGTCCAATCAACTTGAAACTTAGTACACATGTTCCCTGTGATATGATCTTTCTAATTTTAATGCCAAATTAGAGTTTTGACCCCAATTTCACGGTCCACTGAACATAGAAAATGATAGTGCGAGTGGGGCATCTGTGTACTATTGACAAATTCTTGTTTGGATAAAGAGAGCAGTCATGTGATCTGAACCCTTATGCAACTGGCTAGATCTTCATATACTCCAGACCTGATCACTACTTTTAAAAAAAAACAAAAAAATAGTGCATAGAGATGAACATTCTCAACATTGTATCAGGGCTTCCAAAACGGTCATATATTCCGGACTTGACCGAAACTTTCATAAAAAGTCCGGCTGCTCTCAGCCTCAAACGGTCAAATAGAATTGGTTTGCCACTTTTTGTTATTCAAGGCATTTTCATAAAACGGTCATTTCAATTTTTACCAACTATCGATCGATAAAAATGTCCGTTTGGGGCTTTGGGCATGTCCGTTTGAGCATTTTAGTTTATAATTGTGGCAATCTATTTCACAAAGATATTTCGGTCATAATTGGGTTTAATAAAGCAGATGCAGCATATTTCAGATACTTTGAAGTGTCTCAGTTAGTCTAATCCTCTGGGTACATAAATGTACCGCTTGGTCTTTAGCTTGTGTACATCAATAAAAAGTAGAAAAAACATGTTTTCTTTTATTTAAATAACAACAAGCTGTCAAACAATTATCCCTTCAATAAGTTATATTGAAGCCATAAATCATTTACTGATTACAGGTTTGTAACCTTTGATGAGGTGTCCTTAGCTTGTTTTTATCAATAGAATTAATGATGCATAACAATGTACATAAAGGTGATCAGGTAAACGAGGTCAAACATGTAAAATTGTAAGCGTGTATGGAACAACATCCTATTTAATTACGCTTTATAGATATTATTTTAAATGAGCATTCAGTTTTAAAAAGTATCCTGATATTTAAAAGTTATTCTTCAAATAAGGATATTTATAAATGAAAAAGTATGATATATATTATTTTATTAAACACTGTACATCGTGTTAAATACTGGGGTACTCTAAAGGGGAAAATTTATTGAAATATATAGGAAAAACACCGAGAATAGCTGAGTTGTCCAATAAATAAGGGGGCGTTCTCTATTCTTGTTTTCATATTAAAAACTGTTTTTATAATTGAAATTATAAAGAAGAATATCCAATCATGACAATCTCCGACTGTTATAAAGACTTTTTCTCAAATTGAACTTTACAAATCTGCCATCATGGGCAAACGTAAACGTGACGATTCCGATCAAAATTCGAAATCTGCTAAAAATGCTAGAAGCTTTATTCATACATGGTTACAACTGTTTTTATGGTTAAGATTTGACAGTATGCTAAATGCCATGTTTTGTGACATTTGTCAAAAACATAAACTTAAAAATAACTTTTCGAAAGTCAGCCGTTGTAGAGCATGCTAATAGCAATGACCACGTTCAAGCTCTTAAATTAGAGACAGCTTCCAAAAGTAATCCAATTGTATCGGTATTTGAGAAAGTTCATGAAAAGACTGACAACGCAATGTGCACCTTAGTCCGGAATGCTTACTTTATTGCTAAAGAAAACTTACCAATGGACAAATTTCAGTCAATAAATGATTTAACTAAGTTAAATGGTACCGTGATCACTTCTAAATTACATCAAGAGAACAATGCCTGCTCCGAATTTATTCAGACAATTTCCGATATTATAGAGACATAGGTGATGTCCGACGTAAAGTTAAGTCCCGCCGTGGGAATTATGATTACGACGAGTCAACTGATCTGGCTACGCAAAAACATTTAATTTTGTACTTATCATACCTCAAAGCTGGTGAACTGAAAATTAGTTTAAATTATTTATCAACTGAGTACGTTTTTATTTATTCTTCTTATTTTCTAAATCAGGTTGGGAAATTGTACAAAGAAAAATGTTATTACTGTTCAGTAGATTTTACACGGTTTAAAACAAAACCTTCATTGGGCCTCCTCAATGTTATCTATAAATACCGCATCAGTTGTAAAAGTCACGTGGTCAGGGAATCAATACACAAAAAGAAAAGTATCACGTGTATTTATGATCAAGTTGTATTGCAATTAAAGCCAACATCAACAGTTTCAAATAAGATACCCTTAATTTACAAAGTGTAAGTACTCACAGAGAGAAGATAGATTATATAAACAGAAACAAAAACATGAGAACAGTCAGGTACTGAAGCTGATTGATGCAATGATGGTTACTGTATTACGATACACAGAAAAATGACACAATACCGAGGATAATATTTTATTTATTTTTAGAATGAAGAAAACAAAACAGTTATAAATAATTTTATTGCATATAACACTACTAATTATTTAGACACATATATCAATTTATGCATCCTCTCAGTTACATTTAAGTATCCAGCTGATCATTGACCGTCAAAAATATTTCTTTGAAAAATGTCCGGCTGTCGTCAGGAAATTTTGGAAGCCCTGCATTGTATCCATGTAAATTTTAAGCAATTTATCATTGTAATTTATACTCGGAAATTTAAGTAACAAAGTGGTGTGTATGCGGATAATCACACCATTCAAGAAAATTATTTTATTGAAAATTACATATTAACGTGATTTTATCTGTTCTTAGAATAGCCATTAGAATTAATATTATAATTTGAGTTCTCTTCCTTTGTTCATAATTGTTGTTGAATAAAATACTAATATGGACAAAGAAGATGTCTTCAATTAAAAATATGCCTTCCATTGCTGATACACCAAAATGCTTAACTTTAAGTTCACTTTGGAAAATGCATACAATCTGCACTTTAAGTGCACATAAGTACTTTGATTCTTAAATGTCTGATACATACACTGTTAATTATAGGTGAGCCTGAAGTCTTTGATGAACATGATTATGCTGCAAATGACAGACCAGGAAGAGGGAGGAGACCAATATTTGAGTGTTACTGGAATGGCAGACTTATTCCATATACGTCTATAGAAGAGTAAGTTTAAGGGGACGTATTTGAGTTACTGGAATGGCAGACTTATTCCATATACGTCTATAGAAGAGTAAATTTAAGGGGACGTATTTGAGTGTTACTGGAATGGCAGACTTATTCCATATACGTTTATAGAAGAGAAAGTTTAAGGGGACGTATTTGAGTGTAACTGGAATGGCAGACTTATTCCATATACGTCTATAGAAGAGTAAGTTTAAGGGGACGTATTTGAGTGTTACTGGAATGGCAGACTTATTCCATATACGTTTATAGAAGAGAAAGTTTAAGGGGACATATTTGAGTTACTGGAATGGCAGACTTATTCCATATACGTCTATAGAAGAGTAAGTTTAAGGGGACGTATTTGAGTGTTACTGATATGGCAGACTTATTCAATATACGTCTATAAAAGAGTTAGTTTAAGGGGACATATTTGAGTGTAACTGAAATGGCAGACTTATTCCATATACGTCTATAGAAGAGTTAGTTTAAGGGGACATATTTGAGTGTAACTGAAATGGCAGACTTATTCCATATACGTCTATAGAAGAGTTAGTTTAAGGGGACATATTTGAGTGTAACTGAAATGGCAGACTTATTCCATATACGTCTATAGAAGAGTTAGTTTAAGGGGACGTATTTGACTGTTACTGGAATGGCATACTTATTCCATATACGTCTATAGAAGAGTAAGTTTAAGTGGACGTATTTGAGTTACTGGAATGGCAGACTTATTCCATATACGTCTATAGAAGAGTAAGTTTAAGGGGACGTATTTGAGTGTTACTGGAATGGCAGACTTATTCCATATACGTCTATAGAAGAGAAAGTTTAAGGGGACGTATTTGAGTTACTGGAATGGCAGACTTATTCCATATACGTCTATAGAAGAGTTAGTTTCAGGGGCTGATCCAGAAATTGGATTGCTTAAACTTTTTTGTGTTGCTAATTCCAATTGGAATATAAAAAAAATGGGACACAGGAAAAATTGCAATTTATACTAGTGAATATTTTGTTGAGTGTACTCTGATTATTTTTTTACAGTTTTGAATGGTGTGCTGAACCAAAAAAAGGAAAAAACTTACCATTGGAATGTTACAACAGGTATGTAAATCATTCTGTTCAATTTCCTGTTACAGAATCTAATGCATTATCATAAACATGATTTCACACATATTTTTTGATAATACATTAAAAATCAGACTAAATTATGAAAAACTGTTATATATTATGTTAAATGGACTTTTTAACAGGATTTCCCAAGGAAAAAAATCGGATATTGATTTGGGGATGTACGGCTGGGGGGGGGAATTCGGGCAGGCGGCTGCCAAACAGTGTCCGTGCATTTACTCATGAACCGTTCAGCCTAAGCTTTTCAAATTTTAATATGTTGTTACTGATGACTTAATGAAGATCAAGATCAATATTGACGATTTTCACTTTCACCGTTCAGGAGTCATGGTTCTTGAAAGATTGAAAAATGGGTTTTCCAGTTGTGTCATTGCTTTAACTCATGAACCATTCAACCAAAGCTTTTCAAATTTTAATATGTTGTTACTGATGACAAAATTGAGGTCAAGATCAATATTGACAATTTTCACTTTCACCTTTTAGGAGTTATGGTTCTTGAAAGACTGAAAAATGGTCTTTCCAGACGTGTCCGTGCTTTAACTCATGAACTGTTCAGCCAAAGCTTTGTTACTGATGACAAAATGGATGTCAAGTTCAATATCGATGATTGTTACTTATACCGTTCAGGAGTTATGGTCCTTGTGATATTGAAAAATGCCAGGACACAAATAATTGTTAAAAAAACTGGTTTGCTGTCGCTCTGACAGCCTCTTGTCTATGTTATATAATGTCAAATTTTATATCAATTCTTCCTCTTGAATGTGCATGAACTGTTTGCCTATGTGACTGCTTACAATAACAGAACTAAGAATGAACCATTTAAACTATATTTCTTTTCAGGATTTCCGGTGTATTGTTTACAAATGATCATTTCCAAGTCAGTACTAATAAGTTGACCTTTATTGACCTTGAAATGAGAATGAAGGAGAAAAACACAGCCTATCATAGAATACACAATGGACAGGTGACTATTTATAGCAAGGGTCAATATATTTTATGGTCTCATTGTGTTGGTGGATTGCTGTCTCATTCATGCATATCCTTAATTTACCTTTCAGACCTGCCAACTATCCCAATTTTGGTGGTATCATCCAGATTTTCATACCTCAACCCGAATCCCGATATCGGGATCGTAAAACAAGTCAAAACCCTGATTTTCACAAAATCTACCCGCAATAATTGTTGGTTACCAATTTTGAAGTTTTTCTGATCAATTTCTATAAATCTATAATTTTACCTGGCAACATATTTATGACAAGTTAACGACCCCAAGTTAATCAACGGTCACAACAGGTGTCATAATCTGTTGTTACAGGTAATCTGTTTATCCAATGGGTCATAATGATCCTAAAAATTAATTAATTTGTAAATAGAATCGGTCAGTCTGCATTTCAATTTTAATCAATTTATCATACGATCACAATTTGCAACGTAGTATCATGACAAAACGTAATTAACTGAAAGACGAAAACTGTAATGAACTCATTATGAAACATTGTTTATCTTGAAATCCGAGACAATTTTTGTAATTAGACGTGTTTCTGTCTACCAGTTCTGATTTAAAATCGTTGCCATATTGTATTCACTTCTACTGTGTATAAGCCTCCACCGGTAGGAGCACCTTTGAATACCAACGAAGATAACTCAAATTTTCTCAATACTGATAACTAACTAAAGATCTGTCTCCATCCTTCTAACTTTAGGACATTTAGGTTTAGGTCTTTTGAGGCATTGTGGAAAGATGAAAAGGTCTTTGGAGGGGAAAAAGGGGGGTTCTTCATTTTGTATTCTTTATTTTATTATGCCATTTTTTAGCTCACCTGACCTGAAAGGTCAAGTGAGCTTTTCTCATCACTTTGCGTCCGTCGTCCGTCGTCCTGCGTCCGTCGTCCGTCGTCCGTAAACTTTTACAAAAATCTTCTCCTCTGAAACTACTGGGCCAAATTTAACCAAACTTGGCCACAATCATCATTGGGGTATATAGTTTTAAAAATGTGTGGCGTGACCCGGTCAACCAACCAAGATGGCCGCCACGGCTAAAAATAGAACATAGGGGTAAAATGCAGTTTTTAGCTTATAACTCAAAAACCAAAGCATTAAGAGCAAATCTGACATGGGGTAAAATTGTTCATCAGGTCAAGATCTATCTGCCCTGAAATTTTCAGATGAATCGGACAACCCGTTATTGGGTTGCTGCCCCTGAATTGGTAATTTTAAGGAAATTTTGCTGTTTTTAGCTCACCTGACCTGAAAGGTCAAGTGAGCTTTTCTCATCACTTTGCGTCCGTCGTCCGTCGTCCTGCGTCCGTCATCCGTCGTCCGTCGTCAGTCGTCCGTCGTCCGTAAACTTTTACAAAAATCTTCTCCTCTGAAACTACTGGGCCAAATTTAACCAAACTTGGCCACAATCATCATTGGGGTATCTAGTTTTAAAAATGTGTGGCGTGACCCTGTCAACAAACCAAGATGGCCGCCACGGCTAAAAATAGAACATAGGGGTAAAATGCAGTTTTTAGCTTATAACTCAAAAACCAAAGCATTAAGAGCAAATCTGACATGGGGTAAAATTGTTCATCAGGTCAAGATCTATCTGCCCTGAAATTTTCAGATGAATCGGACAACCCGTTATTGGGTTGCTGCCCCTGAATTGGTAATTTTAAGGAAATTTTGCTGTTTTTGGTTATTATCTTGAATATTATTATAGATAGAGATAAACTGTAAACAGCAATAATGTTCAGCAAAGTAAGATTTACAAATAAGTCAATATAACCGAAATGGTCAGTTGACCCCTTTAGGAGTAATTGCCCTTTATAGTCAATTTTTAACCATTTTTCGTAAATCTTAGTAATCTTTTACAAAAATCTTCTCCTCTGAAACAACTGGGCCAAATTAAACCAAACTTGGCCACAATCATCATTGGGGTATCTAGTTTTAAAAATGTGTGGCGTGACCCGGTCAACCAACCAAGATGGCCGCCATGGCTAAAAATAGAACATAGGGGTAAAATGCAGTTTTTAGCTTATAACTCAAAAACCAAAGCATTAAGAGCAAATCTGACATGGGGTAAAATTGTTCATCAGGTCAAGATCTATCTGCCCTGAAATTTTCAGATGAATCGGACAACCCGTTATTGGGTTGCTGCCCCTGAATTGGTAATTTTAAGGAAATTTTGCTGTTTTTAGCTCACCTGACCTGAAAGGTCAAGTGAGCTTTTCTCATCACTTTGCGTCCGTCGTCCGTCGTCCGTCATCCGTCGTCCGTCGTCAGTCGTCCGTCGTCCGTAAACTTTTACAAAAATCTTCTCCTCTGAAACTACTGGGCCAAATTTAACCAAACTTGGCCACAATCATCATTGGGGTATCTAGTTTTAAAAATGTGTGGCGTGACCCTGTCAACAAACCAAGATGGCCGCCACGGCTAAAAATAGAACATAGGGGTAAAATGCAGTTTTTAGCTTATAACTCAAAAACCAAAGCATTAAGAGCAAATCTGACATGGGGTAAAATTGTTCATCAGGTCAAGATCTATCTGCCCTGAAATTTTCAGATGAATCGGACAACCCGTTATTGGGTTGCTGCCCCTGAATTGGTAATTTTAAGGAAATTTTGCTGTTTTTGGTTATTATCTTGAATATTATTATAGATAGAGATAAACTGTAAACAGCAATAATGTTCAGCAAAGTAAGATTTACAAATAAGTCAATATAACCGAAATGGTCAGTTGACCCCTTTAGGAGTAATTGCCCTTTATAGTCAATTTTTAACCATTTTTCGTAAATCTTAGTAATCTTTTACAAAAATCTTCTCCTCTGAAACAACTGGGCCAAATTAAACCAAACTTGGCCACAATCATCATTTGGTTATTTAGTTTTAAAAATGTGTGGCGTGACCTGGTCAACCAACCAAGATGGCCACCACGGCTAAAAATAGAACATAGGGGTAAAATTCAGTTTTTGGCTTTTAACTCAAAAACCAAAGCATTTAAAGCAAATCTGACATGAAGTAAAATTGTTTATCAGGTCAAGATCTATCTGCCCTGAAATTTTCAGATGAATCGGACAACCCGTTGTTGGGTTGCTGCCCCTGAATTGGTAATTTTAAGGTAATTTTGCTGTTTTTGGTTATTATCTTGAATATTGTTATAGATAGAGATAAACTGTAAAAAACGATAAATGTCGGCAAAGTAAGATCTACAAATAAGTCAACATGACCGAAATTGTCAGTTGACCCCTTTAGGAGTTATTGCCCTTTATAGTCAATTTTAACCATTTTTTCGTAAATCTTAGTAATCTTTTACAAAAATTTTCTCCTCTGAAACTACTGGGCCAAGTTAATTATAGATAGAGATAATTGTAAGCAGGAAAAATGTTCAGTAAATTAAGATGTACAAACACATCACCATCACCAAAACACAATTTTGTCATGAATCCATCTGCGTCCTTTGTTTAATATTCACATAGACCAAGGTGAGCGACACAGGCTCTGTAGAGCCTCTAGTCTCTATTCTTAGGGGGCCTTGGTGGCAGAGTGGTCTAAGTAGTTACTACTGTAATCACTAACCAGTCAACACTGAGGTTGTGAATTTGAACCCCGCTCGTGCGGGTGCACTCAACTCCAATCTTAATTGACTAGGATTGTCAGTTTTCCTATCGAAGGTCGTGGTTTTCTCCGGTCACTCTGGCTTCCTCCACCAATAAAAACTGGCCGCCACGAAATAGCCCAAAAGCGGTGCTTAAATGTGGCGTTAAAACACCAAAAATCAAATCAATCAATCTCTATTCTTAAGTTATTTTGCCAATTAATAAGTACAAGAATCATGCAAATATAAAAAATCAAGGCTTATTAGCTCATCATCAGTATACCAAAAGAAAAAAAAGAAGAGATATGAGACTATTTCAAGAGTATAACACAGTGCAAACAGAAACGCCGCAAAAATGTAAACCCGTAAAAATCTGGTCAAGCACTAAATCCCCCATGGGAATTTTCAAAAATTGGCAGGTCTGACCTTTAATAATAAACTGGGGAAATAATTTTAATTTTGGGTACTAGTTTGGATGGATTAAAGAATTGAATGCTTCTTTTTATAATTTTATTGGGGTGTAAAAGCGTTGACCGAAGCACATTTTATTATAAATGTGTGCACAATCAACGCTTTTACAACCATATAAAATTCTAAAAAGAAGCATTTAAATTCAATTCTTATAATTACATTTTTATGCTACAACAATGAAATTAAGAGTTATATGAAGCTTTGTTTGTTTTTCAATGCATTGTTGCAAGTGCAGTCATAGTTTTGTTTAATACGGAAATAAAATATGATTTTGGAGTGCCTTGTAGTTACTGTCAGCCAATCAAAATTACGGATTATAATGAAAAATACATGTAATGTAATTTATTTTTTGAATGAATGACCCATTTGAGATATATAGATTTTACCACCCCACCCAGTAGGAGGTAAAGAAGAGGCAGGTTTAAATTTTAACTTTCGAGAGTATTTAGATATTGAAGTCAACAGGGTTAAGTGGTATGATCTGTTTCTCCAAAGATTTAATGGAAAATGCAAAATCTCAAAAAAATTGATGGGAAATTATACAAGACAAATTAAAATAACTTGGGATTTATCAAAATTGATCAAACTTGACTGAACCAGTTTAAATGCATACAGAATTAAAGAAATTATCATTCATATACAGAAATTAGCAATAGTTGATGAGAAAGATTTTCTTCTACAATCTACAAGTAGGGACTCTGTGGGATTTATATAGAAGTATTTCATAATTAATATCAACGTATTATTTGAATGTACCCTATTGCAGAAGAAATTTAACGTACATTGTTTCAGACAATCATTTGACCTTTGACCCCTAGCACGTGTCGGCCTTTGATTACGATACAATTTTTTTCTGCCAAATTTCTATCCTTAATGCAAAACTGAATGTACATGTACAAAATGTGTAAAAACGTGTATCACTTGAATACATTGACTTTAAAACTATTTTTCTGTGTACTAATATCTTATGTTGTGGTCATCAGCTTTTTTAAATGATTAAAAAATGACATATAGAGAGATTATGATAATGAAATGAAAGATAAAAGGCCATTGTAAAAAACTTGAACATATTTAGCAGGACAGTGGTTGTTTCACTACTTAAACAGTTAAAGTATGGTAAATGATTGTAACTGTTTGGGTTGAAATAAAACAATTCTAATCATTATAAAACTTGAGAACATACAGGGGCAGGTATTACAGCAGTGAAAAAGGGAAGTAATTCAATATAAACGCAATTCATCATGAATGCCTTGTTTGCCTAGAACAGATAAAATCATACTAAAATCTCAGACTTAAATGCTTTTATTTTGGTTTTTTGTTGGCTTTATACAACATGTACAAAGAAATGACAAAATAATTTTTTTCAATGTTCTACATTTAGTCTCAATAAAAAAGTTCCACCATCAAATAGCTAGCCTGCTAGGTCCATCTTATTGCTCAGCAGCACCACCTGAAAGTATAAAATAGTACAAATAATTACCATTTGTTCTATACTTATATATTTTTAACAAACACATACACTTTTTATCATTTTATACATCATATCTTTTAAAACAGGAAAATTTATCTTGCAAAAATTATACATTGCTGTCCATTGGCAAATATTTCATGTATATTCAGGAGGATCAAAGGATATATAAAAATGTTCTTGTTTATTTCTGATAAATACAAAATTTGAAAACAATTTCCAATATTGTTTTCTGTTGTTGACTTATATAATGTAAATTTGTCAACATTACCATGTAATTAATTCAAATCTATAAATCTTGAAAAAAAATATTATGAAAACTGCACAACAAACTAGCTGAGTTTCATTCAAGACATAAACATCAACATAGAAACACTCAAAAATAAATACTAAAAGATTTTATTGAAATGTTTAGAATAAAATATTTTAAGCAAAGTTTTTTTTCAGTAATTTTCTGAAAAATACAATGTATTCTATTAAAAGTAATATAAGCTGATGGTAATAAATTATTCTAAACTTTCAGAAACTTTATTTTTATGAACAAAATGATTTACCAAAATCATGTAAATCCTCAGCGATTGTATGTTCCAAGATCTGAGTAGGAACTGCTGCACTACCTAGTTTTTTAATCAATGTTTTCAAGTTTTTTGTCAACTGGGAAATAGTGACTGGCTTTTTATTCACCTGAGAAACTTGGAACAAGGTTTTCTCACCAGGTTGTTCTAATACAAGTTGCCTAAATTTTATTTGAGTTTTTAAAATTTCTCTTTTGTTCTTTAAAAATTTAATTTTTGTCAGTTCTTGATCGACTTTTCTTGCATTGTCCCAAAGTCCTAATTTTAGAATGTGTTCTACAAGTTTCTTTTTTTCATTACATTTCTTTAACAGAAGTTTTCTTGCTTCCTCTTCTTTCTCTCGACTTATTCTTTCAAGTTCATTTTTTAAATCAGACAGTCTTTGTTTTTCAGTTATTTTCATTTCTTTAATTTTCAATTTTGAAGTATTGATAAGTTCCTGGACATGTTGTTCGGTCTGCTGATTTAGCCATGCACCCGTTTTATTTACATTGTAAACTATGTGCGCCTCATTTGCAAGTCGAGATGCATTGGGCCTGTGTTTAATTAACCAATCTAAATGACCAAAAATAAATTCTGGTAATTTATTATGTGGCAAGACAGAATTGAAAGTTGTGCTGGAATCAACACCATATTTGGTATGTTGGCCATCTTCTAGATGATCTTTAACTTTTTGTGACAAAGCCTTGCTAGTAGCAGAACACATCTGTATCAAAAAAGCAGCGCATGTTTCATCATTGTGATCGCGAACAAGAGATGCCCAAATGTCATCTTTTTTCACATCAACAGATGGAAATGGTATGAGTTCTCCTGTCATGAACAATTTAACTTTCTCAACTTCAGTTGAAATATCTTCAAGAAATTTAACTAAATGTTGGTACTTCTGGTTCATGTGCAATATATGTATATCCCCTTCAAGTATTTTCCACAATGGGGAGGTAATGAATTTATTGAAAAGCCCAAGAGCGCGACATCCTACCATTATTGTGTCATTCTGCACACAAGAGAGTACGGCTTTTAGCAGCTGATTCAGTTTACCTGGCGTTCCTTCGCCTTTAACATTTTCCAAGAAATTAATGATATGATTTCTCAAGTGGTATATGGCTCCTGCATTGTGGAAGACAACATTAAAGCGGTTTCCGAGAAAAGGTTTGATTTCATACTTATTGATATGTTGACGTTGAAGGTAGGTTTTAAATTCCAAATATGAGCCGTTTTTTTCATCTGCGCCTGATGCTAATGCTTTACTTGTAATCCTAACAGCATTTAAAACGGAGGACTCGCCTTTAAGACTTATTTCAGGATGTTCAGTACCTTCTGGGGGATCTTTGTGGAAATTATTGAACACGCTGTTCATTAATTCAGCAATATTAACTAGGAGATGTAAACCGCAGAAGAAATTGTACATTTTGCTTAGCAACATTTGGTCAGGTTTTTGCAACAGGTGATAATTTTCAAGATGTTCTTGTAACATGGATGATCTATAAGATTCTAGGAGTTGGTTGAATGATACCTGGGTAGCAGCTCTATCTGACATGGTACATTTTATATTTTGAAGAATTTTGATAGACAATTGATTATTTACTTCATTAGCTGTCACCTGATTATATCGCAACTCAATATCACCTAAGATTTGCTTAAATACATCGAGTTGTGTTTGTGCAGCCTTGTTTGACATTTGACGTAACCCTAAAAGAAATGGCTTCTTGTCCTCATTTGTCGTGACAAATACCACATATGGTTGGCCGTTTTTCTTTGTTTCGTCTGTATATAAAGTCTGGTTTTCCTGTTCAGAGCATACAATTGCTGCATGAGCCTGACTTACAAACAGTCTTGTTGCACTGATAGTTGAGACATAGTCCTTCTTTGGAAAAATGTCATTCCTACAGTCAACATTACATAGTTTCATGACACTTGACATGACACAAGATACTTTCTCAAAGGCGACATTTGCATTCAACAATTCCATGATGCATAAATTAGTATCTGTTGAAAAAGTGTATTTCCCATTAGGTGCCGGTACAGTCAAGTCTACCTGTTGTTTTTTCATTCAAATTATCCAACACGAAATGCAACTCATCTTTAGTTTTATTTATTTCATGTTTGTTTGCCTTTTGTTCCTGTCTCATATTAAGTATCTGGTCTTGCAACATTTTTACTTCAGTCTCATGTTTTGCTTGTAAATGATCTTTTATGTATCTTGTTTTTTGTGCAATGTTTTCCCAATATCTACATTTCTCTATTGTTCTTTTCTTTTCCATCCGTGTTATATTATTCATATATCTGATCCGTACTTTTTCATTTTGTAAACATTTTTGCATTGCTTTCATACTTGTTTCTGCATGTTTAGCTGAATTCTTCAGTATTTTGTTTGACTTTAGTAATTTAAATTCTGATTTTGATCTGTTTGCAAAACTATGCTTTAAATCAAGCAATTTTCTTTTCATACTGAACATATTCTGAATATTGTTTCTGTAAGATTTTTGTAGTAGAGTGTTTTGTTTCATTAAGCTGTTATACCTGTTGACTTGTTTTGTCAATTCTGTCTTTAATAGTTTAGTTTCAGAGACTTTGTGTGGTTGCTCATTTGGATATTGCAAAAACTTGCCATGAAGAAATTTGCCAAGTTTATCTTTCCCCAAACTACTTGCTGATTTTTGCAATTTTTTTTCTTTAATTCTAATATTTTTTATAGATTTGTTCATTTTTGTTATACTGTTTTTGGACATGTCCAGATCTATACCAAGAAGTTGACAACACCAAACATATACAAACTTGTTTGTAACGCTCAGTGACTCCTTAAGTTTATTCAATTCAAGAACCATGCCATTAGTAAGGCACTGTCCTTGAGATAAAGAGCTAAAAATTATCAAATGTGCAGCTATTCCTAAACAGAACTTGTACCCAAGTGCTTGTAGTTGCGGATACATATTTCTAAAATCAAGAAGAAGAGGATGTTCCACTACATGTACGATACATATTTTACTACATGACATTATTTTAAATTGCATTTTTTATTGTACCACATTCATGAAATAAAGGACAACAAACTGCATTAAACATTAACTCCAAAGAGATGAAAATAGTTTCCTTTTTTTCTTTAGATTCAACTCATTGAATTAATCTGTTAAAAACTGTTCTAAAGGATTATTTCACTCCTACAGAAGACTGCAAATATTGTTGAATTTTGGCCATTCGCTTTCAAAGATAAATTTCTGGGTTGTAGCAGTTGTCAATATTTTATAAGACCTTCTATCATTAAAATGTTAAAATACTACAAATAATTCAGACATTTTAAAATAATATTTACCTTGTAGAATTATGAATCTTTTGATTTACGTCTTCACCTTTGTTATCTGAAAGTAAAATTACAGCTCACTACATATTGCATATACATATATATACCTAGCTTTTACCAAAAATAAGTGTGTGTGCTTATGTGGATTTTAGGTGGTTAGCCTGATGAATTGGTCCAATCAAAACAGTGTGTGTCATTTAATAAACTAACTGCTATAGTATTAATAAATAAAAGATTGATTGAATAATTGATTGTTGCATGCATCAAGTCTAGTGTCAATTATTTCATTTATATTCAGGACTACAAACCAGTTGCAATGTGAAAATTATACTCCTGCCATAAGTATTTGGTAAACAGGAAGTTTATGAGAACTAAAAATACATCACACGGTATAGCATGCTCATACATGTATGTAGTCTTATTCCAGATTTCCGAAAGCCTTGTTTTTAATTTTATACATAGCATTAGGTGATGGATACATAAGTAATTGTTAAACAGAAGTTGATAAGCGATTAATCTTAAAATGTTGGATAAAAGCCAAAATGTTTCCTTGTTAGAGACCAACAACAGAAATGTGATGAGTTATTGCAAGGATTCTTTAATATTCAAAAAGCAAATCAATTTCCATTCAATGCATTATATTTAAAGTCTCCATTCCAACTGGATGTGACTGTGTATTTATACATCCAACACAGTCAAAAAGACACCTCACTTTTTATAGAGGGTTTTCCTAATGAAACGGTAGAAGTCTAGGGATTACAATATTTTAATGCCCCAGTTAACCCTTAGGTCATGAACAAAAATCAAAGTCTTACCTCACTGCATAGGTCTTTCATATATTGAAAGTTCTGATTACTCTATATATCTCGATCATTTCAACATGTGACCTGCGAACATAACAGTAAATGTATAATAAAGTAATTTACCCTTATTCAAAGAAGAAATACAGTTTGTGTATTGCATGATTTTTTTCACATATGTGGCATTTAACTGCTTTGCTCATTTACAGACGTTATTTCAAGTAATTGTATTTACTAGAAGGGTTGCTGCTTTTAGTTAACTAGTTTAAAATTTCAGTGGTTGTGCTTTAATAATAATTTTATGCAACAGAAGTAATAAATTTTTCAGAAATTAACATATGCAATTTTGATAATACATGTTGTAGCATTTTTTTTTTTATTTCAAAACAGATTCAATCAGAGACATATTGTTTTATATGTCTTTGATTCAATTAAGTATTGCATTTGTTTCTTACATTCCTTCTGTTAGTTGAACTAAATGTACATAATACAGTACATCGGGTATCAAATAATGTCGGTTAAAAGCAAACTAGAGTTTATGTTTTGTCCTTTTTTGAATACTTAGCCGACTCTAAATGAAGCGTACTTATTATTTATTATCCCGCATAGTGCCTCAAATAGTTTTACCTGGAAAGGGAATTAACCCATATTTAAATTACAAAACACCAGAAATTCTATCGATATTATCAAATCCATCCAATGTGAAGAGTAATACTATAGTTTCTTCGTGTTTGACGACGAAATTGAAACACAATATTAAATAAAAATGATTTTTAAACACCGATATCAAACTGGTGAACTAGGAAGACACTTCTACGAAGCGCCGATTTCATTGTTTATGCTGATCTGAATCTACGGAGAAAAACATTTCATGTGCATGTGTGTAACGTCGTGAACGTTCACGGCTATTTTTATTCTCCTTTTCTTAGACGAAACATACCATCTTTACCAGGATCGCGCCTTGCACATGTAGAACAGATCAACATATATCCGACATGATTTTATGAAGAAAATATTCTAGATTTAGGAAAAGTATGGATCCCCCGGTTATTTTTAGAAATAACATTTATTTTTGGCAAAAAACCTAAAAAAATGTGTTTAATATCAATAATTTCCTACCTTCTTCTACACTTTTACACGAGATACTTACAAAATTAGATTCCTGGTTTGTGCCTACATTTGCGTGTGAATTTTCGTCGTCTGTTTACCTTTCTATAAATAGCGCGAGGAACGGAAAGGGTATGCATTTGTCTGTCAAGATAGCTGAAAATTGACGTTTACGGCAACTCTTATCATAGTTCAAAGTTTTGCTGCAAGCTTATATAACAAGTTTAAATATAAGATTATTACTGAAATTAAAAGCGCAGATACCGTAATTTCTCAAGCTATTTTTATTTTTTTTCAACAGTGAGGGAAAAGTTGTTTTATTTGCAGTTACAAAAACGTTACAAATGCAAAAAATACATTGCGGCAGATATAGGTTTTTTAACGTGACGTTCCAACAGAGTCCCTACTACAAGATTACTATAATACAAAGATATTGATGTTAATGAGATATCCTAGACTGTTGTTTAATTTCAATTTGACCATTTTAAGTAAATGGAAAAAGAGATATTTCAGGCTGAACATGTACATTTTGGTGTATTTTTTTGTAACATGGTGGCCTAACATATAAAATTTTACTTTTTACTTTTGCATCATTAAATTAACATAGATTTTGTAAGGATTGAAGAATATTTATCATTTTCATGGTTTAGATAATGGCTTCTTCCTGACAGTGTAAACATCTTTTTACATTAGGAAAAAAGAACAGCTATAGACAAGGAGTTTCTACAATGGCTGAAGGAATGTCATGAACATTGTGATAAACAGATACATTTCACCGAGTTTAAAGGTCAGGTAGTACGTGCTGATCTACCAAAACAGAGACAGACTCCATGGGCAGAGTTTCAACAGGTGGAATGGGATGGGAAAATCTTCAAGAAAGGGCAATTGGTGGGTTTATACAAGCTAAAATAGGCATAATAAAAACTCCATACACACAATGGATAATCACTAAAACTGTCATTTACATACACTAAAGTTTGACACTTTTAACCTTGTTTTAAATGAAGAGAAGACATACATAATGTATAAGTTTTTAGAACAAAAGGATATAATAGATAGGTGAACATGTTCTAGTGATACATTAACTATTATTTTCATTGAATGCCTATCTACATATAGGTAAGAATTACCCCTACATTACCAACACTGCTCAGAACAGAACAATCGAAAAAAAGGCAACAGTAGTATACCGCTGTTCAATAGTCATAAATCAATTAAGCGAAAACAAATCTGGGTCACAAACCAAAACCGAGGGAAACACACCAACTATAAGAGGAAAACAACGGAACAACAGAAACACTGAACTGCAACAAAAACAAACGCCAACGTACATAGAAACGGACTATTTGGTAACAACTGCCATATTCCTGACTTGGTACAGGACATTTTAAGAAAAAATGGTGGGTTGAACCTGGTTTTATGGCTAGCCAAACCTCCTGCTTGTATGGCAATGTAAAAAATACCGTGAAAGATTTTAATTGAATTGTAGGAAAGAGTAACCAAAACATGTAAAATGGCTGCTCAAATAAATTAAACTATTTTATTATATTGTAGGTCAGAATTACACGTACATTACCCACACTGCTCGGAACAATCAAACGATTTTTATTGTACGGAGAGTATGAAGGAGATGTCTTTGCTACTGGTGGAGATTTAGAGGTCATGCAGGTATGTCAAGGTCAGATTTTTATTGTACGGAGAGTATGAAGGAGATGTCTTTGCTACTGGTGGAGATTTATAGGTCATACAGGTATGTCAAGGTCAGATTTGTATTGTACTGAGAGTATGAAGGAGATGTCTTTGCTACTGGTGGAGATTTAGAGGTCATACAGGTATGTTAAGGTCAGACAGGTATGTTAAGGTCAGATTATAATTTTCATGACCTTGTCTTAATTTGATGAAAGTTTCCTTAATAATGCAAAATTGATTGATTGTTGCTTACCTGGCATCCAGTGGAAACTATTTTATGCATATTCAGGAATAGAAACTATTAACAATAATAACATTGGTAGGTTAAGCAATGTATTCTGACAGTGATAAAGGTCGGGAAATTTGGACTGCCACCGGAAAACAATGGTATGCAGGATAAAGGCAACAGGCCACCTTCTGACCACTTGAACAGTTGTTACAAGGGTTCTTGGCAATATCTCTAAACGAGACATCAGATTTAAAGACCTTATTCTGAGTGAAAGTGAATGCAAATGTCTACATCCTGCACTGCCAAATGGACACCACAATTTGCAAGGGTTTTACTGACGGTCAGAAAAAGACCCAAGGTGACCTATTTCTATTCCCCAGTTATCCTTGGGGATGTTGGACAAGATTGCTGTTGATATTTAGGTGACATCTTGTTCCTCAACACTTGATGCAATTAAGTTTTTTGATACTTGTGTCTTAAGCTTAACTTAACAATGAAGTTTGTTTTGTTGCATTAGAACTCAAGTCTACAGGAACAGAATTTCTGAACTTGCATGATATTTATTTCACCTGTTTAAGGAATCAAGATCCTGAATAATGATGTATTAAATCTATTTCTTTCATCTTAACCTGACAGAAAGAACCTTGTTTGATTACAATTTTTCCTGTTTTAGGAACCAAGATCCCTGTATGATGAAGTCAAGGTCGTTCCTTTATCTAAACTTGACAGACAGGCTTCATCTCATCTGATAAAAAAATACATAGAGGAAGAAGAAGCAAAGTAAGTAACGGCTAGTACAGGAAAAATATATTTTTATTTGTAAGAGAATTTTTTTTTTACACGAAATTGGATGTAATTTTACTGTTATTATATTTTTTCTTATTTTAGGGGGTGGGGTGCCAGGTATGCAAGATAAAGATATAAATGTTAGGTTGATAAATGAGTTATATCTTAATATTTTTTATCCTTGAAAGAATTTGGTGAATATTTGTTGTATAGACCAATTTCTATTGATGAAAATCTTACTTTATACATATGTTTTTCTGTATGGCATCTATCCATTAGTCCACCCTGTATGAGTTTAAACTTTATGCATAGGTAGTAAACCATGAAGCTGTTTACTAGGTACATATGTGATAGAGCAAGTGGGACATAGCATCAAATGAATACATGTTCTTGTTTTTATGCCCTTGCCGCAGGGGAGAGGGCATTGAGTGTTACCCTTGTCCGTCTGTACGGCCGTCCGTACATCTGTAAGAAGATACGTCCACTCTTCCAGAAATTGGTTTCCGTTCTTTAACTTCAACTTAATGTTATGAAACTTATACACAATGCTTATCACCACAAAACTCAGATCAAGTTCGAACTTGGGTGGCATCACTTTTACCATTCTTGAGTTATGTCCCTTTATAATGTTATATGCAAAAAGGGGAGGAGTGCTTGGGGGGGGGGGGCAGGTACAGTGGTTACTGAACTTTGTCCGTCATTCCATCAATCTGTCCATCTGACCTGGTGTAGAAAACTTTTTCTTGGCTTCTGAGAAGGGGAAAGATTTTATATTTGGTCTGCAGCTTGATAATGTTAGGAGTATGCAGTGTTCCTGCCTGCCCTAAATAGAAGGGTGGCCCGCCCTTGGTGCCCTTACCCCCGCCCTTCTGCCCTCCAAAGTAAAAGAATGCCCCCCACTGCCTTTTCAAAAAAATTAAATTTCCAAATTTCATGCCTACCGGCGCTTCCGGTAAAATTGTTACCTGATTGTGTAACACTAATTAACTGACAATGGGATTAAGTTAAATACCTAAAGCTTTGGCAGTTTTATCACCTTTGTTAATGATTGTTTACTGCTACTTAGTGGATTTAAGATAATTGAACAAAAACTAGATATTCAATACAGAATGAAATGTCCACATGTTATCCATTTGTAATGTTTATGTACAGCATGTACACCATAAAAAATTTATTTCAGTAGGCATACCATAAAAAATAAAATCTTTAAACAGTTTTAAAGGCATACATAGATTTGACTTAATTTGTAAAAAATGTTTTGTTTCATAACCATGAGTATGAAGTTTAAAGAAGAATCAAAGAAATTTGTACTTTGAACATAACTAGATTCACTTCCTGTTTTACTTCTTGTATTTTATAATCCTCCTGACATAGGAGCACTCAACAAATATATTTTTAACAATGATGGAGAAAAAAGTAACTGTTTATACCTTCTGCAATATATTATTGCATTAATATAATATGATCATCTCCTGTCTCACCTGTTATATTTATAAAACTCCTTACTGAGGAGCACTTTGGTGTGCACTTAAAAATACTTTTTTGTAACAATTCAAATGATAATAAATAACTCTCAATAACATATATACTATATGTTTGAACAAGTAATTTAAATGTAGATAATTTAATAAATTAAACATTCAATTTTGCATGTATAACTCCATCTTTCAAAACTACTTGTTTATTTTGGTATAAGTTATAAAACATTGAAATTTCTGATAATTATTTTCCTTACCAAATGTCATGAATGTACAAGTTTGTTTAATTTAACATCAAAATGATATGCTTTGCTTCATGGTATGATAATTTGATAAAAAAAAATTCTTACTTGAACCAACAACAAGAACACATTAATTTCTGAATATGGTTTAAATACAACTAATGTTCTCCAGCTAAGCCTAGCAATATTCAAGGTAATTTATACACTGTCCAACATTGCCCTTAAAATCTGGGTTATAACACTAAAGTGCCCTTTCAGACAACTAGCACCCTTCTGCACTGAGATTCAAGCTGGAACACTGAGTATGTAAGGGATTTTACATCTGTTTTGCACCAACTTCCCGCTTGCCAAAAGTTTGAAATATTTTAAATACTCATTGTACAAGGAAAATTCTAGTCAAATGTTTTCTTGGCTTCAATAAAAGGATAGGATATGTTATGTTTCAGTATACACGATACATGTTACCTCAATTAATTGCATGCAAAGACGCTGGTCCAGACCTGCTACTTGGATTGTTTTCATTTATGGATGAGGCTTTATTTTGTGCCCTACCTTTTTCATTGAAACACAATTCTGAGCTTTAAAATCCAATTGTGACAACAGTTACTGTCTTTGTAGACTACTGTCGATGTTGTTACTGTCTTTGTAGACTACTATCGATGTTGTTACTGTCTTTGTAGACTACCGTCAATGTTGTTACTGTCTTTGTAGACTACCGTCAATGTTGTTACTGTCTTTGTAGACTACCGTCAATGTTGTTACTGTCTTTGTAGACTACCGTCAATGTTGTTACTGTCTTTGTAGACTACCGTCAATGTTGTTAGTGTCTTTGTAGACTACCGTCAATGTTGTTACTGTCTTTGTAGACTACCGTCAATGTTGTTAGTGTCATGGCCGGAGGGATTTGAAGTGAAACAAAATGAAAGCAGAGCAGCAGGAGAAACTGTTGGTATGTAAGAACTATTGGTTATACAATCAAACCTGCTTTAAAGTATGTAAAAACTAATGGTTATACAGTCAAACCTGCTTTAAAGTATGTAAGAACTAATGGTTATACAGTCAAACCTGCTTTAAAGTATGTAAGAACTAATGGTTATACAGTCAAACCTGCTTTAAAGTATGTAAGAACTAATGGTTATACAGTCAAACCTGCTTTAAAGTATGTAAGAACTAATGGTTATACAGTCAAACCTGCTTTAAAGGTCACAGCTATTAGGCAAAAACATGTATTGTCAGGCCAAATTCTTCTTGTCCCACTGTAGTAAATTCTTATGCAATTAAAACTTCAATTTTAAGTTCACCTCTCTTATAAAGTCGGTTTTCTCTGTTCTTGAGGTTGAGCTTTATATGCAGGTTTTACTGTATTGTGTAAAGTTCTGAAAAAATATACCAAACAAAATGATTTCTGTGCATACATCATGTGTGTTTCCTCATATAAGGCAATTGTTTGGAAAGTCATAAACATAAAATGCTTGAGACCATAAATTTAAATGGAACAGCCCTTTCGTATTTTGATATTTATGTTTTTATCATTGGATTAGGAAGTATTGACACAATGCTCTATAGATACAGCTTACTATGTCTATGTACAGGAAAACACAACTTGATTTGATAAAGGTCCATAAAAATAAAAATAAACCATAAAAGCAAAATTACATCTTTAATACAATTTCAAAAAATATATTTAAAAGCATATACAAAGTATGTACTAAAGTGGTAATTTATTATGATATTGAAGAAATTAATTGTATGGTCAGTATTTTTGTCTATATTTTAATTGATTGTATGTTCAGTATTTTAGTCTATATTTAAATTTTTGTAGGTGCCATTAAGATAGAGATAGCGAATAAAAAAGGGGAGACAATCAGTAAGCTTCCTGGAAATGCTGCTTCATCTAAACGTTTACTGGTAGAACTAAAAATCATTTGGCATGGTGAGTTGTTTTGACAAAGGAATTCGTCTGGTTATTTTAAAAATGCTTCTTATCTGAAACCAACTTCTACCAAACTTGGCCTGAATGAGCCTTAGGGTATCTATTGCATAAAGTTTGAGTTTTAAATCCTGCCAATCAACCAACACAGCCACCATAGCTAAAATCCTAATTCTGTTCATGCATAACTTTTTTTTGCACAAAATCAAATATTCAACTTGAATGTGCTCAAGAAACTGTATTAGAAAATGAGTAATTTGTTTCTTAAAACACATTTTTTGTCCGCAAAAAAGGGTTGAAAAAATATTGAAACGCCATATTTTTGCTAGGTGAGTGATTCAGGCTCTTAGGAGCCTCTTTTTTTATTCTCTCATTTATTGAGATGAATCAATTGTTCCTTTTGTGCAGATTTTGTGTTTTGAATTTAAAAAAAAAAAGTCATGTTCAGTCTTTGGATTTTTGTATTAAAATTCTGCAAAAGTTCTTGCATTTCACTTTCAAAAGAATAAGAGAGAAAAAATCAAGCCTTGTTAGCCAAGTGGTCTGTAAGTTCATCTACAGTGATCATTAGCCTGTCAACACTCAGGTTGTGTAGGGCCTCGGTGGCCAAATGGTCTAAGTAGTTCATCAGTGGTTACAGTGATTATCATCCTGGCAACACGGAGGTCATGAGTTTGAACCCTGCTTCTGCAAGGTGCATACTGTGGATTTATTATTATTCGTTGGATACCAATTTCCATGGGTACAGGTGAACCATGAAATTAAATGTTCAACGGATGACAAATTTCTATAGGTTTGTATGCAGACTTTGGCAAAACCACGAAATTAAATATCCGCGAACATGTAAGTTTTCCTTAATCCATGAACATTGGTACCCACGAAAATAAATGAATCCACAGTATTACTTCGATCTTAATTGACTAGGAATGTCTTTTTTTCTGCTGAGGTGAGTGGTTCTCTCAGAGGTCTCCAACTTCTTTCACCAATAATCCACCAATAAAAGTTGGGCGTCATGATATAGCCATATGTGCAGAAAGTGGCATTAAACAGCAATGATAAATCAGATAAAATAATACATATGTTGCAGTAAAATTGGTACTGTTAATGTTGTGTATATCAGTGTTTCTTAAAATAAATCAATGTCTAACTGTTTTATTTGTAGGACAATCACGAGATGAAGTCATAGTATCTCACATCAGTCAGTACAGTAAAAACTGGGGATATTGGTTCAGAAAAATGGGTAAGTATAGTAAAAACTGGGGATATTGGTTCAGAAAAATGGGTTATTATAGTAAACACTGGGGATATTGGTTCAGAAAAATGGGTGAGTATAGTAAAAACTGGGGATATTGGTTCATAAAAATGGGTTAGTATGGTAAACACTGGGGATATTGGTTCAGAAAAATGGGTGAGTATAGTAAAAACTGGGGATATTGGTTCATAAAAATGGGTTAGTATGGTAAACACTGGGGATATTGGTTCAGAAAAATGGGTGAGTATAGTAAAAACTGGGGATATTGGTTCAGAAAAATGGGTTAGTATAGTAAAAACTGGGGATATTGGTTCAGAAAAATGGGTAAGTATGGCGAAAACTGGGGATATTGGTTCAGAAAAATGGGTAAGTATGGTGAAAACTGAGGATATTGGTTCAGAAAAATGGGTGAGTATGGTAAAAACGGGGGAGATATGTTCAGAAAAATGGATAAGTATGGTGAAAACTGGGGATATTGGTTCAGAAAAATGGGTAAGTATGGTAAAAACTGGGGAGATATTTTCAGAAAAATGGGTAGTTATTGCAAATGGCTGATATTTTTGTTCGAGCATATTGTTTTTCTTAAATTGTTTAACATTTCATACCTATATAACATGTTACTTTTATTATTCTTCTCTTAGTTTATTTATTGTGTATTTACATTGTATCATAGGTCAAATTTATTTGTTCAGTGTATGTTCATTGGTGTTAATATGTCCTTTGATTGAGTTAAGCTATTTCAGTTGATATTTTATAGTGTGTCTTTCTATGTTGTGATGTTACACTATTGTTTCAGAAAAAGGGTGAAGGTTTGGTACCATTAAAACATTTAAACCTGCTGCATTTGTTCGCATTTGTCCGAAGTCAGGAATCTGATGTTCAGTAGTTGTCGTTTGTTGATGTGGTTCATAAGTGTTTCTCAGATCTCGTTTTTAGCCATCACTTGGCGTCCGTCGTCGTTGTCCGTCTGGTTTAAACTATTTCAAACATCTTCTCCTCTGAAACTACTGAACCAATTCCAACCAAACTTAAGCTGAATGATCCATAGGGTACCTAGAATAAAGTTTGTGTTTCATTTTCTGTCAAAAAACATGGCCGCCATTGCTAAAAATAGAACATAGGGGTAAAATGCAGTTTTTGGCTTATATCTCAAAAATCAAAGCAGTCAGAGCAAATCTGACATGGGGTAAAAGTGTTCATTAGGTAAAGTTCTATCAACCCTCAAATTTTCAGATGAATCTAATAACCTGTTGTTGGGTTGCTGCCACTAAATTGGTAATTTTAAGGAAATTTTGCAGTTTTTGGTCATTATCTTGAATAGTATTAATGATAAAGATAAACTGTAAGCAGCAAATATGTTCAGCAAAGTAAGATCTACAAATAAGTTAATATGACCAAAATTGTCAATTGACCCCTTAAAGAGTTATTGCCCTTTTAGAACAATTTTACACAATTTGTTTATCATGTTTTCTAACTTTAAAAAATCTTCTCCTCTGAAACCACTGAACCAATTCCAACCAAACTTAAGCTGAATGATCCTTAGGGTATCTAGAATAAAGTTTGTGTTTTATTTTCTGTTTCGTCAAAAACATGGCCACCATTGCTTAAAATAGAACATAGGGGTAAAATGTAGTTTTTGGCTTATATCTAAAAAACCAAAGGAGTTAGAACAAATCTGACGAGGGTAAAATGTTCATTAGGTGAAGTTCTATCAACCCTGAAATTTTCAGATGAATCTTATAATCCATTGTTGGGTTACTGCCACTAAATTGGTAATTTTAAGGAAATTTTGCAGTTTTTGGTTATTATCTTGAATAGTATTAATGATAAAGATAAACTGTAAACAGCAAATATGTTCAGCAAAGTAAGATCTATAAATAAGTTTATATGACCAAAATTGTCAATTGACCCTTTAAGGAGTATTGCTCTTTGAGGACAATTTTACACAATTTGTTTATCATGTTTTCTAACTTATCGTCTCCTCTGAAACTACTGAACCAATTCCAACCAAACTTAAGCTGAATGATCCTTAGGGCATCTAGAATGTAGACTGTGTTTATATCTAGAATAAAGTTTGTGTTTTATTTTCTGTTTCGTCAAAAAACATGGCCGCCATGGCTTAAAATAGAACATAGGGGTAAAATATAGTTTTTGGCTTATATCTAAAAAAACAAAGGAGTTAGAACAAATCTGACGTGGGGTAAAATGTTCATTAGATGAAGTTCTATCAACCCTGAAATTTTCAGATGAATCTCATAATCCATTGTTGGGTTGCTGCCACTAAATTGGTAATTTTAAGGAAATTTTGCAGTTTTTGGTTATTATCTTGAATAGTATTAATGATAAAGATAAACTGTGAACAGCAAAAATGTTCAGCAAAGTAAGATCTACAAATAAGTTAATATGACTCAAATTGTCAAATGTGTCCTTAACGAGTTATTGCCCTTTAAAGACAATTTTTCACAATTTGTTCATCTAGTTTGCTTACTTTAAAAAATCTTCTTCTTTGAAACTGCTGAATCAATTTCAGCGAAACTTGGGCTGAATGAGTTTCAGAGTATCTAGTATAAATTTTTTATTTTATTTTCTTGTACGTCAAGAAACATAGCCACTATGGCTAAAATGGAACATAGGGGTAAAACGTATTTCTTTACTATTGAAAAAATATGACAGATACAAAGAACATTTCAATGGAATTTTTAAGCCACTCATTGATAAATATTAAATAGCAAAAATAATCATTGATTAAAGATTTAAGCAAAAAATTACAGGTGAGCGTTTCAGGCTCTTGAGAGCCTCTTGTTTATATAGATTAGATCGTTGGTTTTCCCCTTTGAATGGTTATACACTAGTAATTTTTTGGGGCCCTTTATAGCTTACTTTTCGGTGTGAGCCAAGGCTCTGTGTTGAAGACCATACTGTGACCTATAATGGTTTACTTTTATAAATTTTAATTTGGATGGAGAGTTGTATCATTGGCATTCATACCACATCTTCTTATATCTATCTAAGTATAGTAAAAACTGGGGATACTTGTTCAGAAAAATGGGTTAGTATGGTGAAAACTGGGGATATTGGTTCAGATAAATGGATAAGTATGGTAAAAACTCGGGATATTGGTTCAGAATGGGAAGGCATGGAAAATATAAAAAATAAATTATCATTTCTCTATCAATTCTCTTGTTTTTTTATGTGATCCATGATTCTATGTTGATTGTTCATCAATTTCACGATCCGATAAAGCTTTGGCAGCAAACTCTAAAGTTAATTAGCTTGCGATCAACAATCACTGAATGAAATATTATTTGTCGATAATATGTAGATTCATAATAAATGTAAAAAAGTGCATAGAGGACTTAGTTTAGTATATATGCATTATTGGTTCAATAATTTCCTTAACGTTATAATTACAAGAAACTCCTTTCATATGACTTAAACATGGTGAAGTACAAGAAAAAAAATTGCAATGAAAAATGTGGACATGTTGCTAGGAAACAACGTGTACAGCAAAAAGTGAGAAAACTAAATTAACAAATACAAAATTGATCCTCTAACTTCAGACTCCGAAAACAAGAACTTATGAAAATCTCACAGTTGTTGTTTTATAGTTAAAAAGTTCAAAACAAGAAAGATAATTATATGATTTTTATCTTTTCAGAGAATGTGCGAAATTTAGGTGCACACACCTTAATTCTACAGGTAGTATTAAATGAAAGTGGGAATACAGTGTACTCTGGCAAAGAGCTTCCTTCACACAAGATAAAGTTTACAGTCATAGGTAAGAATCAATAAAGAATGCATAAAGTGTCAGTGAAAAACAAATGTTAGCGTTTACATGATGATGGATATGCTTAAAGACCTTTATTGGCTATAAAGTGCTTGCATGGTCTCTATTCATCAAGGAGACAGTAATAAACAACAATATAAAATAAAAAAAGTGGTTTTTTTTCATTTAGATCAGGCGTTAGAAACAGTGGAATGAATAAAATCAACAATTAAAAGAAACAGGGAATATACATTGAATTGAAAATATATAGTATATTTTATACGGATTTAACTGTAGTTGAAAGTTTGGCTATTGTGATGATGGAGCTGGATTTTAGAAGAGGGGCAGTATGTTTTTTGGTCTGTGCGTCCGTTCGTCTGTCTGTCCGTCCCTCTGTGTTCGTTTGTCCATCCATCCGTCTGTATTCATCCGTCCGTCTGTCTGTCCCGCTTCATGTTAAAGTTTTTGATCATGGTAGTTTTTGATGAAGTTGAAGTCCAATCAACTTGATACTTAGTACACATGTTCCCTATGATATGATCTTTCTAATTTTAATGCCAAATTAGAGTTTTAACCCTGATTTCATGGTCCACAGTACATCGAAAATGATAGTGCGAGTGGGGCATCCGTGTACTATGGACGCAGTCTTGTTGATTAATAATGTCAAGTATCCAATGCCAACTATATGGGTTATGTGTTCCTGAGTTGCTGGTCGTTTCAATCCCAAAACACAAAGAATTGTCCATTTTATTTTATAACTGTAGATTCATTTATTTTCGTGGGTAATAATTTTTATGGATTGAGGAAAACTTGCATTTTGGTGGATATTTGATTTCATGGTTTTGATAAAAATTTTGATTACAAGTCTATAGAAAATTTATAATTTTTTGAACATTTAGATATATTGTACATCTGTTCCCATGAAAATTACGAAAATTTGTATCCAACCAATAATAATGAATCTATAGTACAAGACAAATGTAATGCACTGTTCAACATAAGGGAGATAACTCAGATTTCATGAGGAATTCAACCAATGATAATGAATCCACAGTACAATACAAATGTAATGCACTGTTCAACATATGGGAGATAACTCAGATTGCATGAGGAATTCAACCAATGATAATGAATCCACAGTCATTACAGTACAAGACAAATTTAATGCACTGTTCAACATATGGGAGATAACTCAGATTTCATGAGGAATTCAACCAATGATAATGAATCCACAGTACAATAGATACAAAACAAAAGCAATGCACTATTCAATAGAAACATAAGGGAGATAACTCAGATTGCATGAGGAATTCAACCAATGATAATGAATCCACAGTACAATAGATACAAAACAAAAGCAATGCATTATTCAATAGAAACATAAGGGAGATAACTCAGACTGCATGAGGAATTCAACCAATGATAATGAATCCACAGTCATGACAGTACAAGACATGTAATGCACTATTCAATATGAGGGAGATTACTCAGATTTCATGTGGAAAATGCAAGTGAAATTCTAAATTTATATTGTATATTAAAGTAATTTACATAGGAAATTATTAATTTTCAAATGAAATTTTAAATTGCCTATGTTTAAAGTGACTTTCCTTGGTATCATTCATTTTTAGTGGAAGGACAAGCAAAACTCAGCAGCAAAAAGCATAAAATGAAAATTTTGAAAATTTTCTTGTTATGTTGCAGAAAGTGATCCAGAGAAATTTACTGTAGGCATGCTGGACGGCCCATTCCGTATAGGTTTACCCTTCACTATTCCTTTGGAATTCCAGGATGAATTTGGAAATCCCACAAAACCTAATAATAGCTTTACACCAGTGTTAGCAGCAAGGTAAAAGTTCAGTTAATGCTCTGTGAGTGAGAAGATTTTTTTCTCCAGTCAGGAAGAAGTATTATTATACCCCACGCAACGAAGTTGCGCAGGGTATAATGTTTTTCACCCGTCTGTCTGTCTGTCCGTCTGTCTGTCCATCCGTCCGTCTGTCAGTCCTGTTCTTGTCATCGCAACTCCTCTGATATAGCACAACAGAATTTTATGAAATTTTGTAGATAATAAGGACATACTATGTAGATGTGCATATCGACAGAAAATTATGATTCAATTTTTTTTCTAGGAGTTGTGCCTCTTTAACTTAGAATTTTGGCCAGTCCTGTTCTTGTCATCGCAACTCCTCTGAAACTGCACAACAGAATTTCATGAAACTTTGTAGATAATAAGGAAATACTATATAGATGTGCATATCGACAGGAGATTACGATTCAATTTTTTTTCTAAGAGTTATGCCCCTTTAACATTGTTTAACTTAGAATTTTGGCCAAAATATAGTACTGCAACAGTTTGTCATTGCAACTCCTCTGAAACCACACAACAGAATTTCATGAAACTTTGTAGATAATAAGGACATACTATGTAGATGTGCCTACGACAGGAAAATACAATGGAATTTTTTCTAGGAGTTATGCCCTTTGAACTTAGAATTTTGGCACAATTATACTACTGCAACAGTTTGTCATCACAACTTCTCTGCAACTACATAACAGAATTTCATGAAACTTTGTATATGATAAGGACATACTATGTAGATATGCATATCGACAGGAAATTACTATTGAATTTTTTTTCTAGGAGTTATTCCCCTTTGAAATTCGAATTTTGGACTAAATATACTACTGCAACAGGTTGTAATCGCAACTTCTCTAAAACCACACAACAGAATTTCATGAAAGTTTGTTGTAAATGAGGACATAATATGTAAATGTGCATATCCACAAGAAAATTTTTATCAGTTGACTATTGAAGACTAACAATGTGGGGGCGTGGGGTGTGTAAGCGTGCTCACAAAGGTTCTTTAATTTGACTTGTGGCAATAAATGTCATTAAGTATTTTAAGTTAGAACAGATGTGGGGTAAATATCATTGAGACAACAACCCATCAACATATACTTACCATAGATTTCAAAGAGTATGGAATATCTTGGGATTGCTATCAATAAATTTTTGTGAAGGTTATTCGTTTAGCAGTGACCTTGACTTTCTCTCAAAAGCAAACGGGTTTTATTTATTGTGTTGCCGGACAGTGTCTAGTTAGGGTGACCCATAGGGATCACTTTGCTCGCCATCATTTGCATCACACTTTGATAATTATGCAACTCCTTGAAAACAGCTTTCCAAAATTCAACCAAACATTTTATTTTTGATTTGTGATTTTGGGGTTTTCTGTTCCAAACATGTTTCTGCTTATATTAATTGGAGAGGACAGGCAACACACAAGTTACTATACTTTATAGGTCTCTCAAGATTACTCTCAAAATAAAGGCTGTATAGTGACCTATAATTGTTAACTTCTATGTCATTTGGTCTCTAGTGGAGAGATTTCTCATTGGCAATTATACCACATCTTCTTATTTTTAGAAGAACAGTAACCTGGATCTACCAGCAACTAAAAAGATTAAAACAAGTATAAATATACTTTCCTTTTATATTTTTATGTTATATTTTCAGTTATTATTTTGTTTTGCCTAGGATTGTTGTCTAATTGTACATCCAACCCATTTGTTTGCTTTTGCAGTGCATGTTGAGAAGAAAAGTTTTAATATTGATTCACTGGTTTACTTTTAGTGAAATAGATATAAGCTACCAGTCAACAAAAGTTAAGGGGAATAACCTACTCATCAATGGTTGTGTTGCTAAGGGCAACGTAGGAGAAAGATCTGGGAAGGTTTGTTATCAACTCATTTTTAAATTTCAAAGAAAACACAACACTTATATAACGTAGCCTGTCCATGTTTGTGATCAGTCAGTCATATTAGTTTTATTATACATGTAAATATAAGTAGTGATCACTGATAGTAAGTATAATGAAAATCAAAGTGCTTGTGAGCATTGAGGGTAAAGATTACATCCATTTTGCTGTTGGTACTTAAAATGAAACGTTGCTTTGTATTTTAAGCATTGGAAGGCAATACTACGATTTGTGGATATAATAGTAGTTGGTTCAATTACAATTATGGTCAAAGGAAGATAACTCCAATTTTAAATATTATTTTAACAATGACATCATTGATATTTTCAGAACAGATACTAGATTCATGCAACATTTCAATTTTTGTAATTTTCTTGAAAAATATGGTTATACACAAACATTTTGCATCTTGAATGTCTCAGTATATATTTTATATATTATTAATTTTTTGAAATGTTCAAGGATAGGATGTATAGAATGCACAGTGTTTTGTTTATTTCAAAAGTTGTGATAGAACTGTTTAGTGAATATATTCCAGGTTACAGTTATAACACAGTTTGTTGTACAGAGACAAACAAAAAATAATGGCAACCACTATTACTTATAGTTGCCATAGTATATGTGATATAATCCTTCATTACAGAACAGTTTATTCTAGTAAGAACATATTACAAAATTCACAACTAGTTAAAAAAATATCATTGTGTATGTTACTTAACTTGAGAAGAATAAGAAAATTGAAGATCTCATTTGTTTTTTCAGAGTTTCAATTTAACAGTAAAGATCAGGCAGCTGGAAGAAGCATCTCAGACACTCAAGATAAGATTTTTACCAGGTATATTTAATAGACAGAACACATCATATTTCTATCATATAAATTTAATAAATAGAACTACGACATACATTAGATTTGTACCAGGAAGATTTGTTATAATGTATAAGAGTATAGAAATAAGAAGATGTGGTATGATTGCCAATGAGACAACTATCCACAAAAGACCAAGGAGATGTGGTATGATTGCCAATGAGACAACTACCCACAAAAGACCAAGGAGATGTGGTATGATTGCCAATGAGACAACTACCCACCAAAGACCAAGGAGATGTGATATGATTGTCAATGAGACAACTATCCACAAAAGACCAAGGAGATGTGGTATGATTGCCAATGAGACAACTTCCCACAAAAGACCAAGGAGATGTGGTATGATTGCCAATGAGACAACTATCCACAAAAGACCAAGGAGATGTGGTATGATTGCCAATGAGACAACTACCCACAAAAAACCAAGGAGATGTGGTATGATTGCCAATGAGACAACTACCCACAAAAGACCAAGGAGATGTGGTATGATTGCCAATGAGACAACTACCCACAAAAGACCAAGGAGATGTGGTATGATTGCCAATGAGACAACTACCCACAAAAGACCAAGGAGATGTGGTATGATTGCCGATGAGACAACTACCTACAAAAGACCAGTTGATCCATGTCACATTGAGCTTTTGGAATTTTCACTCGTTACAATTTGAGATATTTTTTAAATGCTCTATTTTTGTAATAGGTCTTTTGCCATTATTCTCTATTTGTTCTCAATATTTTCCACTTGATAGAAAATAAAAGGATATGGAGTAAATGTACATGGGACAAAATCGCACACAATACATAGAAAACATAGAAAATTATCAATGTACAGGGCTTTTATTCCTGTCCTTCATCTTGACAGTTGATGTAGGGTCTTCAACAATGAAAGATTCATTCATACCCTACAACATGATGTTAAGCAACCAATCAATTAATCTTCTTGTTCTCAAATGTAGCTGATTGTTTGGCATAACCTTGTAAGGTTGGGTAGATAATTAGGGAAAAATTTTTTTGGCCAACAACATAAGTTACATGTTTTAGACAAGAAAAACGATGTCAGAGCAGGAAAAAATCTTTAAAAAAAAATTTGAAATGATTTGTGTCATAAAATTTTTCTGGTAGGCTGCTTTTTAGGTGGGTAGGTAGACAACATCAAACAATTCTAATTTTAAATTTGGCCCAATTGAGTTGTGGTCTGGGTTACAGTTAAGCCAAGACAGGAGGGTCAAGGATGTTTGACTAACAGAATGTAATCATTTGAATTTTTTTATTTTGCAGGATCACCTTCTTTGTTAGTTGTACCACATGACAAAGAAGTGGAAATAGAAAATGGTAACGCTGTAGCTTTCAACTTGGAAGTTCATGACAACTCTGGGAACATCACAAATGACGGGAAACTTATCTGTACTTGTAAGGTAGTGTATTAGTTATTGTCCAGTGATGTTTAGATCAGTAAATAATGATTATCGACTGGACCAAATGTTCATTGAATTATCTAGCACTTTTGTGATCTCAGGAAGAAAACATCTACAAATAAGTCTGCATACCAGGCGACTCCTTATTGGAGTTATTGCCCTTTGATAATTATTTTTTTGCATTTTCTTGTGTCCTTAGCCTAATATTTTAAAAACTATAATAGATAGATAAAAACTTAGGTAAGCAAAAATGTCCAACAAGACAACAACTACAAATAAGTCTATTGGCAGAAATGGTCAGTTGATTCCTTATTGGAGTTAATGCTCTTTAATGACGATTTTTACCCATTTTTAGAAAATGACGCAGTCAATTTTTCTTTTACCATTGACCAGACTTCCAACCCGCATTCCGAACTCGGTTCCGTATTTTACATACTTAATGTACTATACAGAATTTTCATTCTTTTTAATTTCTTAACCTGACCTGCCAACTTGCATGATTCAGGCGTGAAATACTCGATTTTGACCCCTTGTCACGATTGCAAGATTGTGATCGTGTAAAAACCTCTAAAACACGATTTTGTAAAATTCTACACAAAAATAATGATTATTCCCAATATTCGAACTTTCCTCATACTTTTCCCAAGGGAGACAACTTTGATCAGCCAATCTAAATCGTTGTTTCTCCTGATCTTTGGGTATTGTAAACTGCAAATGTGCTAAATTTTGAACTTGTTAGGAACTCAGAATGGCTAGAAATCGTGATCATGGCAGACCAATTTTCAATTACAAGAAGGTTCTTACACAGCTTAAGAAGTAAATCATGACTGATTGACAAAGTTCAAAGATACAGTTCAACCATAAACATAATAAACAGTAGCTAATGGATAAATTTTACACTTATGGTAACAGATCATACATGTTGTCATTCTTGAAATTAAATTACCAAATCAATTAACTACAGTGTTCTATCTTTTAATTTTCACAAGGAATCAGATATATTTCCTTCTTTGTGCATATTTTTATATTTGAAAAGTCAACAATCACTTTAATATTCCTGTGACCAATAATCTGATAATCCACCTTTAAGGTTCATCTAATATAAACTCATTCAATAGGTAAATTAAGTAAAAATCAAGACTTGCATCACAAATATCCCAATATGAGAGACAATGGCGTCATTTTTACTTAGAGCATTCAGCTCTTTGATTAGTGTTTTTACCTATTATCTTGAAAACTATAATAGATAGTTAGACACTTTATAGCAAAAATGATCAGCAAGATAATATCTATAAATAGGTCAAAGTGGCTAAAATCATCAGTCAACTCCTTATTGGAGTTCTTGCTCTAATCAACTTATTCCAATTTTTTGTGTTTTTGCCTATTATCTTGAAACCATAAGAGAGATAGACACTTTAAAAAGGAAAAAGATCAGCAAGACAAGATCTACAAATAAGTCAAATTTTACTGAAATGATAAGTAGACTCTTAGGAGTGATTGCCCAAAAATGACAATTTTTTTTGGTCCTTTTTAGCTTCGGACCAAGTAGGCTTTTCTCATTACTTGGCGTCTGTCTCCGTCGTTGTCATTAACTTTTACAAAAATCTTCTCCTCTGAAACTACTTGGCCAATTTATCCAAACTTAGCCACAATCATCATTGGGGTATCTAGTTTAAAAAATGTGTCTGATGACCCCCGCCTGCCAACCAAGATGTCTGACATGGCTAAAAATAGAACACAGGGGTAAAACAATGTAAAATGCAGGTTTTGTCTATTATTTTGAAAACCGTTATGAATAGAGAAAATCTGACAGAGCAAAAATGTTCAGAATGTTGAGCTCTACCAATTGTTCACATATTTCAAAACTGTCAGACAACTTCTTATAGGAGTTATTACCCTTAAATCACAAATTTTACCAAATTTTTTCATTTTTGCCTGTTATCTTGAAAACTATAATACATGTAGATAGGGAGAAACTTTAAATTGCAAAAATGATCAGCAAAACAAGTTCTACAAATAAGTTTCATGGTCGAAACTGTCAGTCGACTCCTTATTAGAGTAATTGCTCTTTAATGACGATTGTTATCATTTTTTTTGCGTTTTGCCTTATATGATAAAAATTATAATAGATAAATAGACAGTTAAAAATCACAAAAATTATCAGCAAGGCGAGATCTACTAACAAGTCAAATTTTGCCGATATAGTTATTGGACTCTTGACTGTCACTCTTTATAGGAGTGATTGCCCTTAATTGAGGAATTTTTTACCCTCTTTTGTGTTTTGAGCAAAAACTAAAGAAGATAGAGTGAAACTAAACAGACTAAATGATTAGCAATCCAAGATCAACAAAACAGACTAAATGATCAGCAATCTAAGATCAACAAAACAGATTTTTGTCATGAATTCTATTCTCGTCTACAATGTTGGGGTGTGCTCGGTTGGCCTGTTCTGAACATGTTTTGCCTGTTCCGAATCCAGATGCCAATAGAACGAATTGGAAACTAGATGTATCTCACTGCTTGTGAACTCTGCCTAAAACAAACTCGGCCTATAGCAAACTCTGACCATAACAAACTCGGCCTACCATAATTTATATAAAAAAAATAAGGTGAACAACTCAGCCTATGAATTGTAGATTTTTTTTATTTTTATTTTTTTGCTTACTCTTTTATTTTATTTTACTTAAGCTATAACAATATATTCGAAATAATAATAAATAATTCGCATTTTCAAGTGGCAAGACTTAATTTCAACCAACTTCACTTTTCCGAAAGCTGCATCTATTGGCCTTTTCCGAACAAAACATGACATTTCTTAGTGTCCAAATAAAAATTTTTGACTTCAAAGTCGATGTAATTATCATTTTACGAAAAAAAGACATCTAACGGCCACTCTAAAGTGTTAGTCTGAGAAAAAGAAAGTTTTATTGCATATTTCCCTTAAAGTAATGCTTATATGATCAAATACGTTGATATATATTAAACCAATGATTTGTATAGTCTTACTAAACAAACCCTTGATTGAACTGATTATCAATTTTCAGTTTTTATTTCACTGAAAGCTAAAGATTATTGTATCTATCTTTCAGTTCCCTTCTCTGCCATTTTGAATTCTGTCTGCACCTTATATTTTTTCGGCACACTTGGAACGCGTTCAGAACACAGTTCTGTTTTGTTTTATTGAACTTCTGGTTGATTCCATCCATTCCGATCGTCTGGAACTTGCCAACCGAGCACACCCTCGGAGAGTGTCCTTTCTTGAATATACACATAGACCAAGGTCAGGGACACAGGCTCTGTAGATCCTCTAGTTATGTTTTAGACAAAAACAAAAGAAGGTAGAAACTGTAAATGGAAAAAGGATCAGCAATACAAGAGATTTTTGTTGTGACTTCTATTCTAGTCCAAAATGTTGGAGAGTGTCCATTGTTGAAGATGCACATAGACCTAGGTGAGCGACAAAGGCTCTTTAGATCCTCTAGTTATATTAATATTTCCATCTGTATAAACAAAATTTTACTTCTCAGGTGTTCAGTAAGTACCAAGCATTATATATATAATTATACCCCCGCTTTAAAAAAGTGGGGTATACTGTTTTACCTTTTTCCGTCCATCCATCCATCCATCCGTCCGTCTGTCCCATGAATATTTTTCGTTGCATCTTTCTCAGGAACTACATCATAAGGATTTCTGAAATTTGGTTTCAGGGTTTATATAAGTCGGCTATACCGTGTGATGCATTTTCAGATTCATCACTCAACAACTTCCTGTTTACCGAATACTTACATATTTTTACACTATTAAAATTATCCACTTGTAGTGGGGGACATATTTTTACACTATTAAAATTATCCACTTGCCGCGGGGTATCATCAGTGAGCAGTAGCTCGCAGTTTCACTTGTTTCAATCTGTATAACATTTTTAGTTCTCAGGTGTCAGTGGACTACCTAGCTACTCTTTAGACTGTTCTGCAGCAGGATTTGGAAAGCTGACAGGAGAACCGATATCTTTGAAGAAACTTAAAGATTTTCAGATACTAACAGCCAAGATTGAACTACAAGTAAGTTTTCAGGAGTTTGCCTGATTTTTGGATGTTGACATTCTTTCCTGTATATAGGAGTAAGTTTGGTAAGGACGTAAATGGCCCTGATTATTAAGTTTAATGTTTCAAGATTAAAAAAGTTGATGAAAATACATGTGAAAAAGTTAAATAAAACTATTTTTGGCAAAGATTTCTTTAAAAGCGTTGATTTTTCAAACCATATACATTGGACTTTACACTTTACAATGATGGTGAAATTAATTAATTTTTTAGAAGCATTTTTGTATTATCTCTTCATTTTGAAACCCTGAGACACAGAAATGTTTCTTAGGGTTGAAATTTTTATTTTATTTTGTCGATCAACCAACATGTCCTTTTACCTATGGCATGATTATATCAAACAAAAAAAAAATACTTAACTTACCTAGAAGTTTCGACTATACTGGTATGAGTTTTGGTTTTTATTGAAGGCAGGCTCTAGGATGATCTAATTCACCTTCAGAATCTAATGCATCCTGGGTAATATTTTCAAAAGCCTACACCAAAACGCTGTAATTGGCTTATAATGTGACCAACACTGGACGTAAAATTGTTTTCATTTTGTGGTATGGACAATGAAATTACCCACAATCCTTTACTAAAACGACGAAGTCTTTGGCGGATAGTTGACTCATTGGCAGTCATACTGTCACAGAATATAAGTTCCACCATAATATTTATTCCAAAGATAATTTATTATGTAACAAAAGTTCCAATTGGAATAAATGTTATGTGATATTTATTCCATAAGCATAATAAAAGGACCGATGCCTCGGAATTTTTATCACATAAAATAAATTCCAATAGGAAGTTTTATTACATAATAAATTATCTTTGGAATAAATATTATGGTGGAAATTATTCAAAAAGCATAATAAAAGGACCGATGCCTCGGAATTTTTATCACATAAAATAAATTCCAATAGAAAGTTTTATTACATAATAAATTATCTTTGGAATAAATATTATGGTGGAAAATATTCAATAAGCATAATAAAAGGACCGATGCCTCAGAATTTTTATCACATAAAATAAATTCCAATAGTAAGTTTTATTACATAGTAAATTATCTTTGGAATAAATATTATGGTGGAAATTTTAAGACTGGTATAACATTTTTACTATGATCATTTTGACAATTTGACATATCATTCATTAAAATGAAAGTAATCAGAAATTACGGTTAAATTGCTTTATTAACATATATACAAATAAGTAATATTTATTCGGAAAAAGTATTATGTAATATTTATTCCGATTGGCAAAAGTATTATGTAATATTTATTTTTGATTTGAAAAAGTATTATGTAATATTTATTCCAATCGAAAAAAGTATTATGTTATATTTATTCCGATTGGAAAAAGTATTATGTAATATCTTTTCCGACGCATAAATATTATTATGTTCTATCTATAACGAATGCCGGAATGGTAAATTGGTATTTACAATTATTATTCTGATATACTATAGTAGAAATAATACTGGTAAAAGAACATGTATTGTGAATATGGGAAATAATTGTTCCTAATGTTGTAGACATTAAATAATCATTTCAAATTATCCACAATAACTGGCATGCAAATTTTACATTTAAATGATATTTGTATCATTAGAATTAACATTTATATTTCACAGCATAACTTGTTAAAATATTTACTTACCTTCAACATAAGTTCCATCATTTAAGAATATAAATATTTTCTCATACTCATCAGCCTCCATGTTTATACATTCAGGTGTTGTGTACAGGTGAATATATCTAACTCACTAACACTTTTCTATTTACATAGTAATCATATAATCAGCATTTAAAAACTGTTTTGATTTAGATAATAATCACTCAGGTGTAAACTTTAAACTTCAGCATACTAGGAACATTTGTTATACTCATCAACATATAATATAAGTTCCTAATATCAGTGGAACAAATGTAATACAGTTGGAAGAAGTATTCCATGACCGAATTTCCACAGGACAAATATTATTATAATATTGTTTCCCTCAGGAACAAATATTATTAGGAACAAATATACGTTGACAATACTACGTGTATTTATTACAGGGATATAAAGATGTTAAAGCTGTGGAAAGAAAAGTAAGGGTCTTGCCGAGTGGAAGAGTATCTAGTATAGACGTCCATCACTTGAAAGACAATGGGAAAACGGTGGCAATGAAAGAAGGGGAGACAATCACTGCAATCGCTGGACAGGTGATACAGGGATTAAGTGAGTATAGATAGTTAATGTATTCCTTTAATGGGTGATGATGGTTTTTCCTATAGCCAAGGGTTACAATCACTATTGTATTTGAACAGATGATTTAGACTGAGTGCATTCAGCCAGGAATAACAGTTACAAGATATATGGACCTTGAAAAGTACTGATTAACACAGACTATAGACAAGGGTTACAATCACTATTGTATTTGAACAGATGATTTAGACTTTAAGTGCATGAGGCCAGCATCAGCAGTCACAAGATATAATATGAACTTTTTATACATTGTGACTTGGATGGAGAGTTGTCTCATTGGCATTCATACCTTATCTTCTTATTTATATTGAATTAACAGAGATTATCAAAAACTACCATCAAAACATTATACCAAAACAAATGGCTAAAAACTACAGTGACATATAGTTGCCAACATCTACATCATTTCATCTCTGATGGATAGTTGTTTCATTGCAAATCACACCACATCTCCTTATTTTTATGTACATATTTTTGTTTTTATTATGATATTGTTTCAAACATCTGTATTAAATTTACATATTCTTGTCTTTAGTATAATATTGTTTCAAACATCTCTTATTATATTAACATATTCTTGTTTTTATAAAGATAAGGAAATGTGATATGAGAGAGCTATCCACCAAAGTTCAGATGGAGTGGATGTAAGCAATTATAGGCAACTGTATGGCCTTCAACAATGAGAAAAACCCATGCCGTATAGTCAGCTATAAAAGGCTCCGACATGAAAAATAAGAAACAATTCAATTTAGAAAACTAATAGCCTGATTTATAATAAAGCAATTTACGAAAACAAATACAGTGGTGTTATAGTACAACACAAGAACAAACTATAAAATCAGTGGAAAAGGTCTTAACTCATACATATATAAGTATAATATTGTTTCAAACAACTATGTTATATTTACATATTGTTTTGTTTAATATAGTATTGTTTCAAACACCTATTTTATATTTCAGGTTTTTCTCTGACGGATGAAGCTGGAAGAAAGGTTGAAATTGATGACTCCATTGCTGCAAAAATTAAAGTAAGTAAAACTTCAAGATGAATAATTTACTATACATGTATAGTATAACTGTATGTATTGCTGTTTGTTTGTTTATTCTACATTGGCTAGAGGGTTGAGATATCACAAAACATGTTTAACCCTGCCGCATTTTTGAGCCTGTCCCAAGTCAGGAGCCTCTGGCCTTTGTTAGTCTGGTATGTTTTTTAATTTTAGTTCATTTATTTGTTTTGGAGTTTAGTATGACGTCCATTTTCACTGAACTAGTACACATCTTTGTTTAGGGGCCAGCTGAAGCCCGCCTCAGGGTGCAGGATTTTCTCACTGTGTTGAAGACACATTGGTGGCCTTTGGCTGTTTTCTGCTCTTTGATGGGGTTGTTGTCTCTTTGACACATTCCCCATTTCCATTCTCAATTTTATATACTATGTAAAGTTAGATATTTTGAATGGTTTGTTATTGCTGCTACCAGGATAAAGATAAAAATCTCAAAATTAATCCTTCACTTTAAGGATGTTCACTACTCTTGTTTTTGACTTTTTGTCAGATATTCGGAATCCTCTGGTTTTTTCCATGTAATGCCAATAAAAAATTTGCCCACTAACATCTTCTTTTCTTTTCATAATTTTATTTTATATAGTTTAAAAAGACTTTTTTTCAAAATCTTATAAAATCCTTGATATTTTTTTATAGTTTTTGAAAGAAAAAATGTGACTAATGTTAAATGTATGAAAAATCTAGAGAGATTATTTTCCCGCCAAATTTTCAACTGATTATATCTTAAAAACAAGGACATGGACCTATATTTTTTTCTGCTTTTCAAGTTCCGTTATTTATAAATTATCAATTTATAACAGTCTTTTAAAAAGCTTGTTATTTTGAAACAGAGGAGCGATCATCCTTAATTTGATCTTTAAGCACATCAGAATGAGGGAAAAAACCTTCGAAAATAAAACATTGAGATCTTGTTTGACCCTTAGTAGACAATGTGTAATTTAAACTGTCCAGAACTAAATTTATAGAATATTGATATACACTACATCTGTTTACTTTGCTGGTGGTGTCAACATTTACATTCAATCTGTTAACATTAATAACTTTCTTATACTGTCTTGGGTTTTTACTTTACTTTGACAGAAACTTGTTCATGATCAAAAGATAGCAAAATTTTGAAAAAAAGTTATTTCCATTATTAGCTCACTGTTCCGAAGGAACTGTGAGCTTTTGCCATCACTTGGCGTCCGCCGTCCGTCTGGTGTAAACTATTTCAAACATCTTCTCCTCTGAAACTACTGAACCAATTCCAACCAAACTTAAGCTGAATGATGCTTAGGGTATCTAAAATAAAGTTTGTGTTTTATTTACTGTTTCGTCAAATAACATGGCTGCCATGGCTAAAAATAGAACATAGGGGTAAAATGCAGTTTTTGGCTTATATCTCAAAAACCAAAGCATTTAGAGCAAATCTGACATGGGGTTAAAGTGTTCATTAGGTGACGTTTTATCAGCCATGAAATTTTCAGATGAATCTAACAACCCATTGTTGGATTGCTGCCACTTAATTGGTAATTTTAAGGAAATTTTGCAGATTTTGGTTATCATCTTGAATATTATTAATGATAAAGATAAACTGTAAACAGCAAAAATGTTCAGCAAAGTAAGATCTACAAATAAGTTCGTATGACCAAAATTGTCAATTGTGCCCTTAAGGTATAGAACCACTAATTCAGGCCCGGTCAGAAAGAACATACAAGAAAGTAGTACATATTTTAAACAAAATAGTTCCTACGCATAGCTGTGTCCTTGTCAATAGTGGGAATATTTGGGTAGTTTTAGTATCAAATGAAAGCTTGGGGACTTGGGATCACTGTAGAACCCTTGTTGAAAGTTTTATTTGAATAATAAAGAAGTATATGAAATTTTAATAGGAGGGCTCATTTGGCCTGTTGTTCATATCAGAAGTTCCTGTTTTTGTACTATCAAACTTCCGGGAACCAGTATGCTCTCAAATGCAATTAAAGGTATGCTGATTTTTTCACCACAAGACAGGATAAGGTACAGTTTTGACATGAAATAACTGCCACTTTATTTGAACTTAAGACAAAGTAGCCATTAATGCTTGAAATTGCAGAATTTAACATAGAAAGCAATGGGGCTATGAATTAGTGGTTTATACCTTAAGGAGTTATTGCCCTTTAAAATCAATTTTTCACAATTTGTTCATTTAGTTTGCTTACTTTGAAAAATCTTCTCCTTTGAAACTGCTGAATCAATTTCAGCCAAGCTTGAGCTGAATGAGTTTCAGAGTATCTAGTATAAATTTTGTATTTTATTTTCTTGTACGTCAAAAAACATAGCCACTATGGCTAAAATGAAACAAAGGGGTAAAATGCATTTCTTTGATTTTGAAGAAAATATGACAGATACAAAGAACATTTCAATGGAAGTTTTACGCCATTCATTAATATATATTGAAAAGCAAAAATAATCATTGATGAAAGATTTAAGCAAAAAATTACAGGTGAGCGATTCAGGCTCTTGAGAGCCTCTTGTTCCATATTTTATGGATAAATAGACCTAGTTTTTTTACAGTTTACAAGTAGATATAAGATACAGTCTGGGCTTAAAGTTTGTTACACTTCAGTTACTTTCTCAAACTTTCATAGAATTTTATGAAACTTTGACAGAAGCTTTTTATAATTAAGAGATAATTTTTGAAGCAAATTTTGAAATTATTTTTTATTCTGTATTTAACTGTAAGATGGATCTGGTTTTTTGCAGTCACTATTTACAGACAGTCTGGAATGAAACGTTTTTGACATAATACATTTTTAAACCTTCATGGTTTGTTATGAAATTTGGACAAAAGCTAATGTCTAAGATCAAGAAATAGCATCTAAAAAAATTTATATTTTTTAAAATTCTTTAAAATTGCTGATAAATCTATGACAGTAGCAGTTGCAGGCGAGACACAGAGTTCTATATTACTGATAAATCTAATCGCTTTTTACAATCGACATTGCACTTTTACACTGACAGTAGCAATTGCAGGCGAGACACAGGGTTCTATATTACTGATAAATCTAATCACTTTTTACAGTCAACATTGCACTTTTACACTGACAGTAGCAATTGCAGGCGAGACACAGGGTTCTATATTACTGATAAATCTAATCACTTTTTACAGTCGACATTGCACTTTTACACTGACAGTAGCAATTGCAGGTGAGACACAGGGTTCTATATTACTGATAAATCTAATCACTTTTTACAGTCGACATTGCACTTTTACACTGACAGTAGCAATTTCAGACGAGACATAGAGTTCCACAGAACTCTTGACAAATTTATGTCCAAATTGTGGGCGTGAGACATATTCAGTGATCCTACAATCATCTATTCTCTAGGTAAACTGGACCCCAAAGACCCCTAAGGAGAAAGTGATACAAGGTCTACTACCAGATATAAGGGTTCCGGCCATCACATCAGATGTCAAATATTGTCAGATATCCATACAGGATGGGTCAGGTGTGGACTTCAACTTCATCGTTAGTGGCAAACCTGCTGAACCAAACCAAATCAAATGTAAATGTGAGGGATTCAATGTGGTCAAGATTGGTGAAGTATTGGCATCAGAGATACATGTCAAGGTCAAGGACAGATTCGGGAATGAAATATCAGATGTGAGATTTACTTTGTTTATTAGATTAAGCATTAGGAATTAATAATGTTTAAATTTAGACAAATTTAGATTTATGTATATGTTACTGTGGATTTATTATTATTTGAATACCAATTTTCATGAACTTCCAGGGATTAAGTAAACCACAAATTTAAATTTTCAATGAGGTATACATTTTCTATAGGCTTGTATGCAGACTTTGGCAAATCCTCGAAAACAAATATTCATGAAAATACAATTTTTCATCCATCCACAAAAATTGGTATCCATGAATATAAATGAATTAACAGTAGAAATGATTCAGTTTTCAGAACAAAAAATAATCCAAACTGTAAGAAGTTATCAGTACCAAATTTCCTTAAAGACAAAAATATTTAGATATAACAAAAAATGACCACTGACTTTGGACATACATGTAAGAATAACCATGTGGTCTGGTTAAATTAGTACATATCCCTTCACCTAGGATGATGTACAGGAAAAATAATCATATACTTTAAATTAAAAAAAAATTGCATGCATTTATTATGCTGATTAATTAGTAGGATTTAAGGAAATGAGGCATACAATTGATGACATCATATTTAAAATGTGAGATTTATTTTTGTGAAAACCTATCCGATCGCATTTTTGGCAATAATAAAAACATCTCAAAACTTTTAAACTTTAATACAATATCAATAAAGCAATGCTTTGGTTATTGTTTTTTGTTTAAATTATGACAGGAAGGTTTCATTGATGAGTCAAAGAATTGATACAATACAGCAAGATAGAGACGACCCATAGCCTGAACTGTGATTGTGTTCTCTTTGCAAACATTCTCCAATCAATGTCTTTAGGAAATTTAATCAATCATACCATATTTTAACAGTTTTTGTCCTAAAGTTAAAATAGTGATTTAAAAATCAATATAGTGGGCTTTGCTGACTTAAACAGGCCGTACTCATTGATATTTAATGATATAAGTTGTTCTTTTTTTATAGTTGCCAAAGAATACAACGAGTGAATTTATTGTGACTGGTGAAGGACTTAACACTAATATCATTAAAGTTACACAGTCAAAGGTTTGTTCAATTAGAAATGAAATATTACCCTTAATGAATGTAGTGCAAGACTGGGTAATGAGCTCAAGTGGTCAAATACTGGAGGGTTGAAGACTGAATTTATTTTCCAATCTCAAATAATTTTTGTCTCATGTATGCAGGTATTCATTCATCCTTGATTTTTCAAATTTTGGGGTTAAGCTTTACTGGTGAAGGTAAGGCAAAAAAAAGCAGACACAAGAAATTTATATAAAGTGTTGTTTGTCTGAGTTGGTAATAACAGCAAATCTACATGTAACACAAGGCGTTAAGATATTTCTATTTTCTGATGAGTCTTGTTTGAGTTAGGGAAAAAACATGTTTTGATTTTTTCAATCCTGGATTATTCTTGACTAAGGAAGGGACAAATTGGAAGCCCTACCAGATCTCGTATATTTTTTCTACTTTTTATCTCTTGACAATTTTGTTTCAAATTTTTTCTCAGGTTCTCATGATCTATGAATCTCAGATTCCTGAAATTTGGTATCAATCTTTATGATATTCACTGCTTGGTGTATTTTCATATCCATCACTGATCAACTTCCTGTTGACCAAATTCTTATAGCAGGGAATCATTAGTGAATGTTCCTAATTTTTGAGTACCAAAATTTTTTATCAAACTCTTAAAAGCAAGAGCTATCTTTTCATTTTGAATATTTTTTACCTGCATTTTCAAGTTTCCATTTGTACTTTTAGTGACATTTTCCATGCATGGAGGAAGAGCTCAGTGTGAAAGAAACTATTATATGAGACCAGAAGTGACATTTACTTCACCGGAAGTAGCTAATTATCTCCCTTATTTCACTCAGAAGTATATAGAAACCACTTATTTATCGCATCAGTATGAAGAAACTGATGATAAGATGCCAATTTTAACTTTGAGTAAACATGAACTAGCTTCTTTTCAATAAATTTTAAAATTGCTGTGGAAAGACCTTCAATTGTTCTCTGAACAATTGGTTTTTAATTATCATTAATTCTTGACCACTCACAAGAATGCAAATATTACTAATACGATTGTAAACATTTTATGAAGGAAAATCATTTCTGAAATTGTAAATGCAACCTGTCACATTTTTCACATTAATATTTTAATTTAAAGTATTTTATATTATGCAGGGAACATTTGTGATAAGAGGTATACAGTTTGAAGGTGTTACAGTGGGTGTAAAGGATGTGAAAGTCCAGTGGAGAGAGCACAGAGATTTTGTCAAGATAGATGTGGCAGCAGGACCCCCAGCAAAGCTTATAGCACCTGGTTGGGACCTAAATCAGGTATATTTTGTATACACAGATTGTAACAACCCAACAACTCAATAATAAAAATGACAAGTTTTATTCCTCAGTAGCTATAAATATAAAGGAGTCTGCAATATATTGGTATGTGGTCTGACACATGACTTTTGACCTTGACATTTCTAGTGTTTATTCTAAATTTTTGTATAAGTGTGTAACTGTACACGATAGGTTGAAAATATTTTAATTTTGAATCAATTAAATATATAAAATCATCTGAAATGAGTTTGAAAAAAAAGGGGTGATTTTTGTAATGATATCATTGTGTTCAATACATGTGGGACCTGCACAAGAGTACTGGACACTTGTGTTTGTAATTTTGAGGACAATTTGTCAGTGAGTCATATGAACAAATATCCAATCATCCCATATCACATAAGATGAACGAAAATTGACACAATGATACTATTATCTCCCCTTGATCCTTTTTACACTTGAATAAATAAACTCATCATAGATACCAAGATTTAAATTTTGTACAAATGACGCGCGTTTCGTCTTAGAATAGACTCATCAGTGACGCTAGAATCAAAAAAGTTAAATAGGCATATTTTAACCATTATTGAGACTGATAAAAAGAAAACTAGTGGACATTTACTTTTTATAACATTCCATGTTCTTATATACTTTTGTTTTAGCCTGTTACAGTACTCAATGATAACAAATTACCCAGAGCCTTGATGGTACAAGTTTGTGATATCAACGGAAATCATTGTAGAATTCCAGATATAAGGATTCAGATAGCTAAAGATCCAAAGATTAAGGTATGTACGTAACAACAACTAATTTCACAAATTATTCTTACAATAAAAAATGCTTGTAAGTCCTGATCATTTCAGTATAACTTACAATCAATTTTAATCGTAAGATTTTTTTGGGAAAAGGTCCACAGGTCTTTTTGAAAAAAGTAAAATAACAAAAATAGCGAACTCCAAGGAAAATTCAAAACGGAAAGTCCCTTATCAAATGGCAAAATCAAAAGCTCAAACACATCTAAAGAATGGAAAACAACTGTCATATTCCTGACTTGGTACAGGCATTTCCTTACGTAGAAAATGGTGGACTAAACATGGTTTTATAGCTAGCTAAACCTCTCACTTGTATGACAGTTGCATAAAATTCCATAATATTGACAACAATGTTTGAACAAGTTAAGTTTTATAGGATTAAAATACATCCATGTATTGTTTGGTCAAGGGAACTTATTTACATTTATGACAATTCTCATTTCCTGACTGTAAAATTATCCAATGTATGTATTGAATGTGACATATTTGTATGCTTCACCTATGATAATAGGGGTCATTACATTTTGCAGTTTGTATGTTCATCTGTCCTGTTCAAGTTAAAGTTTTGGTTTAAGTTAGTTAACTATGAATTGAATATAAGTTGAAACACAGAACACATGTTCATTATGAGGTGAACTTTTAAAAATGAATGCAAATTAGGGATCATAGATTTATTCTTATGAGCAAGCTCCGAGCATGCTAGGAGGATGCTCGGAGCTTTTTAAGTAGGCTCTTCTCAGCAGTTAATGTGACAATAATTGTCATGATCCATTAAGATGTCAATCAAATCTACACCACTTATATGATAAGGAAAGTAAAGCATTATAGAGGAAGCTCCATAAACACCTGTGTAAACATCTGGTCTATTCAAATACATTTTGCATGGAATTTTACAAAACTATAAAATAGATTTGAAATTCTTCAACAATGCTTGGAAAGAAATCTCAAGTCTCCACAAAAAGTAAAAGTCATTTAAATATTTTCTTATTATATTTAATATTTAATAATCATTCCTTTTTTTATAATAAAAAAATTCTCAAATTTTATAATTAGATGATATGATTTAAAGATAGTTTATATAAAAAATATCAAGACACAAACAACAGTCAGGTGGCGATACTAAACAAGTTATTTTTTTTAGTCACTTTTATAAGTATTTTTTGTTTTTAAAAATTATTTAATAACTCAATAGTTATTTTAAATGTCAAATAAAGCATGGACTAAATGTAGTTTTTAAGAATTTTTATATCATTTTATTAAATAAAATTAAGTATTTATCCAATTTAAGATGAGTATAGAGAGGTTACTTTAAAAAATAATGACAAAAATATTACTTTAATAAATTATTTTATACAACTTTAAAAAACTTAGTACTTACAATTATTTAAGGAATATATGTAATTGCTTTTGATTAAGATTCAAATTATAAATAACTTCAAGTCTTAATTAAAGGTTCTATATCTAGTTATAACTGTCTATCTCTAAGATTTTAAGGGGAAATGATATTTTAATAGCCCCAAGAGGCCAATCTTTGACCAAGAAGTGTGGCATCAGAAAAGCAATTAGTGCTTGTTGAGGATTTAAATAGTTTTACCAGTATATTTCATGAGGAAAATAACCAGATGTCTGTGAAAATTTGTTAAAGCTAGAAAAACCTGTATGAATGGACACCTATAAAAATAATATTAACAGAAGTTACTTATTCATGATATAGAAGTAATATTTGAAACAGCCTCATTTTCAACATAACTTGTATAGGTAATTTTGAAAATTACTTGTTTAAGTAATGCCCCTAACTAAACAATGGTAATATGTTTTTTTTAAATAGCAAACTAAGTTCTTTTATAGAAAATTATGGCTACTCTAAGAAAAGTTGTAATTCATTAGTGGATGCCTGGTTTGAGGGGGTAACACCACCATTGTTTTCCCTCTAGTACGTCTCTCTTTACTTGGCATTTTTTATTTTAATTGTGCAGATTTAGCTTTGTTTTAAATAAAGAAATACTTGGCATGAGTAAAATTATATTCCCCCTATAAGTCTTTGTTTAATTGTCATGATTGTTATATTTCAAAAAAAGTATGCAGAATTTATTTATGTTTTAAATAAAGAAATACTTGACATGAATAAATGTCCTGTACTACAGTGAAAATACAGCATAACTTTTCATTGCATATAAGAATGTAAACACCACCAGAAGTTAACCAATCAAATTATCTCCCCCTTTTTTCCCTGTAGAATATAGGATATTTTTATTGCTTTGAAACACCCAAGAAACATGTTTACGACTCAAAAAAACTTTTCTGCAATGAAATGGAGGGTTAATTTCAAACAACTGTCAAATTAAATGGAATATAAAAAAAGATCAACCCTTTTTAGCATGAAACTGAATGTACTATGTTTTGGTAGTATGGTTATAAATCAATAACCATAGTTTGTGTCTTTGATGACTTTTATATTTCATTTTATATAGTATAAATTTAAAATATATTTATATTCCAAATATAAAATTTGAGTGTTTTTTTGTATCATGTGTATTGAAAAAGAATGAAGATTATTAAGAAAATGTTTTAAAATCGTTTTCTTTCTGTGAAGACTTGATACCAAGCATTGTACAGTAATATTGAAGAATTTCTCATCTATTTTATAGTTTTGTAAAATTAATGCAAGATTTGTTTGAATAGACCAGATGTTTACACAGGTGTTAATGGAGCTTCCTCTATAATGCTCTACTTTCCTTAATATAAAAGTGCTATAGATTTGATTGACATCTTAATGGATCTTGATAATTATTGTCACATACACTGCTGAGAAGAGCCTACTTAAAAAGCTCCGAGCATCCTCCGAGCATGCTCGGAGCTTCCTCGTAAGAATAAATCTATGATCCCTTAGCGCTTTGACCAAAATTATGCGGGTTTTTTTTGTGATTGCTGAATAGTCTGAATAGTATATCTACAGTGTTCACTAGCCTGTCAACACTGAGGTTTTAAGTTTGAATCCTGCTTCGGTAAGGTGTGTTTGAATGGGATCTTAATTGACTGGGGTTGCCAGTTTTCTATCTAAAGGTCTTGGTTCTTTCAAGGTACTCCTGCCTCTTACATTAATAAAAACTGGTCGTAATGATATAACCGTGTGCTGATTTTGGTGTTAAACTCAAAACAATCAATCGATGATTTCATCTATTTTACAGCTGATGCCAGCACCATCAATGATGAAGACAAACCCAGAAGGATCAGTCAACTTTGGTATATTATTTGTCTCAGGATCAAGGTAAATAATAATTCAGGGATCTTTGTACTTTGGAATATTATTTGTATCAGGATCAAGGTAAATAATATTTCAGGGGTCTTTGTACTTTGGTATATTATTTGTCTCAGGATCAAGGTAAATAATAATTCAGGGATCTTTGTACTTTGGTATATTATTTGTCTCAGGATCAAGGTAAATAATATTTCAGGGGTCTTTGTACTTTGGTATATTATTTGTCTCAGGATCAAGGTAAATAATAATTCAGGGATCTTTGTACTTTGGTATATTATTTGTCTCAGGATCAAGGTAAATAATATTTCATGGGTCTTTGTACTTTGGTATACTATTTGTATCAGGATCAAGGTAAATTGATACTTCAGGGGTCTTTGTACTTTGGTATATTATTTGTATCAGGATCAAGGTAAATAATACTTCAGGGGTCTTTGTACTTTGATATATTATTTGTGTCAGGATCAAGGTAAATAATACTTCAGGGGTCTTTGTACTTTGGTATATTATTTGTGTCAGGATCAAGGTAAATAATACTTCAGGGGTCTTTGTACTTTGGTATATTATTTGTATCAGGATCAAGTTAAATAATACTTTAGGGGTCTTTGTACTTTGGTATATTATTTGTATCAGGATCAAGTTAAATAATACTTTAGGGGTCTTTGTTATAATGATTGTTGTAAAGCAATGTAATATTTTCCACGGAATGTAACGGAAAATTATCGTGCAATATTATATGACATGCCAATTGCAAACAGTGACACAAATGAAAGCTATGAACATCAATCCACCATTACTTCAATCCACCATTAGAAAGTTTTATATTTCAAGGGGACGTATGATTTAACCTAAAGCTCTGAACGTCAATCTACCATTAGAAAGTTTTATATTTCAGGGGGACGTATGAGATAGAACCTAAAGCTATGAACATCAATCCACCATTAGAAAGTTTTATATTTCAGGGGGACGTATGAGATAGAACCTAAAGCTATGAACATCAATCCACCATTAGAAAGTTTTATATTTCAAGGGGACGTATGATTTAACCTAAAGCTCTGAACGTCAATCTACCATTAGAAAGTTTTATATTTCAGGGGGACGTATGAGATAGAACCTAAAGCTATGAACATCAATCCACCATTAGAAAGTTTTATATTTCAGGGGGACGTATGAGATAGAACCTAAAGCTATGAACATCAATCCACCATTAGAAAGTTTTATATTTCAGGGGGAAGTTCGAGTTAACCTAAAGTTATGAACATCAATCCACCATTAGAAAGTTTTATATTTCAGGGGGACGTATGAGATAGAACCTAAAGCTATGAACGTCAATCCACCATTAGAAAGTTTTAAGATTACAATAGAGATACAGCCTGATGCCACAAAACCTGTTGAGATGAAGGTGAACTCTGGAAACAAGTTTGTGTTTAATGTTGGAGATAAATTACCTGGTAAATGCCACTTGATGATTTTAGATTATAAGTAGCTTTTCCACTTAATCGACTTTAGATCATTACAAACACTGAGGTTGTGAGTTTTAACTCCACAAGTGGCAGGTGTGTTCCACTCCAGTTTTAATTGACTAGGAGTAGATAGAAATAAGAAGATGTAGTTTGAGTGCCAATGAGACAACTCTCCATCCAAGTCACAATGTATAAAAAGTAAACAATTATAGGTCAAAGTACGGCCTTCAACACGAAGCATTGGCTCACACCGAACAACAAGGTATAAAGGGCCCCAAAATGACTAGTGTAAAATAATTAATAGGAGTGTCTGTTTTCTTGCTAAAGGTGGTTGTTTTCTGCAGGCACTCCACCTTCCTCCACCAATAACAACTGGCCGCCATGATATAGCCAAGAGTGTTGAAAGTGGCTTATAACACCAACAATTGATCAATCAATCAGTATTAGAATAGTGTATTAATCTGATATGTTCAGTATTTGGATTTACCTAGGAAAGCAAGAGTTAAACAAGTGAATGTACTTTTCAAATTTTGTTGGCACTTGTGCGATGCGACAAGTGATTGAAAGTTAATTCAAACTCTGTATTTCCTAAACGATACCCTCATACTGCTTGTTTCACAAGTATATCTATCTCTGTTCAATCATTTTATAAATAGAACTGATTATTACTGTGAATTCAGAAATTTTTGCTAACACCAACAATTGATCAATCAATCAGTATTAGAATAGTGTATTAATCTGATATGTTCAGTATTTGGATTTACCTAGGAAAGCAAGAGTTAAACAAGTGGATGTACTTTTCAAATTTTGTTGGCACTTGTGCGATGCGACAAGTGATTGAAAGTTAATTCAAACTCTGTATTTCCTAAACGATACCCTCATACTGCTTGTTTCACAAGTATATCTATCTCTGTTCAATCATTTTATAAATAGAACTGATTATTACTGTGAATTCAGAAATTTTTGCATGCATTATTGTAATTGTTGAACAATGGACAAAATTGCCAGATTAATTATTGCAATTTCAGGAATTGTTGTATACAAATAATACTATAGAAATTTAAAATGCAATTTTTAATTTTTGCAAAACATATCTGGTTGCAATTTTTGCACTGATAAAAAGATCACAATCATTTCTTTATTTCTAGAATGTGATTTACAATATAATATACAGTTATTTTATTGTTTTGTAGATATTTCTGTTGGTATTATGGCTGAAGATGGAAACAAAATGTCAAATGCTAAACACTCCAGTTTGTCTATGAAGTTATGGAAGTTAGACAACAGATCAAAGAGTAATAACACACCAGCATCTAGGGTAAGAGATAGATTCATTAACACACCAGCATCTAGTGTAAAGAATAGCTTCATGCAAGAACACTAAACTTCATATGTAAAATGTTTTTTTTCATCTAACCTTTATCTACTCATGCCTATCTGAATTTTGTTTTTGGTAGACATCAGATTCAAGGGAATATCGGTTGGAAGTTTCAAGTTTTAACGTAAAATCAAAATTATGATTTGTCATAAATCCTCCAGTTCTTACATTTTAAATATGCAAATTAAGATAGCTTTAATATCTGGCTTTGCAGTCATAAAAATTTCTAGTACAATTATCGATCTCAGACTCAAAAATCAATCAATCATAATACTGAATTTGGTATTTCTAGCAGAAATTTTGTACCTAGAGAACTGAGTAAAGTTTTATGACTGAAATATTAGTTTTGGTTTCAGAAGTATGATATTTTTTTCTTATCAGAATCACCAATTTAATAAAAGTTAAAAGACTATTATGAAATCTTTTTCCACTATGAAACACCGGTTACATTTGAAACTGCATTAGCAGTACCTGAATTGTGCCCCTGTTAGAAATTTAAACTTCTGTTCAGTAACTTTGTATGCATCAACCTACTTCTTTTTCTACATTGATCCTTTGCTTCCTTCCTTTATTATGCCATCTTGTTTAAGGCTCAATTTATTGGACCCAGAAATCAGTTCAGTTAAGGACATCCTTATAAATGCATGAATAAATGACTGCCTTGTGTCAGGCACATATATCTTTTGTACCGTAAAACTCAGGTTAAGGTAGCACAATACAAAGATTTTATACCTCCAACTCCCCAGTTTTAAAATGCTGTAACTTTCTTTATAATGTTTGAAATTTTATAAAAGTGGTATTTATGGATAGCTAACAGATTACTCTTTCAAATTAATGCAATGTTAGTATTATACAACAATTATGTAATTAATTATAATTTTAACTGAGTCTACAAAATTTTACAAGAAATTTCCACTTTCAATTGACATTAGCTTCTTCATGGATACCCCGAGAGGGTTGATTTTATAATATGTTGTTCCTAGAGCCATTATCTACAAAAGGGTGTCTCAGATTTTGGATAGAATGTATAGATCAAATTTTACACCTAATCAAATAATCTCTACTTTTATGTGGTAAGGATATTTACCCTTATTACAGATTTATGAGAGAATGGAATAAGATAGCGATAATTTGAGACGCCCTTTTGTAGCTCCTGCTGTGTTGATAAAGATAACGTTAAAATTTCTTGTGTGGTTATAGAGATGTCAGAGCTAAATTCATTCAAGTGAACTGACCAAGATTTTGCCATTAATTGCATAATAATTGATTACATAATTATTGCATAACAAAAATATTGCATTCATTTAAAAGATTAATCTTTTATCTATCTATGTATACCTCTTTTATTAATTTGTATGCAGTCATAAGAAGGTAACATCATTTTAAAGGTTGGAGATTGGAAGTAAAAAAATCTTTTTATTGTGCTACCTTAACCAAACTTGTTATGCAGTTGTTTCATGTCCTGGGGTGTGTCATATACCAAAGTCAGATAACACTGACTTTGACTGATCTTTGTTGACCTCTATGATAGTAAAACCTTATCCAATTAGTGTTTGGCCCATATCTTTTGTACAATAAAACTTATGATAACCCAACTAGATGTACAGTTGCATCATGGGCTTGGGTTGTGTCATATACCAAAGTCAGATCACACTGACCACCACTTTGCCTTTGACCCCTTTGATAGTAAAACCTTGTCCAACTTGTTTCCCGTTATGTGGACAGCTCTAGTTTTTTTTAAACACTGATTTCAGTACATTATAAATTTCAGGCCACATCGTACAGTCCAGAAGTGGTTAAAAATAGTCCAGGGGAATTTGTATTCAGGTAAGTGTGCGGGTAAGGATTGTTGTTAATAAAAAAGGGTTTAGGATTAATAATACCAATTACAGAGTGGTCAAATTTCAATGGATTTTAAATGCCTCTTGAAAAATGTTGTCCATCTGGATGTCCAATACAAATACTTTCCAGATGGTAACCTGAGTTTCACTTGCTTGATTGGAATGAATCTTATACAGATTGGAGACACATGACAGTGGAAGAACCTAACAATGTTGGGGTAAAGAGGTCAAATCTACAACTAAAACTAATTTCTGTTTTTTTTTTGGGGGGGGGGGTAATGTTTTCTTGGTTGGTTACTTGCTTAATTTAAAAAAATCTTATACAGATGGAAGATGTAAAATGAATGGGGAAGAATGATTTTAGGGACAATAATCAATAATTCAAAGTTCAAGGTCACTTAATGTAACCAATGGTAATGAATAATTGAAAAAAATAGGTTTCAGGAACTTGAGATCTGCTTGATTAATTGAAACAAATCTTATACAGATGGAAGATGTAAAATGAATGGGGAAGAATGATTTTAGGGACAATAATCAATAATTCAAAGTTCAAGGTCACTTAATGTAACCAATGGTAATGAATAATTGAAAAAATAGGTTTCAGGAACTTGAGATCTGCTTGATTAATTGAAACAAAACTTTACAGATGTAAAATATAGGGAAGGGAAAGAAGCTATTGGTTTTGAAGTCAATAATTTAAAAATTCAAGGTCATTGTAACTAAAAGAAAATTTAAAAATTGGGAATGATGGTTTCCAGATAGTTCATGTTGCTCAGTTTTTAGTTTGTTATGTATTGTTTTGTAAACTGTAGTTTGGTTTTTTGATGTTTTTATTTTCTTGCCATTTATTTGCCAGCTTATGAGTTTTAATTCTTCTTTTGGTTAATTTATGTTTGATAAATGTTGAGTAGTCTTCATTTGGAGTCTTCAGCCTCTTTTGGAGTAAAATGAATTTGATGTAAATGGAAAACATAGGAATTCTATATATTTTCAGGTCAAAGCTCGAGATTACAGCTTCTAAAAAAGTTTGAAAAATATAGAAATACTAGTCACAAGTTTTACATTGGTCAAGTTCACTTTCAACTGTACATGCTGTACAGTCCATTAAAAGATATATACCTTTCCAATCACTGCATATTTTATGTTTTTTTAGGGATAAAAAATTTCCAGAACAAGCAGGAGAGTATAATGTTCTTATTACCTACTATGATGGCAAACATGAACTCTTCAGTAATGTGGTAAGTAATGATGAATCATGGGATATATGAGCTCTTCAGTAATGTGGTAAGTAATGATGAATCATAGGAAACATGAACTCTTTAGTAATGTGTTAAGTAATTATGAATCATGGAAAATATGAGCTCTTCACTGACTTCAGTAACATGGTAAGTAAAGTTGGATGATGGGGAAATTAGAATTAAACGTTCAATTTCCTCCATTCAAAAGAATATAGACTTTTTGATAATGTGTTGATAACATTATTGTTAGAATAAACTGAAGTGCAAATAAAAGTTATTGAGAATCACATTTTTTCCAAATTTTCCATTTTGGTCAGAATGGAAAAAAAATATTAGAGAAACAGAAATAACCAAAAAATTTACTATAGTAAAAAAAACACTAAGAAATAATGGACTATGATATTGGTTACAAGTCATACAGTGGCCTGTGGTTGTTCACAAGCTTGTCCTTTGGTCTTTGCTAGATTGTTATCTCATTGGCAATCATACCACATCTTATTTCTATGCTATATTACGGCTTTGTTATGAAGACACCTTAACAAAAGTTATGATTTTTTGGAGTATATTTTCATTTTGATTTATACTTATAGATTAAGTTTTTCTCCTAATTAATGTTATTTTATATATTTTAGCTTAACTTCACACTTAATCCTGGAAAACCAACACAGTTATGTCCCCTAGAACTTCCTGGTACCCCAACTGTATCTAACACACGTAATCCACAGTCAAGGATTTTGATTAGAAATACTCAATTTCAGCTAGTGGTAAGTTTTTATACCTTGTCATATGAAATAGGTCATGTTTTTCCTTAATGTTCTCCCGAGAGCCTTATAGATATATTCAATATATGTACATTGTCGGAAAATATCAAATTTATTTGTATGAGCTTTAGAAACAGGAGGAAAAGCGAGGCTCGCCGAGCTTTTCTCCTGTTTCGTAGCAAGTACAAATAAATTTGATATTTTCCAACAATGTACATATATTGTTTTTATCCTGAAATTCACACCCAACACTTGAAACTTAAGCTGTTAAAATCTAAATCATTGTCTCTAATTTTTCAAAGAAATCGACATAGTTTAAACGTGGACCGCAAAGAGGTCCACAAAATGAACTGTTACACAAAAAGAAATATCCACATTACTGCTTGCTCAACATGGAAGCGGGGTAACAAGAGACTTTATTTGTATAAGTACAAATTTATTTGTGTACCTGTTATTTGTAAAATGGTTGGCTGATTGCAAGATAAACCATGATACATAGCGCCATGACATACAAGATATATGACATGTACTTGAAAAAAAGAACAGTTCTTTAATTGCTGTATATCAATGTTCCAATGATGCCTTCAACATTTGGTAAGAGCATGACACACTCACTGCCAATACAAAAACACCTCTTTTTACTTGTTTGAGCCAGATTCTTGGCAATATGTCAGTTTCATTACATTTGTATACTGAACATGCAGAGTAATATTAAAAGATTTCACAATATAAAAAAAAACAGAAGATGGCAAGGGGCAATTCAAAATTCATAACTGGATTAAAAACTGACAATATTATGGCAAAAACAAAAAATGATGAAAAGAAGCAAATCCACAAACCACAACATAGAATACTAAAGACTGAGCAACACAAACCACAACATAGAATACTAAAGACTGAGCAACACAAACCACAACATAGAAAACTAAAGACTGAGCAACACAAACCACAACATAGAAAACTAAAGACTGAGCAACACAAAACACAACATAGAAAACTAAAGACTGAGCAACACAAAACACAACATAGAAAACTAAAGACTGAGCAACACAAAACACAACATAGAAAACTAAAGACTGAGCAACACAAAACACAACATAGAAAACTAAAGACTGAGCAACACAAAACACAACATAGAAAACTAAAGACTGAGCAACACAAAACACAACATAGAAAACTAAAGACTGAGCAACACAAAACACAACATAGAAAACTAAAGACTGAGCAACACAAAACACAACATAGAATACTAAAGACTGAGCAACACAAACCACAACATAGAATACTAAAGACTGAGCAACACAAACCACAACATAGAATACTAAAGACTGAGCAACACAAACCACAACATAGAAAACTAAAGACTGAGCAACACAAAACACAACATAGAATACTAAAGACTGAGCAACACAAACCACAACATAGAATACTAAAGACTGAGCAACACAAACCACAACATAGAATACTAAAGACTGAGCAACACAAACCACAACATAGAATACTAAAGACTGAGCAACACAAACCACAACATAGAATACTAAAGACTGAGCAACACAAACCACAACATAGAATACTAAAGACTGAGCAACACAAACCACACTGAAAAATAGAGCTGAACTCAGGTGCTCCAGAAGGGTAAGCAGATCCTGCTTTATATGTGGCACTAGTCAGGTTTCTCATGCAACAACAAATCTGGTGATGTCGAGGAAAGGGAGATATATACTCCATATGCAGGCACTGCTGAACCCCCTGAAATATTGCTACATTGAAATGAAAGGAAAACTCAGTTGGGAGGCTGAAATAAAGTTCTGTTCTCAACCAACCCTTATTGTCAAATCTAGATGCAAGTCAACATATGAGGCAGACTTAACTGTATTTGTGGTTTCCTTTATTTCAAGTTCGATGGGATAGATGCATTCAACAAAATCTGACACCAAACTTTGCTGAAGAGGCAAAAAAATGTTTAACAATATAAATAGTCTGAATACCTTGTATGGTAGTTTGTAATTGGCAGACTCAGTGTTTTCCTTTTTTCCGCCTTTGTTTATTGATGGAACATTGTTGGTGGTGTCACAGATTTTCAGCTATTCTTTAACAGACTATAACTACCGTTAGTTTTGAAGGTCAACACACTTATTACCATATTGTAGCTAAATGAGCAATAGTAGTCATTGACTACAATTAGAATTGTTTACCCAAATTTTCTAACATAGCTCAGTACAAAGAACTTATTGAAGATATTGGTGCCGTGACCAATGGAGAAATACAGAGCCAAACTAGATGGACACAGAATTACAGTATCATGGATGTATAAAACTAAAAGCAGTTTAGGCCAAAAAAAAATATGTCTGTTTACGGTTACCCGACCGTCCCTATTTTGGGGTGCCGACCCTATGTCATTTTATTCAAAAGTGAAAGTACAAAGCCGGAAACACCTACTTTCAGTTTAAAACAAAAGTGAAAGAAGGTGCGTGATCATCTGAGCGCTTTAATTTTTAAATTGTGAACTCAATATTGAAGCGATTTTGCGATCTAGATCTCAATGGCAACTTTACTGTTGGAGATGTTGTAGATAAATGCAATGTTAAATGTACATTAATAAACCTATATAATAGAAAGGACAAAACAATTTATTTTAAGTTTATATGACAGTAAAAAGTTAATATAGTCACTTAATATTAGTTAAAACAACATGTATTAGTTAAAACAACATGTAAAAACATCACACATCTCCCCATAAGAAAAAATAAAAAAAAAAAAAAAAATGGAAATGCCTACCTACCTACCCTATTTTTTTAAAGGATGTAACCTTAAACAGACATATATTTTTTTTGGCCTAAATAAACAGTTATTTAAACTTGGCTCTTATTGTGCTGTTTGAAGACAATTAACAGTATGAAACATTATAAAGTTATTTACAAATCAAAACAATTAGGAAAGACATATAATCTTTTAAATAAATACGTTAAAAATTTTTGATTGTAGGATGATTCTAGTAATTTTGCCGGGCATGGCTATAATGGGACATTAAAACTTGATATTTGTGGTGAACCAGGGGAGAAAGAATTACCATGTTTTGTTGGCGGTGTCAAGAATGTGGAATTTAAGTTCATCAATGGAGAGTGTAGTGTTTCTGTAAGTATTTTAGAGAGAAAGAATTGTGAGTAGTTGTCCTATAGTAATCACACTTTCTGTCCATCAGCTCTTCTTTGTTGTACATTAAGTCAAAATTGTGTAAACTGATTTTCAAATTTTTATGCACAGCATTTTCATCCTTTGATGAGTTTTGGTCATCTCTTAACATTTATATATATTTACTCTAAAGTCAGCATCTGTTGTGGCTGCAAAATCTGTTATTTTAAGTTCAAGAATGTTTTCACAACCTCTTCCTCCAAAATACAACATTGTTACTTATGTTGAAATATCCTTAAAGCTTCTTCAAATCTGATTATTAAATCACTTCAGTTTTTACAAATGACAAGTTACCATGGCAACAGACATAGACAAAATTTGTATTTATTACAAAATTTCTTAATTATATCCCCGCTTTAAAAAAGGGGGGTATACTGTTTTACCTCTGTCTGTCCTTCCGTCAGTCGGTTAGTCCGTCAGTCCGTCCGTCCGTTCCTTGAATATTTTTTTTGCATTTTTCTCAGGAACTACTTGACAAGGATTTCTGAAATTTGGTTTCAGGGTTTATATAAGTCAGCTTTACCATGTGATGCTTTTTCAGATTCATCACTCAACAACTTCCTGTTTACCGAAATATTACGGCGGGGGTATCATCAGTGAGCAGTAGCTCACAGTTTGACTTGTTCTTCCACTTTTACTGTATAAAAACACCCTTCTACAGTTGAGATTTCATAGTGCCTTCTCTGTGGGGCCATGTGCATTTTATGGAACAGTCCTTTAAAGTGCCTTGTTTCAGACTAACAGTCAGTGATTTTGTCTCCTTTTAATAACATAGTTCTGTACTACATGTACATGAGCCAATGTAGTTTCAAGGTGAGTAAGGGCTACATGCTCGAGGTAGCCTCTAGTTTTCTGTTCTTCTGGATTCTATTTTTCTTAAATTTACTAACCCAAAGATTTCAGATTTCTCCAAACCATTTGGAAAATACTTTTCTTAGAGATGAAGATATGTTTTTTTTTCATTGTATATTTAAAGGCAGTGTCTGCGCGTACCCGCATGCGGGTACGAATAGTCAAATTGCCATTCATAGGCTACGCGTACCCACATCCGGTTTTATAATAAAATGCCATCGGATCGGGAATGAAACGTGAAATATATAAGGAAATTATCGATAATATGGAGATTTCGTGTAGAACGAGTGAAGAGTATGAAAAATAATATTTTCAAATTGTATTTATTAGATAATGATGCATAATAAACACTGCAAATTAAATGCACACTGATGGAAAATGAAACTGTACAGTCCCTGAAAGAAGAACATGATAAATACTAATACTATAATAAAAAGTAAAATAAAATGCAAATTTAAAGAATAAAATTTTATTGATTTTGAAAAATACCCATATGAGATTAAAAAATAATCTTTTAGTAAAATGTAAAACAGAAACTGAAATTTAAAAATATCTTAAACGACTAAAATTAAAGCTTGGGTGTCTATATAAAAATTAGAGAAGCAAGTAATAATGTCAAATTAAACCAATTAATATAAAAGATTCATGTAGCTAATTAAGATTTGGAACAAATTTTACGTATCCAATATGATTGTTTTGGCACCCTGCACATTTCAAATGTTGCCAGTCCAAACAACAATCTCAGGCCAAAGAGTCCTGATCGTGTAGATTTTTTTGACACTTGATACATATCCATTCGCATGATTCTCTTCTTTTGTTGATCCAAATTTTAAGTTGCTTCCACGCTTCAAAGGTAAAATATTTTTTGATGCGCTGAAGGTTTACATTTTCGTCAAATATTTTGTTATTTATTAACGAAGCATCTAAAAGATTATTGGCATCGGCCTTTGTTTTATCAGAAATAATTTTTGTGTTTCCAGTTCTTCTTTTTTCTGCAGCTGCAATTGACTCCGAGTTTCTTTTATACAATTGTATAAAATTAATCGACTGATAGTTCTGAACAAATTGTTCCAATTCATGATAACTTTGAAATGTCTTCCCCACATGTATATCACTCTCTTCCATTTTAAGAATATTTATTAACTGAGAAAAACTGTTCACTTACCTATATATAAATATTCATAAAAATTCTGAGTAGTTTTAATCAATTTATTCACTAATTGCGAAAAATTCCGTATATATTTCATGTTTCATTCCCGATCCGATGGCATTTTATTATAAAACCGGATGTGGGTACGTGTAGCCTATGAATGGCAATTTGACTATTCGTACCCGTATGTGGGTACGCGCAGACACTGCCATATTTAAACAAGAGGAGTATGAACACTTTTTTCTTGATTGTAGAATGTAATGCTACAGGAGAATTCATCAGGAAGAGATGGTGCTGAATATACACTGAAATGTCAACTGATTTGTGACAAACTACCCAAGAACCATGCAATACCACCATATAACATTACATTTTTGTTTTATAATGGTAAGTTCATGTCAACTAATTTGTGACCCAGGATTGTAGGTTTCATATTAACAGAGAATTGGGTATGGCTTGATATCAGCTTGAGTTATTTAATTTCCAATATGATAATAAACGAGCCTATAACTTTTGATAACGAGTGTTGATATCAGGTGATATCCAACTCGATATCTAACTCTCATGAGTTGTTAAACCTATTTCTCTTATGGTGAAAATGATCTTTGTTTGAAAAAGAATGTTCTACAGACATTTTACTTGACTTTTTCACCTAAACAGTATAATGTCATAAGTCTGCTTCCGTTTTCAATATCAATCATTTTCAAGCTTTTTGTATGCTTCAGAATGGAATCAAGTATGATAAAAAGAATATTTTCAGGTAAAACATGCGAGTGTTTTATATATTTTGTTGCAGAAATCTCAAATTTCTGTTGCCACTGGGGGAAAGTAGGCGGTTGTTACCTATGAAAGTTATCTTTGACCTAAAAATAGCCTATGGAAATGTTGAAATTTCGTAACACTGCAGGATAGGCCAATCAATTCAACACATTTTTAGCTCACCTGGCCCTAAGGGATCATAGATTTATTCTTATGAGGAAGCTCCGAGTATGCTCGGAGGATGCTCGGAGCTTTTTTAGTAGGCTCTTCTCAGTAGTTTATGTGACAATAACTATCATGATCCATTAAGATGTCAATCAAATCTATAGGGCTTCTATAATAAGGAAGGTAGAGCATTATAGAGGAAGCTCAATTAACACCTGTGAAAACATCTGGTCTATTCAAATAAATCTTGAATGAAATTTTACAAAACTATAAAATAGATATCAAGAAATTCTTCAATAGTACTGTACAATGCTTGGCTAGAAATATCAAGTCTTCACAGAAAGATAATGTTTTTAAAATATTTTCTTATTTATAATCATTCTTTTTCAATACAAAAAAAAAATACTCAAATTTTATATTTAAAATATAAATATAGCTTAATTAAATCTATACTACATAAAATTAAACATAAAAGTCACCAAAGACAAAAACTATGGTAGTTGATTTATAATCATTTGTTAAACTTTATATGCAATAGCAAACTTTAGTTCTTTAATAGAAAATGATGGCTACTTTGGGAAAAAGTTGTAATTCATAGGCTGGGTTGAAAGACTGTACACAATATAATAATTATGATAAATTAATTTTAGTTCAGCAATCCTCTATATCTATTTCTTGTATAAATTTTTTGATTTTATTTTTATGATAATTAAATGGATTCAGTGGACCAAAAACTTTACAACAAAAAATTATACTTTGTTCTGAAATCCCTTTTGTCTTTTATTTTAAATTCTAGTTCTTCATTACATTGATTTGTATAAAAAATGTCAACTTATTTTTTCAAGTATCTCTTTTAAGCTTAATCAAAATGCAGAAAGTCATAATTACATTTGTTATCCCTGAATGATAATTGCAAGATTTCCATTTCATATAAACCTCATTTTTCTATTTATATATGTGAACAGAAGAGCAAATCATCATCAAATTGAGAAGTCATTTACACAATCTATTTTGCTGTCTGCTTAAAATTTAGAATTTTGATTCATTACCCTAATGCTTTAAGTCAATTGAATACCAGTTTAAAACATACTGTTATTTTATACTATGTATTATAACTGCAGTTAAAAATTCTTGTAATAATTTATTTCAAGTTAGGAAAATGGAATTAAGAAGTTTTAGTGTTTGAGGCCTAGAGAACAGGCAATTTTCTTGAATAATTTGCAGACTTGACTTATATATTCTAAGGTCCCTCACTTACAAATATTTAAAGATGTATAGTAATTATAGTTCAATTGGTTTGCTTAAAAGCATTTTTGATTCAGCATACGACTCTCATTACTGTAGGAACATGACAATAGGTGGTCATGACTATACCACTTTAGTTTAGGGGTTAAATTATTATTTATCTACCATATATAAGATAATCTAATATCATCAGTTTCTATCTTATTTTTTTATAACTGTATTTAAAATTGAAATCAATTATTATTGTTGAAGATGTTTTTTATTTAACAGCATACAGCATTTTAATATTAACAAAATATTTAATATGGAGCATAAAAGAGGATGCTCTAAGATAATTATCCCTACTGAAACTGTAAAATGGGTTATTCCCTCAAACTATAATGTTTATATAATGTATCATGCTGTGATATAAACCTTTGATAATAATGTTTTGCGACTACACATATTTCTAAACAGTATTATTGGACAGATTGCAGAGTAACTCGTATCAATATTTACTTTTAAATTGTGTGATCATATTTTACTTGTATAAATTAAATATTAAATAACATAAAACAAGCAAAAAATAATTAATTCAACTCCTAACAACTGCCACAATGTCCTATACTAATGAACATAATTATGCCTGAAATTCTTACTAACTTTGATTTATGTTGTTTTTTTTTTTACAATTATACTCATGAAGCTAAAAAGAAAAAAAATAACTAGTTTGAATCTTATAGAAAATTTTTTTAGTATATATATTTATATTTTTAGGATCTGTTTTATATTGATAGTATGTACTGATAAAGGCCTATACATGTATATAAAATGACTTTCTACATACAGGCGTTAACTGAGCTTCCTCTACATTGCTTTACTTTCCTTTTGATAGAAGTTGTTTATATATATTAAAAAGTCATTCGAGAAAAGGAAATAGAAGATTGCTGAACTAAAATCCATTTATTTTACTCTGTTATATTGTCAAAATTCTTTCAGGTGTAATACCACCAAAATATAGTACATTCAGTTTCAAGCCAAAAATGGTTGATTTTTTTTTATATTCCATTTAATTTGACAGTTGTTGGAAATTTACCCTGCATTTCATTGCAGAAAGTTTTTTTTTTGGGTCGTTAACATGAATCTTGGGTGTTTCAAAGCAATAAAAAATTCTATTGGTGTTGCTATAAAATATTTTGGAAATTTAAGGGGACATTGCTACTAAAGCTGGTAAACAGCAAAAAAAAGGGGGAGAGGAATTTGACTGGTTAACTTCTGGTGACGTTTAATATCTTATCTGCAATGAAAAGTTATGTTGTATTTTCACTGTAGTAATGGACAGGATAAAACTTCACTCATGTAGAGTATTTCTTTATTTAAAACATAGATAAATTCATCACATTTAAAAAAAAAAAGGCAAATTAAACAAAGACTTATGGGGAAAAACAATTTCATGTTAAATTTTCCCTGTAGTAATGGACAGAATAAAATTTTACTCATGCCAAATATCTCTTTATTTAAAACAAAGATAAATTCTACACAATTAAAAAAAAAAGTCAATTAAACAGAGACGTACTAGGGGAAAAACAATGGTGATATTACCCCCTATAACCAGCCTTCCAATAATGAATTACAACTTATCCTAAAGTAGCGATAATTTTCTATAAAAGAACTAAGTTTGCTATTTTATATATAAAAAAAAAAAACATATTACCATTGTTTAGTTAGGGGCATTACTTAAACAATTATTTTTCAAAATTACCTATGCAATTTATGTTGAAAACGATGCTATATCATATATTACTTCTATTTCATGTATAAGTAACTTATTTTAATATTATTTTTATATGTGCCCATTCATTCAGGTTTTAATAGCTTTAACAAATTTTCACAGACATCTGGTTATTTTTTCCCATGAAAACTATAACTATAAAACTAATCCTCCTGAAACACTAATTGCCTTTCTGAGCCACGATTCTGGGTCAAAGATTGTCCTCTTGGGACTATTAAAATACCATTTCCTTTAAAATCTTAATGGTAGACAGATATAAATAGATGGAACCTTGTGATTTAATTAAGACTTGAAGTTATTAATAATGTGTAATCTAAAACAATAACATATGTTCCATAAATAATTATAAGTACTAAGTTTTTCAAAGATGTATAAAATAATTTATAAAAATTAAAATTATAGAAAAAAAAAAAAAAAATTACTGGAGCATTCCTTAAAGTGTTGTTGTTACTGGACCTTCTACATAATTTATAAAAGTAATAATTTTGTCCTTATTTTTAAAGTAACCTTTTATCTCTATACTCATCTCACATTTGATAAATACTTAATGTTATTTAATAAAATCTTATAAAAATTCTGAAAAATTACATTTAGTCCATGCTTCTATTGACATTTAAAATAACTATTGAGTTATTAAATAATTTTTAAAAACAAAAAAAATTTAACTTGTTTAGTATCGCCCCCTGACTGTTGTTTGTGTCTTGATGACTTTTATGTAGCATATTATATAGTTTAAACTATATCTAAATTATATAATCTGATTATAAAATTTAATAATTTTTTTATTATTAAAAAAGAATGGTTATTCAATATAATAAGAAAATATTTTAATGACTTTTACTTTTTGTGGAGACTTGCCATTTCTTTTCAAGCATTTCACAGTACTGTTGAAGAATTTCTAATCTATTTTATAGTTTTGTAAATTTCATGCAAAATGTATTTGAATATACCAGATGTTTACACAGGTGTTAATTGAGCTTCCTCTATAATGCTTTACTTTCCTTATTATAGAAGTGCTATAGATTTGATTGACATCTTAATGGATCATGATAATTATTGTCACATAAACTGCTGAGAAGAGCCTACTTAAAAAGCTCCGAGCATCCTCCGAGCATGCTCGGAGCTTCCTCGTAAGAATACATCTATGATCCCTAAGGGCCAAGTGAGCTTTTCTCATCACTTGGCGTCCGTCGTCGTCGTTGGCTTTTACAAAAATCTTCTCCTCTGAAACCACTGGGCCAAATTTAACCAAACTTTGCCACAATCATCATTAGGGTATCTAGTTTAAAAAAAATGTGTCCGATGACCCCGCCAACCAACCAAGATGACCACCATGGCTAAAAAAAGAACATAGGGGTAAAATGTAGATTTTGGCTTATATCTCTGAAACCAAAGCATTTAGAGTAAATCTGACATAGGGTAAAACTGATTATCAGGTCAAGATCTATCTGCCCTGAAATTTTCAGACAAATCTGACATTCTGTTGTTGGGTTGCTGCCCCTGAATTTTGTAATTTTAAGGAAATTTTGCAGTTTTTGGTTATTATCTTGAATATTATTATAGATAGAGATAAACTGTAAACAGCAATAATGTTCAGCAAAGTAAGATCTACAAATAAGTCGCCATGACCAAAATTGTCAGTTGACCCCTTTAGGAGTTATTGCCCTTTATCGTCAATTTTTAACAATTTTTCGTAAATTTTTGTAATCTTACAAAAATCTTCTTCTCTGAAACTACTGAGACAAATTTAATCATACCTGGCCATAATCATTATTAGGGTATCTTGTTTAAAAATTTGTCCGATGACCCCGCCTTCCAACCATCATGGCCGACATGGTTAAAATAGAACATAGGGGTCAAATGCAGTTTTTGGTTTATATCTCTGAAACTCAAGCATTTAGAGCACATCTGTTCATCAGATTTAGAGTTATCTGCCCTGAAATTTTCAGACGAATCTGACAACCCATTGTTGGGTTGGTGCCCCTGAGTTAGTAATTTTACAGAAATTTTGCAGTTTTTTGTTATTATCTTAGATATCATTATAATATCTAATATCTAATACTATTAATTATGATTTTAACCTTATTTTACATGATTTCCAAAGCATCAGTAAATACAGGTGAGTGACACAGGCTCTTGAGAGCCTCTAGTTTGTATCACTTATTCATATCACATACTGTTAGTATCTCTTCAAATGAGAAATAGATAACAGGCCACAACCTTAAGAGAAACCAGGATATACCACCTAGTGTAACATTACTTGTATGTTTTATAATGGATGTATATTACTTTATAATAAGATTTTCACAGTGTTTTAACTTATGTGATGATTGTGAGAATGCTCCCTGTTTTATTAAAGTAATGGTTCATTAAATTGCACATGTTTTAGAACCTGATTGTAGTTAAATGGTCAACAAATGTGTCACTTTTTCATATCAAGAGGTGTTTGACTTGTTAATTCAGTTAAATCATAATTGATTATACAGATTCTTCTTTCAAATTCCGACAGTTAAATCGCATTTGACTATACAAAATTTTCTGTTAAATTCAGTTCAATCACAATTGGCTATGCAGATTCATCTATAAAATTTAAGAAATCACAATTGACTATATAGATTCTTCTGTTAAATTCATTTCAATCACAATTGGCTATACAGATTCATCTGTTGAATTTAGTTAAATCACAATTGACTATACAGATTCTTCTGTTAAATTCAGTTAAATTGCAATTGACTATACTGATTCTTCTAATAAAGTCAGTTTAATCATATTTGACTATATAGAATTCTCTGTTAAATTCAGTTAAATCACTATTGTCTATACAGATTCTGCAGTTAGTTTCAGTTAAATCACAATTTACTATACAAATTCGGCAGTTAAATTCAATTAAATTGCAATTGACTATACTGATTCTTCACTTAATTTAGTTAAATCACAATTGACTATACAGATTCGTTGGTCAAATTCAGTTAAATCACAATTGACTATACAGATTTGTTGGTCAAATTCAGTTAAATCACAATTGACTATACAGATTCTTCTATGACATTCAGTAACATCTCCATAGACTTGCAAGCTTTGTATTTACATTTTGCCTGGGTTATCACAGCAACTTTTCTGAAAAAAGAAAAAAGAACTGATATTACCAAGAATGTAAGAGAGAATATCAGGGACATGATCAGGGCTTCCAAAAAATTTTTGAGCCAGCCGGAACATTTCATATCTTATCCCGATTTTAAATCCCTTTAGACTTAGTAAATTAGGCAATTATGATAATCAGTTGGCCATCATATAACCAATGATTGACATTAAAACTATATTAAACTTGACTTTGATATTAATTCGATGTTCTGACGTAAAGTGTTAAATGTAAAGTGTTAAATTGAAAGTCCAGCATTCGAAGTGTGCAACATCGGCGTACTAATTATGCCTTATTCCGCTTAAACTCTTTATTTGTGCAAAATAACGTTGTCAAAAACTTTACTTTCGTTTTTAAAATCACATTTTCCTAATGCCGGATGTTGACTTGACAATGGTAATTCACGGATCAGAGACGGATACGTAATATCCGTGTACGTTTACGATTGAGGTAAGTAGCCTTTTCAAGTTATTTCTTCAAGAAAATACTCGAAATGAACGTTAGGTATTAATGATAATTTTAGCATTATTGAAGAATTAGGATGCATAATCAAATTTCCCACCAGCGCACAATAGACACATGCGCACACGTGTACTAGTTCAAACAACGTGGTTCTGACTATTATTCGTTTAAAACCTTTTCAAATTTTTCATCAAATCATAATTATTAACGTATTTCTTATAATATCAATCTTTTAGACTAAATTAATTAGATGCAACCCGCTGAAATGTAAGAAAATAACTTTGAAAACCCTTTAGCGTACCCCAATATTTAACACGATGTACAGTGTTTTTAAATATAATAATGAATATCATACAAATTCGAATTCATTTATAAATATTCTTATTTGAAGAATTATTTTAAAATCTAAGGATACTTTTTTAAAACTGAATGTTCATTTACAATAATATCTACAAAGCGTAATTAAATAGGATGTTGTTCCATACACGCTTACATGTTTGACCTCGTTTACCTGATCACCTTTATGTCCATTGTTATGCATCATCAATTCTATTGATTAAGACAAGCTAAGGTCCCTCATCAAAGGTTATACCTGTAATCAGTGAATGATTTATGGCTTCACTGTTACTTATTGAAGGGATAGTTGGTAAAAAAAGTGAAATGATCGTTTTATGAAAATGCCTTGAATAACAAAAAGTGGCAAACCTATGATATTTGACCGTCTGAGGCTGAGAGCAGCCGGACTTTTTATATAAATTTCGGTCAAGTCCGGAATATATGACCGTTTTGGAAGCCATGGACATGATATGCATTCCTCTTAACAAATGAAAATTGAAGCACATTGACAAAATGTAATATACTTGTATATCTCTTTTTACTCTGTCATATATAAAATAAAGTAGGTTTTTTTCTGAGATAAATGTCATAATTTTATAAGGAGTGAACAAAATGGAAACTTAAAGCAGAAAAAGAATGTAAAGGTATATTCCAATGTAAAATGAAGGTCATGTTAAGATGGTTATATCTGTAAAATCTGAAAAGTTTTATGTGCACAGAACAAATTCTTGTTTGTTATATTAAAACAGCTCATCTTTCAAAGCTGCCACTATCTTTTATGAATAAGAAGTTTGTGTGTGTATAGTTTTTTGTTGAGCCTGCGACTTTTGTCGCAGAAAGCTCGACATAGGGATAGTGATCAGGCGGCGGCGGCGTTAGCTAACTTCTTAAAAGCTTTATATTTTAGAAGGTGGAAGGCCTGGATGCCTCATGTTACGAAGTTTCCGTCAGTCACATGTCCAAAGTCCTTGACCTCATTTTTATGGTTCAGTGACTACTTGAAAAAAAGGTTAACATTTTTTGTAATGTTAAATTCTATATTTGGTATGTGCTTACCTTGCAAGGTCCTCATGCCCGTCAGACAGTTTTCACTTGACCTCCACCTCTTTTCATGGATCAGTGAACAAGGTTGAGTTTTGGTGGTCAAGTCCATATCTCAGATACTATAAGCAATAGGTCAAGTATATTCGGTGTATGGAAGGACTGTAAGGTGTACATGTCCAACTGGCAGGTGTCATCTGACCTTGACCTCATTTTCATGGTTCAGTGGTTATAGTTAAGTTTTTGTGTTTTGGTCTGTTTTTCTTATACTGTATGCAATAGGTCTACTATATTTGGTGTATGGAATGATTGTAAGGTGTACATGTCTAGCTGGCAGGTGTCATTTGACCTTGACCTCATTTTCATGGTTCAGTGGTCAAAGTTAAGATTTAAGTTTTGGTCTTTTTTTCTAATACTATATGCAATAGGTCAACTATATTTGATGCATGGAAATATTTTATGATCTATCTGCAGTCGCGCAGGTTTTATTTGACCTTGACCTCATTTTCATGGTTCAGTGGTTATAGTTAAGTTTTTAAGTTTTGGTCTGTTTTTCTTAAACTATAAGCAATAGGTCAACTATATTTGTTGTATGGAAGAATTGTTAGCTGTACATGCCTGCCTGGCATGGTTCATCTGACCTTGACCTCATTTTCATGGTTCATTGGTCAATGTTTAGTTTTCTTTGTTAATGTTAAGTTCATGTGACAGTTGTAATAAAGCTTTATATTTAGGACTATCAACATAATATCAGTGATTAGTAAAGAAGGCGAGACATTTCAGCGTGTGCACTCTTGTGCTATATTTGTGGTACTTATTTTACTGCAAAATTTATCAAATGTGAACATTTGACTGTTCTTTTAAGAGCATTGTACAAGGCCATAAAACACAAATAATGAACACATCAAAGATTTAACTGTACCTTCTAAGGCCCAAACTGAACAAAACCTGACAAGAAAATAATTGGACATACATGTACTGTAATTTGTACAAGGCCTACCCTGTTAGTTGCCAAGCATTCAGTGTGATATATCCATGTTTCTGTCTGTGACCACTTGATGTTGGTATGCAGGAGTTGTCTTCCCTGATTGTCAGTAAAATTAAATGTCCATGCGATGTTTGTTTTGGTGTAGGTATTGTCATGGTTACGAGATGGTTGAAGTCAGTATCTTTATTAGCCTTTAAGAATACAATAGGTCCAACAGACAAGAGGTTAGCAATGATTGTATTGTCTTCACGAAGGTTACTCAACATTTCCCTCTCGACCTTGATTATCTGTAAAAAATATACAGGTTTGAAATGTTAAATAGACATGCAATGATTTTTATTAACTGAATTTTCAAGAGGAAAAATCGAGTTATTATTTTGGTTGAGTATGATTGTTGGGCTTGAGACTGTCTACAGTTTCCATGCAATAACTTATGAACCACTCAACCAATGCTTTTCAAATTTTAATATGTTGATACTAATGACAAAATGGAGGTCAAGCTTGAAATTGACCATTTTCACATTTACGGTTCAGGAATTATGGTCCTTGATATATTGGAAAATGGCACTTTATGTCGTTTCTGATGGTTTTCATTACATATGTTTGTTACTGATGACAAAATGGAGGTCAAGTTCAATATTGATAATTCTCTCTTTTATAGTACAGGAGTTGTTGTTCTTGATAGATTGTGTCATTTCTGTGCACTTATGAGCTCTTCAACGAATGCACTTAAAACTTTAATATGCTGTTACTGATGACAAAATGGTGGTCAAGTTTGATATTGACTATTTTCTTTTTATGCCGTTCAGGCCTTATGGTCTTTGATAGATTGGAAAATAGACATAGAAAGTGGCAGGTCAAAAAGCCTTAAAAAATACAGAAAATCCAATTTGTCATTGACTTGTGAGGCAGAATTTCCCTTTGATATTGTCTGCCTCTCAATTGCAGTTTTTTAGGAGAGTTAAATACCTTTAGACTAGCATGTAATGTTCCACTAATTGACCTTGGAGGTATGGATACAGACATGTTAGGTTCAACAGCTGATATGAAGTTGCCACCAGCCTCAGTGACAGAGAAACTCTCAGTTCGGGAGAGAACAATACCCATTACACTTTGACTGGTTCTGTTCTCATTAAGGTCCCAGATACTGCTAGTTACTGTCCTGTAATAAAAAGGTAGTTACATGTTAGTGTGGTGGGCCTCTGTGAGAGAACAATACCCATTACACTGTGGCTGGTTCATGTTCTCATAAGGGACTCAGATACTGCTAGTTACTGTCCTGTAATAAAAAGGTAGTTACATGTTAGTGTGGTGGGCCTCAGTGAGAGAACAATACCCATTACACTGTGACTGGTTCATGTTCTCATTAAGGTCCCAGATACTGCTAGTTACTGTCCTGTAATAAAAAGGTAGTTACATGTTAGTGTGGTGGGCCTCTGTGAGAGAACAATACCCATTACACTGTGACTGGTTCATGTTCTCATAAGGGTCCCAGATACTGCTAGTTACTGTCCTGTAATAGAAAGGTAGTAACATATTAGTGTGGTGGGCCTCAGTGACAGATAAACTCTCAGCTTGTGAGATAGAGAACAATACCCATTACATTGCTCTGGTTCTGTTCTCATTAAGGTCTCAGATATTACTGTTACTGTCCTGAAATTAAAAGGTAGCAGATTCTGGGCCTCAGGTACAGACTTTAATTATTTAAGGATGTATTTACCAGTTTTACTGTCCTTCCCTTATAAATATACCTTAAAACAGAGCTTTTCTGAGAAGTTAAAAAATATTGCATCTTTATCTATTTTGCTATCTTAAAGTTTGATATGACAGAGAGTGATTCTCTTTCCCGTAAGGTAAACTTGACTATGCGGTATGGGTTTTTACTCATTGTTGAAGGCCGTACGGTGACCTATAATTGTTAATTTCTGTGTTATTTGGTCTCTTGTGGAGAGTTTTCTCATTGGCAATCATACCACATCTTATTTTTATAGATATCACTGACCTGCCTGATAGAGAGATATTAGACGGGTCTCTGAAATCTTGATTTAGGAAGGTCTCTAACTGGTTTAATATTCCAAACAGGTCATCTTCTGTTTTGGAGGTAACAATACTGTGTCCAGCATCACTTTTATTACCTCGGATAAAATGGTTCTGTAAGGTCAAGGAAGAACAGTCATCAGAAAAGTCGTCAGATTGTCGTCTAATTATAACTGATCCGTAATTGTTATCCAGTAATTTCCTCGAGAATCCATTCTGCAACAGTTCATCTAGGTCATGTGATTCAGAAAACGTTGATTTCTGAGAATGTTTTGGTGTTGAACCAATCATAGATAACTGTTTAATTGTTTGTAATCTTGAACTTGAGAATTTTTGCTTGTTAGCACTTTTTGATTTACGGAAATGAGTATGTTCAGGATTATCTTTGTTATTTAGTTTGACTTGATGGCTTATATTATTGCCAATTAGATTGAAGTAGTCCAGCTTTTTCATCTTGTCAATGATAGTTGGAAAACAGGAGAGAACATTGTCACCTAGATCTAAATATTTCAGCTTCTTTAGTTGTACAATGTCCTTAGAAACACTGGTGATTTTGTTATTATTCAGATTCAATGTTTCTAGTCTAGCAATGTTGTAAACTCCCAGTGGCATACTTTCTAGATTGTTCTTTTTCAGATTTAAGTATTTCAGTCTTCGACTGTTGACAACAGCCAATGTTGTAAGTTGATTGGATGCTATATTTAGATATTGCATCTGCACAAACCCGTCTGGGAAAGATGTGATGTGATTCCCCTGAATATGTAAAACCTGGAGTCCTTGTAAACAGGTCAGGTGATGTGACACATGTTTTAACTGGTTCCCTGCTAAATTCAGATATCTCAGTTCACTCAGACTATAAATAGCTGTTGGAATACTTTCAAAATGATTGTAGGATAAATTGAGTTCCCTGAGATTTGTAAGAGCTTCAAAATCAGGTGCAAGGCTTTGTAAATTGTTTCCACGGAAATTGAGAACTTTGAGCGAATGTAGTTTACAGACTGGAATCGGCACCTGATCAAACCGATTATTTGCCAAATTTAAATATTTGAGCTTTCGTAATACTTGAATTGTAAAAGGAAGATAACACAGATTATTGCTATGGAGATCAAGATCTTTTAATATGGTCATGTGACCAATGTCATGTGGTAAAGTTTCAAATTGATTTTGACCTAGTTTGAGTGTCTGTAAGACACGTAAGGACCCCAAATTTTGTGGAAGACTTGTTAATTTGTTATGTGTTAAATCCAACATTATCAGATGTGTCAGATTTGTGATGGTCTCAGGCAGATGTGTTAACAGGTTATTTGCTACCAGAAGAAACTTCAGTGTTCGAATCCGTGCAAGGGAGCTTGGCAAGTCATCTAATGCATTGTGGGATAGATTGAGTACCTCAAGTCTTGTGAACTGAGATACCTCCTGTGGTACAACTGTTAAAAGCTGCTTGCTCAGGTTTAATTCTGTATAACCTTGAGGATTTCTGAACACGGAGTAAATTGGATGGTTGATATGAGAACGTGTGGCTGATCTAGATTTAGAACGTAACTGATTTTCATTGGATTGTCTCCCCCTTCTCCTGGTCCATGAATCATATCCTGAGCTGACAACAGACATCTTATTTTGTTTAATCTGTAATATAAGCATTGTTTGGATTATATGACAAAAAGCTATACATAGATTTAGTTATAAGCCCAAAATATGTATCTGTTTATGTGTGAAACCTCTCCTGTCCTGACACCAAAAAAATTGTCAGCATGGTCAGTAGATTGGATTTCTTTTGTTTTTTACTTTATAATTCATATTTTTTTTCTAATTTAATCTGGTTTAACACTACACAACTAGTAATTTGATCATTTGCACCACAACTTTTGTAATTTTTTTCTCCATATTTATATAACTAAGTTGACATGTCTGTCATATTTGTTTTTTTTTTTGTAAATTGTATTGTGTAAACTAGGCAACTAGTTCTCTCCTTTCAATTGTTTCACAGTTTTTGTGTTGGGGTCCTTTTTGTAGTTGACTACTCAGCATGGGATTTTCTCATTGTTGAAGGCCGTAAGGTGAGATTTTATTCTTTTATATTTGTCATTTGAACTTCTACGGATAGTTGTCTTATTGGAAATAATAATACCACATCTCCTCAATTTAATGGAAATAGAATTCATTGTTTACTTGAATATTTTTTTAAATTTTTTTTTGGCAAGGAAATAAATGTTTTAGGGGGCAGTAGAGCATAAGGCTAATCATGAGCCAGGAAACACCTATTATAAATAGGTGTTTCCTGGCTCATAATTTTTGGCAAACTGTCAAAATTTTAAAAATTGTGAGATGTTTATGCATATTTTTGTAAATTGCAAATAAGTGTGAATCAGGTTATTTCAGTGTGATTTCACAGAAAGTTTGAAAGCTTGAAAGATTTTGTAAATAAAACTAAATGATCCTTGCACTGTATAGAAAAAGAAAAGTATCTTGATTTCACTGTGAAGTTTGATCATGAACTACATTTATTTATATTATTGCTAATGAAAAGAACTATATACTTTTATGTTAGATATTTAGAGATATTTCACTTACTTTTCCAGAATAAAGAGGGTTGCTGCCTGTAGCATGATACATTATACCTACAATTTATAGCTTAATTTTGAATTTTAAATTTATTGATGATACCTAATGGTCTTGAAAAAATATAATGATCCTTGATCTAGGATGTCAAATATTTTCTCATGACAAAACTTTACTAGATACTTTATCCTCTGTAGGTGTCAGACCACCAATTCTAAATCCCTATCTATTCAACCAATTTTTTTCAATTTCCACAGCTTTCTAAAAATATTTTACCTTAAGTTTAACTTCATAGAAACCAGGCATATCCTGAATTGTACATGTATCACCTTTCTACATGCCAATTTTCAACACATGTTTAAAGTCTTGTAATAAAGAATGACCATTTGGAATCCAATTGCTACTCAAAATAACCTTAAATCTTAAATTAGTTTACTATGGAGGGCATTAATCAATTTTTAATGCAAACTCATAGACAAGTAAATTTTGGCTCAAAATAATCTAGATATATTTCTTTTTCACCAAAAGTTTCATTTCTGCAAATTTGTTGGTTAGTTTAAGTAAACAATGACATCAAAAGCACTATTTTTTTGTCAGTGAAGGGCTACTTTTACATATGTTCTAAATTGGAGGGAGTGAATTGGTGGTCTGACACTTGTAATCACATTAATGGTACCAATTTTTCCTCACCAAATGTGAATTCCGAGATGCTGGAAGTAAAAATATTTGAAAATCCAAAACTTATAGAAAAAAATGACAAAAAGTATAGCCAAAGCCAGGCAAGATCTCAGCTTTGAGATACATTCCTTAGAGTAAATAATTTCCCAAATTTTAATAACACAATTATTCATTTTTTCATGCCAGACGAAATAATTACGGTTGACATACTTTGGTAGGCCTGCTACGAATGATTCTGACTACAAAGGCAGGCTTGTTATACACCATTGTGTAGATAAATCAATTTAGATTTACGGCATAAGTTTTAGTGAGGTTGACAACCGAGAAATCGAAATATAACGGAATTTCGTGACCTGGTGACATTTTTCAAAAATGCGAGTTAAGTACCTTGTGTTATATTAAGGTATAAAGGAAATTTTTTTTTCTGAGACAAGTGCCTGTGATCTCATGGGTACAATTAAACTACTATTTTAACAGGTTTAAAAAGAAGTATTAATTTTCTTTAAGTTGTAAGCTAAATTTGACAAAACTGTTTTTCTTAATCCATGAAAATCAGTACACAACAAAATAAATGAATCCACAGTATTATAAATATGAAATATAAAGAAAATCTCGTATGTGAATTATACTTAATTTTGTATTTAATCTTACCTTCTTTTATAGTGAGAATTTCTCAGGTTGATTGAACATGTTGTAGTCACATTCCTAGTTGTATAAGAAACTTTGTAAACGAATGTTTATAATCAAATAATTCTGTGAGTTGGGTTGCCCTACGTAACCCATCCTGTGTTTCCATCACATATAAAAATCATCTCTATTTTTACCACAAACACAAGTAGATTTATTAACAATATAGATGGTATTTTTCTATTTTTATTGAATAATAAATGACTAAAAACACCTTTTCAAGACTATAATTGGTTTACCTGTACATGTATAATCATCAGGGAGTTGATTAATCAATAAACTTAACGTGATTAAAACAATACAAACACTGAATTATTAATGATGAAGTGTTAAAGGAATACACGGCTGAGTTATTGATCAATCTTTATATTAAATATTTCCTTTCATTTATTTCTTATCAAGTGTGACTTAGGTGTTTCACCATAGGCCTCTTTTGCAGTTTTAGGAAAAGATAGCTATTAAGCTATCTGATGACTATTTCGTTGGCCAGATGTTATTTTCTACTTCCCTAAACTCTCATGTCAACCATTTTGTCCTTTACAATAACGAAAACTCATATTATATAACACTCTGTTGAAGTTGTTAAAAAAATCTGTCTGAATTGCAGTGTGCATCTTTTCTGTTTGAAGAAATTTAAGAAAACTACTGTGCATAAGATAGAAACCTAGCAACACAAAAAAAACAAAACAGAAATAAGAAATCTGGTCAATCTAGAGCTTGATGTATAATATATACACATGTCTTTGATGGGAATCCATATGTTAACACCTAGAGGATTTAGAATTTTTATATGCCTGGTTACGGGACTTATTATGGTATACTGTTGTCCCTCCGTCATCAATATGACGAACAATAACCCAAAAAGGCTTTAACCAATTTGCATGAAACTTAAGTGACTGGTTTATATCTATTAAAATAACCTCCCTTTAGTTTTTTATGAATTTCTGATATGACATTGAGGAGTTATAGAACTTTATTCTTTGAAAAAACAACAGGCATATCATGAGCTCATGGCACAGCTCTTTATTAGCAATGCTTGGTTCCTGTCTGTTTTATATTTCATATCACCTGTTAATCATGTCTGTAGGGTAGGAATATTAATATATGTGGCGTAATTTTTTGGTATTTATGAAGAATATACTTTTTAAAGCCAGACACATTGGATGGACACCAGTCTGTCTGATGTCATAGACCTTATATTGACCTCTAGATGTCTTTTGGTAGCTTGTTTCTTTGGGTTGCTGTCTCATTGAAGTCAGATTGACAGCATTAATTCATAAAAAATCTTTGTCTGAGAAACAAATAATACAAGATCCAAAATACTAGCATAACATGATTTATCAATCCTAAATCAGTTTCAAAGGCATTTTATCCGAACAAAGGTGATGTAACAGTAAAAATTTTCTTTAGATGCAGGGAATTAGTCACAAATGGCAGCATTATTCAAATGCAGATGTTTTTATAGTTCAACATTTTTTTTTAGATGTAGTGAAACAGTTGAAAATTGCAGCATTATCAGACATCAAAATTAATTCTTTGTGTTTCAGATGCAAAGAAACAGTCACAAATGGCAGCTTTATCAAAACACAGAGATGAACTACAGACTGTGATCAGAACATACAAATCTTTATTTGAAACAACAGAACAGCTTATCAAGGAACTCAAAAGTAGGAGTTATACATAGATGCCAACCATTACGATTTTCCCGTAATTGTTACTAATTTTAGAACAAAATTAAGGTGTTACCATTTACAGTCTATTTGTTATGGATTTACGCTCATTACCTGTCTAGACAGTTCTCCGTTTATAAAACGTTTTTGATAATTGTGACTCTTAATTTTGATAAGAATCTTGTTACAGTAAGCACTTGAATGGTTCCGACTTATTTTCTTTTGGGTTTCTCGGGACTACCCTCACCCCAAGGGTGACTGAGGAATAGAAATATGGTCACCACCAGTCTTCCCTCCGGCAGGCAGTAGAACCCTCGTCAAAGTTGGGTGTTCGTTTGGCTATGCCGGATGTATTAAGTACGCAGCTATGTTCAGTCAGAATGAGGACGTTAAATCCGTGTAGAGAGAGTACCAGGCTCTTTGCACGTTAAGAACCCTTGCAACAACTTGTTTTCAATGTACAATGTCTGGTGGAACAACTTTTAATTTCTGAAGCAAAGAAAGAAAAATAGAAATCCGGACCATTATTGCCTTTTGCATATATCATGAAAAATATTTCCATTTAGTGCGATGGTCAGTGTTCCTCATTTGCTCATCAACTTTGAACCGTAGTTCTGATAAATAAAGGAAATGACCTTGTCAATGAGTGCCACCAAAAAAGGTGACTGAGGAATAGAAATATGGTCACTACAGGTTTTCTTCCAATTGGCAGTAATACTCTTGCCAAAGTCGGGCGTCCGCTTGGCTGTGGTGGATGTACAAGTTGCAGCTACGTCCGGTCGGAATGGGGACGTTAATTCATATGTGTCTTGAAGAAAGAGTGCTACACACTTTTTACGTTAAGAACCGTCGAAACAGCTCTTTTATAGGTCTGTAGGTGGCCTGTTGTAATGCTAAATGTCTGTCCCATATCCAATATACCCTCATTTTCAAGTGTAAATTTTCCCGACCCTCATCCCGGACGAACTCTAAGGACCTACCTTTTGTATTTATTGTTAATTTGTTCTCTTTCTGAACATGCATGAAATATTTGCCACTGGACATTAAGCAACCAATATTCAATCAATCATTTCACCAGTTGTTCATATGATTATTTTAAAATTTTATGTTAATATTACTGAAAAAAGACTAAAATTACAGAAATTATAATGCCTTTATACTGATTGCACCCAAAGGGGGTTTGGCATCTATGGTTATAGTGTATTTAATAGTTTAAAATTGTGAAAATAGAGTTAAATATGATGGATTGAAGATAAACATCCAAAATGGTAAATATCCAGCCATATTCAAATTGGAACATTCGATTGTATTTGACTGAAATGCCTGGCCATAATTGAAATGTACTCGCTCACATGTAAACTGTTTGCTAGGCGGTATTTAGTGAGAATTTTTACACTTTAATCATCGTAATGACATCCACTGGCTTAATAAAGGAATTTACCGTCAACATACATGTGATGGACTGTGAAACTCAGATCAAGAGATTGGGAAATTTTGGTCAGGAGATTAGGACTCAGATCAGGAGGTTTTTTATCGACATAAATTTTGTTGTAAAAATGTAACCGTGTGATGTAGAAATTGTCTTTTAAAGTGTTTTTTTCTTCAACTTTCCATCCGAATATAATATGTTTGTAGTACCCTTGTACTATTAAATTTTCTTTAACTTTATTCAATCTAACATTCTGTTTTTCATACATTCTTTAATATCATTTTTTTTTCTTTTGTTTTGTCTTTATTCTATACAACAATCACGGCTGAAGGAACATTCTTTCTTACTAATAAACATGCATATGCTGTAAAAGTATATGGTAGCATTTAACTACCCTGATAAGCTACACAGCCCTGGAATGGTCGGTATATTCAATTGATGAAGGTCATACTTATTAAATAAATTTCAATTTAAGCCTTGAAAAGAAGTATAGAACCCTCAAATAATTTCCAAATTATTATTTTTAGCTCACCTGACCTGAAAGGTCAAGTGAGCTTTTCTCATCACTTTGCGTCCGTAGTCCGTCGTCCTGCGTCCGTCGTCCGTAAACTTTTACAAAAATCTTCTCCTCTGAAACTACTGGGTCAAATTTAACCAAACTTGGTCACAATCATCATTGGGGTATCTAGTTTAAAAAATGTGTCCGGTGATCCGGTCAACCAACCAAGATGGCAGCCATGGCTAAAAATAGAACATAGGGGTAAAATGTAGATTTTGGCTTATATCTCTGAAACCAAAGCATTTAGAGCAAATCTGACGTGGGGTAAAATTGTTTATCAGGTCAAGATCTATCTGCCCTGAAATTTTCAGATGAATCGGACAACCCGTTGTTGGGTTGCTGTCCCTGAATTGGTAATTTTAAGGAAATTTTGCCGTTTTTGGTTATTATCTTGAATATTATTATAGATAGAGATAAACTGTAAACAGCAATAATGTTCAGCAAAGTAAGATCTACAAATAAGTCAACTTGACCAAAATGGTCAGTTGACCCCTTAAGGAGTTATTGCCCTTTATAGTCAATTTTTAACCATTTTTTGTAAATTTTTGTAATCTTTTACAAAAATCTTCTCCTCTGAAACTACTTGGCCAAATTTAACCAAACTTGGTCACAATCATCATTGGAGTATCTAGTTTAAAAAATGTGTCCGGTGACCCGGCTTACCAACCAAGATGGCAGCCATGGCTAAAAATAGAACATAGGGGTAAAATGTAGATTTTGGCTTATATCTCTGAAACCAAAGCATTTAGAGCAAATCTGACGGGATAAAATTGTTCATGAGGTCAAGATCTATCTGCCCTGAAAATTTCAGATGAATCAGACAACCTGTTGTTGGGTTGCTGTCCCTGAATTGGTAATTTTAAGGAAATTTTGCCGTTTTTGGTTATTATCTTGAATATTATTATAGATAGAGATAAACTGTAGGCAGCAATAATGTTCAGCAAAGTAAGATCTACAAATAAGTCAACTTGACCAAAATGGTCAGTTGACCCCTTAAGGAGTTATTGCCCTTTATAGTCAATTTTTAACCATTTTTCGTAAATTTTTGTAATCTTTTACAAAAATCTTCTCCTCTGAAACTACGAAGACAAATTTAACCAAACTTGTCCACAATCATTATTGGGGTATCTAGTTTAAAAATTGTGTCCGATGACCCTGCCCGCAAACCAAGATGGCCGACATGGCTAAAAAATAGTACATAGGGTAAAATGCAGTTTTTGGCTCATATCTCTGAAACCAAAGCATTTAGAGCAAATCTGACGAGGATAAAATTGTTCATGAGGTCAAGATCTATCTGCCCTGAAAATTTCAGATAAATCGGACAACCTGTTGTTGGGTTGCTGTCCCTGAATTGGTAATTTTAAGGAAATTTTGCAGCTTTTAGTTATTATCTTGAATATTATTATAGATAGAGATAAACTGTAAACCGCAATAATGTACAGCAAAGTAAGATCTACAAATAAGTCAACATGATCAAAATTGTCAATTGTCCCCTTAAGGAGTTATTGCCCTTTATAGTCAATTTTTTACAATTTTCATAAAATTTGTAAATTTTGAAAATTTTTACATAATATTTTCCACTGTAACTACTGGGCCAAGTTCATTATAGATAGAGATAATAGTAAGGAGCAAGAATGTTCAGTGAAGTAAGATCTACAAACACATCACCATCACCGAAACACAATTTTGTCATGAATCCATCTGTGTCCTTTGTTTGATATGCACATAGACCAAGGTGAGCGACACAGGCTCTTTAGAGCCTCTAGTTTTTATTTGTCCTAAGACATTTAAAATTATTTTATTACCATCCTTTTATGATTATTTTGTTTGATTTATATTTGATTTATATTCTTTTAACAATTTACATTATTTAAAGGAAAATAACTTTAAACAGAATAAAACAAGGGAAGTAACCCAAAATTTATTTCATTTACTTTTGAATACACAGAGTTTTTATTACACAACGGCAGTTAGTCTGAGGTAAAAATCGTTGATAACCAGTATGTTTGACACCCAAGCTGGCAATTGAAGCCTTATAATTATACATGTTCTTTGATTTATAGGTAAAATTTAACTTCAGGTAATGTCAGTTACACCGGATATGGCGGATGAAAGTTTTCATTCATGAAATATTTCATGCACAGGATTTTTTTCTCTTCAACGGGAGGAGACCCCTGAAAACAGGATTATTGTACTCCCGTTGGGAAGTTCACATGTATGCGTCAATGTGAGGATTGTTTGCATGTAAAAGCAAGGGAAAGTTGGCTTTATAAGGGAGGGTTGGCTTCATAGATGCTTACAAAATAATTGACCTTAGATAATTTTCCGTGTCTTTAATTGTTAGGTTCTGTACATGAGGCACAGTTGGAGGAGAACAGATTAAAGGAAGATTTACGACGACAGAAAATACCCCTCGTACAGTTACAAAGTGTGAGTTTTAAAATGTACATTTATTCTTGATAATTGTAGTAAGCTTAAGTTTACCACAATCCCCAGTGGTTCAAATTTGCTTTAAATAATGAAAGGTCCAGGACCATTTAAAATTTTAAGTGAAGGGTCCTCAATAAGAAATCAGTGGTCATTTATCAAGCATTACTATCAGTGTAAAGAATGGTAGGTCCAAAACTTTTGTAATTTAAAACTGAAAAGTCCTCTCCTAGAAAAGACAGGTCCCAGACCTCGGACCCACACTAATTTGAACCCCTGAATCCCCCTCAGTATAAAAAAACTTTCACATTATCAAACTGCCATTACTATAAACATTCATTCATTAGATTCTTTTGAATTTTTAGGTTTTAATAAATGGTGACAATTGAAAAAAAAATTAAAAAAATATCCCTTGATTTGACTATCTTTAAAAGGGATAAACATACTTTTTAAAACAAAATGAGTGCTAATGACCTTGATTCCTAAAAAGCTTATTGTAGTATTACATATTTTATAGGTTGATAGTGTTGATAGGTTAATATCTGAGAGAACTAGACAAAGAGAAAATATAATGACAGCTCCAAGGAGGATATGTTCTCTGGTGACAGCTCCACAAGAACCACAAGTTCTGGGAAAGGTGAGCTTATAAAATAAATATGGTTCCAGTTCCACAAGAACAAGAAGTTCTAGGAAAGGTGAGCTTATAGAAACAATATGGTTCCAGCTCCCCAAGAACCACAAGTTCTCGGAAGGATGAGCTTATAAAATTAATATGGTTCCAGCTCCACAGGAACCACAAGTTCTTGGAAAGGTGAGCTTATAAAATTAATATGGTTCCAACTCCACAGGAACCACAAGTTCTTGGAAAGATGAGCTTATAGATACAATATGGTTCCAGCTCCACAAGATCCACAATTTCTAGGAAAGCTGATGTTATAAAATTAATATGGTCCAAGCTCTACAGGAACCACAATTTCTAGGAAAGCTGATGTTATAAAATTAATATGGTTCCAGCGCTGACAACAGAAACCACAAGATCTTGGAAAGTAAAGGCAAGGTTATAAAATTCATATCTTGCAATGGTAGCTGACACAGATGTAGCTCGTGTGTTCTAATAAATATATAAAAAAGAAGGTGTGGTATGATTGCCAATGAGACAACTCTTCACAAGAGACCAAATGACACAGAAATTAACAGGTATAGGTCACTGTACGGCCTTCAAATATGAGCAAAGCCCATACCGCATAGTTAGCTATAAAAGGCCCCAAAATCACAAATGTAAAACAATTCAAACGAGAAAACTAACAGCCTAATTAATATACAAAAAATGAACGAAAAACAAATATGTAACACAGCAACAAACGACAATCACTGAATTACTGGCTCCTGACTTGGGACATGTACATACATACAGAATGGGGGGGGGGGGGGGGTTATAACATGTTAACGGGATCCCAACCCTCCACCTAACCTGGGACAGTAGTGTAACAGACCAACATAAGAACGAATTATAAAAATCAGTTGTTTGTATATTTTTTAGATCAGACATTGTGCATTGGTAGTTGACACAGATATTGCTCGTGTGATGTCGTGTATATTTTTTTTTTTTTTTAGATCTGACATTTTGCATTGATAGCTGACACAGACATAGCTCCTGTGTTCATATGTATATTTTTTTTATGTTTTAGATCGGACATCTGGCATTGGTAGCTGACACAGACATAGCTCGTGTGATGTCGTGGCACATGTCTTCAGATATGGATTGTGTGGTCACCTTCACCACAGATAAGGTAACAATATAATTAGTTGTCGCCTACACAAAAACTTTAGTTGGACTTTTTTTTATATAAAATATTGAATAACAATATATTCAAGTATTTTTTATTTTTTTTTTTTTCAAGTGATGAAGCCAGTTGATAGGGTCTTCAACCTACAAGGTTTTATGGAAGAGTTCGCAGATTAAGTCTATGATGTCTTCTTACATATAGACCTTGCGATGGATCGTTGATGTTAAATGCTTCTTTCTGCACACTTGTTAAATGGTTTGGTGTATTAAAATGTTTCTTTAAGAATCAACACTGTCTAACTTCCAGTGCTTTTCTTTCATCACGGTTTTTCCCATGCACTTGCATTATATGTTTTAATGAAAGAACTTCTTGTTATGGTCACTGCATATGGAAAATCTATCAATGATTCAATATCAGTACATTTCTTAAGATTTCAATAAGATAAAGGATTTTCTTTGAAAAGAAAGTCTGTGTACACATGTTTTATAGTAAAACTTAGCCTTTCAAAAATATAAAACATATATTCAACACTTATTTCTAATTAAAGTATCATACAACTTAAATCCAGGTGTAATTGTTAATGATTAAACAGTTTGATTTAAAATCATTTCAGGCAAAAGAATTATACAGAAGAACAGATGGGAAACAACAGGTGCTTCCCCTGGATTCTATTTATAGAAAAACACTACCAGATTGGAATAAGTAAATATTTGACTTTCTATATTAAAGTATCATACTGAAAATTAAAATACAAAATATGGTAATGATTTGCTAAAATAAAGTATCCACAAAAATAAATTCATCCTCAGAAAATGCTATTTCACGTGAGATTCATGTGAATCTCAATTCAGGTAAATTTTCACATGAGTTTCAAGTATAAGCTTATAAGGTGAATCTTGTGTGAAATTTTTCACGTGAAGTTCATGTGAGATTCATGTGAAATTCACATGAGTAAATTTTGCCTGTGTATACAATGTTATGAAATTCCTTCAGATTTTCTCAGGGACAACAAATCAGACCTTCCTGAAATATGGTATCAGACTTCATGAGAGCATTTTTTGTTGTGTGGTGTGTTTCCACATTCATCAACTTCCTGTTAACTGAATACATGAACAATATTTGTACAGTGTAGGAAAACATCAAATTTATTAGACAAGCTTTAAAAACAGAGAAAATTGAGACTCGCTGAGCTTTTCTCCTGTTTCGTAGCAAGTACACCGGAATATTGTTTTTATCCTGTGATTTAACATTGAGCTTAAATGTATAGTTTTTTTTCAATCCCAATCGTTGAATTTGTTTTTGAATGAAATTGACATGACTTAAACGTGGACCGCAATTAGGATTGTGATGTAAACAGTAATTTGACATAAACGTTCGCTCGCAACAGAAGCAGCATACCAGGAGACTATAAACGTCTAGTTTACGTATATCGCTTCGTGTTATCTATACACCTGTATAAGTATAGTAGAAAGGTCGATTAAAGGATAAATATATATTATTACACATAATGGCCGTGTTTATAAATTTTTGTTTCAAGCTTCATGTGAGCATGCTGTACATTGTGATGGGTTTTCATATCAATTGCGCATCAACTTCCTGTTTTCAAAATACTTACACTTTGGTATTATTAATGATCAATAGGTCTTAAAAAAATAAGAAAATGTGATATGATTGTTGATGAGATATTTTACCACCAAATGACGTAGAAGTTTTCAGTTGTAGGTCACTGTTCAGCCTTCAACAATGAGCAATCCCCTAGCAAGCTATAAAAGGTCGTGACACCAAAAATGTAAAACAACTTGATTGAGAAAAAAACTAATAGTCTGATTTATGTACAAAACAATAGATAAGAAGGAAACATGATATACTGCAACAAATGACAACCACTGAATAACAGGCTCCTGACTTCGGAATTTAAGTTTCAAAAGGCTTACTCATACTGTTTGAAACCACTGAAAGCATTGAATTGCACATATTGACTCATTTCTGTGGAATAAAATGATTTAAACTCTGAAAGAATGTTCTTTGTTTTCATAGACCATTACCACATATTAAACACAAAAGGAATTGGCGCCCCCCTGGAAATCCTATGTATGCCAGAGATCTGTTAAATTTTCCTAAAGAAGCAGAATCTTGTAAAATAGGTAAGTTTCAAAAATATATCCATTTATTTAAAAGTGACATTCAACTGATTCAATGGCTCTTATTTATATGTGACATTTAACTCATTCAATCACTCTAATGTATTAATTAATATGCAATTCCTTTATTATTGTATGAAATTGTTGACTTGCCAAATCTTTGATTAAAGGAAATAAAGTTAATATATAAGTTATAGTGTTGGTGAACAACTGTTGTCTTTTATTTATCATTAACATTTTCCTATCAAAGGTCGGTGGTTTTCTCTGGGCACTCCAGCTTTCTCCATCGATAAAAACTGGCTGCCACGAAATAGCCCAAAAGTGGTGCTTAAAAGTGGCATTGAAACACCAAAAATCAAAAATCAAATTTATCATTTACTTACAAAACAAAATGAAAGCAGGAGGATTTCAAAATGTAATATTATAACTTCCTCAGAGAACACAGATTTGTATGCCCCTTCCACTTGCATATTAACTGGTGCGTAAAATTTGACAGTCCTCCTGACACGTCTAGACTTAGAAATCTTTACTGTTGAATTTGTCATGCAAAATTAGCAGTTTTCAAAATAACTTGTAGTCAGCAGGTAGTTTACCCTTTGAATTCTCTTGTAATATATGGTCAAATCAAATACAGAACAATTTAAAAAGTAGTATTTGCTCTTTTGTTTTTTTATTACATTTTGGTTATTGGGCATTTAATCAAATAAAGCAGATTGAAGTATTAATCCTATTATTTTGGAAGATCTACACATCTGTTCTTCATTTCTAACATTTGAAAGACACACGAGAGCTGAAAGGATATATGGGACTGTCAATAAACATATGTATTTTTATTGTTATTTTGTATATTTACAGTATTTGGTATGCTGCTTGGAGATACATTAATTTTAGACAATATAGATAGTAAATGTACCATGTTGTTATTTTGTATATTTACAGTATTTGGTATGCTGCTTGGGGATACATTAATTTTAGACAATATAGATAGTGCAAACACATACAGACAAGAGGTATAGTAAATAATCTTGGGTATAAATTTATATGTTGTATATGTCTGTGTTTGACATCACTATTATCCGTCAGTAACTATTAAGACCTTGATCAACATTGCCTGTCAGTAAGGTCAAATTGAGACAGGTTTCCAACTGTTTATACAGGGTAAGGTTACACTATTTGTAGTATGCATAAGTTTCATACTAGTTAAGACAGGTTTCCATTTTTAAAATTTCCAATTTAAGCAAATTCACATTAGATGGGTTTTCAGTATAAAGATATTTGTTGTATTTGAATGGGTAAATTTCGTCAGTGTCCAATCTTTTTGAGATGATGATATTTTGTTGTATTTTTAAGTTTTGTCATTATCTAGCCATAATTAAGAGTGATAGAATCACTGATCGCTGATGATATTTTGTTGTATTTTAGTTAGTAAAGTTTTGTCACTGTCCCACCATACTAACAAGAGATGGTGACAGAGTTAGAAGTAATGGAAAATTTGGAGGATTAATGAACAAAGCTTTACCAATAGAAAAATTACGAGGAGCTGTGTTTGGTGAACCATTACCTACAACCTTTGATGAGTCATCAGTTCTGATAAGTAAGTTTTTTTTCACAAATTTTATGAATCCTGACAAAAAGAGGTTCCTTTTTTGTGTTTTATGTGAACCAATAATTTAATTTTAAGTTCCAGTTGTAGTTTAAAAAAAATATTAAAAGGGCATTAAATGTTTCAATTTGGATAAGGAATTATTTTTTTGGGGCTGTGGGTCTAATTTATTGTAAATTTGTATGTGATTTGAAAGGGAAACATGGGTGTAATCCTAATCCTCTGGACACTTCTACTCAGTTCTCTTGATCTGTAAATGATTTCCATATCAAGATAGTACTGACATTCAAAGTTCGTAATTAACTGTTTCAGAATCGAATGCATTCTGGGTAATATCCTCAAAAGTGTACACCAAATGGAGTGATTGGTTCAAAACATCCTAAACAATGGCAATTCAACCAATGCTGTGATGCTTTTATCATTTTGGGGTACAAACAATTAAATTACTCATAGGCCTTAATATTCTGAAATGACCATATAATTTCATAGGCAAAATACACAGAAGGAGTGTGTAAATGGGGGATGGAAATGCATATCATAGCCTCATATAAACTAAAATAAGATTAATTGCCCATCACAGTATGGAAATGAATATTCTTCCTTACAAAATGCAAAAAATAGATATGTATTAAATTTTGCAGCACAAAATAGATAAGCCATCCTAGCAACATGTGAACATTCTAATGGGAAAACATCCTCCTTTCTGCACCATAAAATCAAATGATCATTCTCTTCTCTTAGGATCTATAAATTACAATTACAGGTACTGTACAGAATTACAAGGCAGCACTGCTACGTACACAGAGAGCCCAGGAAGAACTTCAAGAACAAGTAGACCATTATAAAGATGCTGAGATGCAAAGTAAACATAAAGAATGTCGGGAAGCTGAGCAACAACTCAAAGATGTAGAGTATAAATTAGGTAAAAAAAAGAAACTGCTCAACTGTATTGTAAATTCTTCATTATTACCCAGTTCTTTTATTGGACAAATTTCTCAAATTTTTTTCCATATAACCCGATTGTGTACTTATTTATTATTATTTTTTACACAATTAATTTTTCAGATTCAGCTAAGTAAATCATAGACTTTTCCATTGCTTTTTTGGGGCAGGGGTATCATTTTATGAGCCTTTCTGGTAGTTACTTTATTTGGCAATGTTTTTGTTGTTACGAAACAAGTAACAGTATTATAATCACTATAATATAAAACTTGCATTTTACATTCTGATCACATTATGTTTGACTGCTTACCCTTCAGGATCTTTTGCTTTTTATAATGAACAAAACATTTTCATGTTTACTGTTTGGTTTGAATAAAAGCAATAGTAGTATACCGCTGTTCAATAGTCATAAATCGATTAAACGAAAAACAAATCCGGGTCACAAACCAAAACCGAGGGAAACACATCAACCATAAGAGGAAAACAACAGAACATCAGAATCACTGAACTGCTACAAAAACAAACATACATACATTGAACAGTGTTGACGGCTTTATAAACTCTACTGTTAAAATTTCATTTCTCCTGGAAAACATGGGCCACTCTTAGTCTAATATAACTTTGTTATATGGAAAGAGAGATGTTGGTGAGAAACCTTATCAAGACAAACCCTAAAAAGGTTGTCAATGTTGTAATAAAAACAATCAAATTTATTATTTTTAAGGTGTTACAATGCAGAATACAAGATCTATTCCTCCAAGTAGACCTAACATACAGACAAAAACAAACAGTGATGCCCCGTCACCAAATAAAAGAGCCAGAACTTCAACGGTTACTCCGACACCACCAACAAGATCTTCAGGAACTACTCCTACACCACCAACCAGATCTTCAGGAACTACTCCGACACAACCAACCAGATCTTCAGGAACTACTCCGACACCACCAACCAGATCTTCAGGAACTACTCCTACACCACCAGCCAGATCCTCTGGAACTACTCCGACACCACCAACCAGAGCTCCTACACCCTCGACCAGAGGTTCAGGAAGTACTACTACACCCGCGACCAGAGGCATAGGAAGTACTCCTTCTCCCTCGACCAGAGCCTCGGGAGGTATTGCTATGCCCTCAACCAGATCCTCAGGAGGTACTTCTATGCCCTCGAAGAGAGCATCGGGAAGTACTCCGAATGTTCCAGAGGATGTTCTTGTGATATCAAGTTCTTCAGCTACATCAGTACCCTCTACACCAACAAGACAAAGTAAAAGAATCTCATCACAGACGCCAAGTTCCAATAAACGACTTCGCAAAACATGAATCAACATTGAACTAAATCATACTTCCACCTAACAAGACATTAGCTCATAATTCATCACACATGGTCTTTGTGGCATAAGGAGTAAGAATTTCTGTCCAAAAATCTTTCATTGAATCAACATGAATTGTGGGAATTAGTTTTACTGTACATGTACATAAATGTAAAGGCTGCTCCATTAATACATACATGTTAAGGCTGTTCCTTTAATACATACATTTTAAGGCTGTTCCATTAATACATACATGTAAAGGCTGCTCCATTAATACATACATTTCAAGGCTGTTCCTTTAATACATGCATTTTAAGGCTGTTCCATTAATACATACATGTAAAGGCTGCTCCATTAATACATACATTTCAAGGCTGTTCCTTTAATACATGCATTTTAAGGCTGTTCCATTAATACATACATGTAAAGGCTGCTCCATTAATACATACATTTCAAGGCTGTTCCTTTAATACATACATTCTAAGGCTGTTCCATTAATACATACTTGGTACCTGGATGAATAGAGTCATTTTAAGAATTTTTCTTGCATTTCAACTACAAAATCGTTATTAAAACCTACCCATAGTTGAGATTTCAAAGTGCCTTCCTGTGTCCCATGTTTGTTTTAAGGGAACAGCCCTAACTATCAGTTTTTAATTATTTTGTAAAGAATTACAAAATTGGAGAATGTATATATAGAGTTTTAAAGGGTTAAAATACATTAAAACTGTCAGATCTTAGGGTTTTCATTTCAGTTTTCATTGAAAGGATGAAATAGAAGGAAGGATTGTTGATTGTTAAATTTATTTAAATATAAAATCAATATTATTGGTTTTCCCAAAAGTGTTTACAATTAAGATGTGTGCTGTCCTAGTTAAATTTTAGTAAAATTAATTTTCATTTATTTGGAACATCTGTTGAAAATATATAAAGATCTATTTCCAGAAATTGCTTGGAACAATACTATATAAAAAAGAGTGATAGACCATTTAATAATTGAATTCACTTCCATAGAATTTAATTCAGAAAAGGGAAGTAGTGCTTCAATATATTTTTTTTATCTGTAGTATATGTGGTTTTTATCAGCGAAGTTGGTCTTCTTTATTATGCTGGTCTAGAATGGGGAGCTTTTTTGATCTTTTACAACATCTTTCACTTCATTATTTTTACTGCGAATTATTTACTTTTATGTAAACCCTGTCCAGACCATCATTTATTTCCTTATGGAAATAAACAAATTTTTATTCCCTGACCACTCAGTTTTTAGCTCACCTGGCCCAAAGGGCCAAGTGAGCTTTTCTCATCACTTGGCGTCCGTCGTCGTTAACTTTTACAAAAATCTTCTACTCTGAAACTACTGGGCCAAATTTGACCAAACTTAGCCACAATCATCATTGGGGTATCTAGTTAAAAAAATGTGTCCAGTGACCTGGCCAACCAACCAAGATGGCCGCCATGGCTAAAAATAGAACATAGGGGTAAAATGTAGATTTTGGCTTATATCTCTGAAACCAAAGCATTTAGAGCAAATCTGACAATGGGTAAAATTGTTTATCAGGTCAAGATCTATCTGCCCTAAAATTTTCAGATGAATCGAACAACCCGTTGTTGGGTTGCTGCCCCTGAATTGGTAATTTTAAGGAAATTTTGCCGTTTTTGGTTATTATCTTGAATATTATTATAGATAGAGATAAACTGTAAACAGCAATAATGTTCAGCAAAGTAAGATCTACAAATAAGTCAACTTGACCAAAATGGTCAGTTGACCCCTTAAGGAGTTATTGCCCTTTATAGTCAATTTTTAACCATTTTTCATAAATTTTTGTAATCTTTTACAAAAATCTTCTCCTCTGAAACTACTAAGACAAATTTAACCAAACTTGTCCACAATCATCATTAGGGAATCTAGTTTAAAAAATGTTTTTGATGACCCCGCCCGCGAACCAAGATGGCCGACGGCTAAAAATTAGTACATAGGGTAAAAAGCTGTTTTTGGCTCATATCTCTGAAACCAAAGCATTTAGAGCAAATCTGATGAGGATAAAATTTTTCATTAGGTCAAGATCTATCTGCCCTGAAATTTTCAGACCAATCAGGCAACACATTGTTGGGTTGCTGCCCCTGAATTGGTAATTTTAAGAAAATTTTGCAGCTTTTGGTTATTATCTTGAATATTATTATAGATAGAGATAAACTGTAAACAGCAATAATGTACAGCAAAGTTAGATCTACAAATAAGTCAACATGACCAAAATTGTCAATTGACCCCTTAAGGAGTTATTGCCCTTTATAGTCAATTTTTTACAATTTTCATAAATTTTGTAAATTTTTGTAAATTTTTACAAAATATTTTCCACTATAACTACCGGGCCAAGTTCATTATAGATAGAGATAATAGGAAACAGCAATAATGTACAGCAAAGTTAGATCTACAAACACATCACCAAAACACAATTTTGTCATGAATCCATCTGTGTCGTTTGTTTAATATGCACATAGACCAAGGTGAGCGACACAGGCTCTTTAGAGCCTCTAGTTTCTGTCCTTATCTTTGTTATACCAAATTCAATAATTAAATGAAAATTTTCATTATTCCTGTAGATACTGATACGAAGACTGATTTTTTTAAAGAGGATAATGGTATAGAAATAAAGGAATTTGTATTTCTTTACCGAAAAATCATACTTTTCTTACAGAATTGCCTTTGGAATTTCACAGAAGTTGGGCCATTGTAATTTAACTACATTTAGAATGTGTCCTTGAAATAATATACTGCATGCAAATTTCACTGCATCATATGCACAATTTGACAATTTCTCTTCAGTGATACTGGAGGGAGTGAAATACTGTCTCTGATGTGGATCCTTTTAAGTGGTTAACATGTAAAAGTCCTTTTTAGCTTACCTGGCCCTAAGGGCCAAGTTAGCTTTTCTCATCACTTGTCGTCCGTCATCGTTAACTTTTACAAAAATCTTCTCCTCTGAAACTACTGGACCAAATTTAACCAAACTTGGCCACAGTCATCATTAAGGTATCTAGTTTAAAAAATGTGTCCGATGGTCCCACCCGCCAACCAAGATGGCCGACATGGCTAAAAATAGAACATAGGTGTAAAATGCAGTTTTTGGCTTATATCTCTGGAACTAACGCATTTAGAGCAAATCTGACATGGGGTAAAAATGTTTATTCGGTTGAGATCTATCTGCCCTGAAATTATTATACAAATCAGACAACTCGTTCTTGGGTTGCTGCCCCTGAATTGGTAATTTTAAGGAAATTTTGCCATTTTTGGTTATTATCTTGAATATTATTAAAGATAGAAATAAATTGTAAACAGCAATAATGTTCTGCAAACTAAGATCTAGAAATAAGTCAACATGACCAAAATTGTCAATCGACCCTGTAAGGAATTATTGCCCTTTATAGTAAATTTTTAACAATTTTTCATAAATTTTTGTAATCTTTTACAAAAATCTTCTCTGATGAAACTACTGAGACCAATTTACCCAAACTTGGCCATAATCATCCTTAGGGTATCTAGTTTTAAAAATATGTCTGATGACCCTGCCTGCCAACCAAGATGGCCGACATGGCTAAAAATAGAACATAGGGGTAAAAGGCAGTTTTTGGTTTATATCTCTGAAACTAAAGCATTTAGAGCAAATCAGACATCGGGTAAAATGTTCATCAGGTTTAGATTTATCTGCCCTGAACTTTTCAGACAACTCATTCTTGGGTTGCTGCCCCTGAATTGGTAATTTTAAGGAAATTTTGCAGTTTTTGGTTATTATCTTGAATATTATTAAAGATAGAAATAAATTGTAAACAGCAATAATGTTCTGCAAAGTAAGATCTAGAAATAAGTCAACATGACCAAAATTGTCATTCGACCCCGTAAGGAATTATTGCCCTTTATAGAATTTTTTTTTACAATTTTTCATAAATTTATGTAATCTTTTTCAAAAATCTTCTCTGATGAAACTACTGAGACCAATTTAATCAAACTTGGCCATAATCATCCTTAGGGTATCTAGTTTTAAAAATGTGTCTGATGACCCCGCCTGCCAACCAAGATGGCCGACATGGCTAAAAATAGAACATAGGGGTAAAGGGCAGTTTTTGGTTTATATCTCTGAAACTAAAGCATTTAGAGCAAATCTGACACCAGGTAAAATGTTCATCAGGTTTAGATTTATCTGCCCTGAACTTTTCAGACAACCCATTGTTGGGTTGCTGCCCCTGAATTAGTAATTTTAAGGAAATTTTGCAGTTTTTGGTTATTAGTCCCCTACTGATGAGGTCGAAGGGGACTTTAGGTTTGCACTCTGTCTGTCTGTCTGTCGGTCTGTCTGTCTGTCAATCCATCAGTCCCGCAAATCAGTTTTCCACCCTTTTTTCTTCATGCTTTAAGATATTGATTTGATATTTGGTATATTGTTTTATCATGACAAGTTACAGATCAAGTTCGAATTTTGTTCCGGTCTGATGATTTTGTGCAGAGTTATGGTCCTTGGACTTACAAAATTCACTTAAATAATCAATTTTCAACACTTTATTTCGTCATGCTTAAAGATATTGACTTGATATTTGTTATATAGTTTACACCGTGACAAGTTAGAGATAAAGTTCGAATTTTGTTCCAATACAGTGAATTTTTAATCGGTAGGGGACTATGTATCTAATAATATCTAATATCTAATAATCTATAGTATCTAATACTATTAATTATGGTTTTTAACCTTATTTTACATAATTTCATAAACAACAGTAAATACAGGTGAGCGACACAGGCTCTTGAGAGCCTCTAGTTTTAATATTTCATTGTCTTGAGGTGTTTTAGTTACATGTAATGTCTTTATTTTCGCTTGAATATTGTTTAATATTGGCACACTAGTAAGATAAATATAATGTATACACATGCATTGAATTGAATTGTGTTTATGTTTTATTTGATTAAGAAAGCAATTGTATTTCTTATGATGAATGTTTATTAAGAAAAACCTTAAGTTTATTTATGCAAAAATTTAAACCACATATTTATGTTATATTCAAGAAAACCAAATTCTTGAAGTAAAACCAGTTTTAGTTTTAGAATGCATATGCATTTCAGTCAGAGTATTGTGTCTTGGTAGGGAGACCTGTCTTCCTTAAACTGTATTTTTTCCTTCAGAGTGACTGTTTTATAGTGCAAAGCAGGGGTTATATTCTATTTCATATCTCATTAACATGTCACCAACTTGCTAAGTATGTAATATTTGCCACTGAACATTCAAACCAATATCATCATCACAGACATCTTGCTAAGTATGTAACATTTGCCACTGAACATTCAAACCAATATCACCATCTCAGACATCTTGCTAAGTATGTAACATTTGCCACTGAACATTTAAACCAATATCATCATCACAGACATCTTGCTAAGTATGTAACATTTGCCACTGAACATTCAAACCAATATTATCACAGACACAAGCTGAGTTTGATACAATTTGATGAGTAAAGATTTAGGATGTTTGCTTCTCCTATTTTACAATTTTCTTTTTCTTTTGTTACACTTCTGAATCTTGCTAGGCCATGCACGAAAAAAAAATGATCTACTTGCAACTATAATTCTAAATATTAAGATGAAAGCTACTCCTGAATTACATGTATGGTGAGATATTTTGAAAAAGAAACTTATTTTCTGCCAACAAATTTTGTTTTTTCAAATTGTTGCATCATAATCACAGATACAAGTACCTGTTTTCCATTTTAATGTAGTATACATTGGTAAATGTGTGGGTTGTGGAATTGTTATAATTTTTAAATTGAGCAGCACACATCCTTTATGTATGGAATACAGTCACAAATTACAAGTGATTGAGAT